CTGTGTGCATATGGATAAGGAACAAATATTCCATCTGTATTGTTGGGATATACCTCATATGCACACAGATCTTGGTCAAATCTGATGCTAGACCGCTGACCCTTTTTGTTCTGGGAGCATGGGATATATTCCCATCACATATCATTGTGACCATTTTTTATTTGTGACTGTCTCAGAACAAAAATGAAACAAATGATCATGATAAAGAAAAGGTTTACAGAAATGTGTTTTTCCCTCTCCAAGATTGGAAAGGAAAATGAATGAAATAGATAATGGCATATGAGCACAGTAAAGGGAAGAAAGTGTAAAAAGGATTCGCAACTTTGTTTTTACGGTTGTATGAAAAAGTGATGGAAATATAAATCATTTAATACCACAAGAAGGACTTTCGAATATCTTTCATCTCGAAATTTCAACATTCTTTTTTTTTCTTTCCTACGCTGTTATCTTTGAATCATTGCATTCTTCTGTTATCTTTGTCCTTTTTTTGGTGCTTTGCTATTGACCAAGGAATGTGATGTCACTAAGTCGTTCGTTGCTAGTACCACTGACTTTCAGTTACATCCATCTATAAGCCACCTTATTTATCACTAGCCACATTCACATTTGGACATGGAATATGGTTGAAACTACAGACTTTTTGGATTTCCTATTGAGCACATTCTTCTTTAGATTTTTCAACTTTAAAAAGCTTGTATTATCTTATTAAAGAAGAGGATTGAGCCGCACCCATAACCACCAAACACTTTATGATGAAGTATTAAGCATGCAGAACAAGTATGATGAATTTATGAAGTAGAATTCACGCTAATACTGGATTCTGGGCTTCCATTATTTAAGTTGCTCGTCCTCTTCAGGATCTTTTAAGATCAAGAGCTCATTGTATGATTAAGTGAGTGATATGTTTACTTTGAATTTTAAGCATCTTAAATGCTTTGATATGTGACGCATTCTTTTACTCTATTGACTTTTTTGTTTATATACACCATTTTATTTTATGGATTATTTTCAATGCCCTCATCCTAGTTTTCACACTAGCACAACTCTGAGAATGCACCATTTTTCGCTTGGAAAAAAATTCTGTTATCAAAATAGTTATGACTATTTCCATGTAGGTTGGGAGATGTTGGTTCTGATCCGATTGACTTAAATTTTGAAGCGGGAAAATGCTCGGGACAATTTTTTGACTCCTTTTCTGTTACATGCATTGTTTATGTTGTTCGTCTGGCTCGTAAAGAAGTCTCAACTCCTTTCTCCAACATAATGAAATTGTTAACACTTAAATGATGTATGCCGGCGCCTGATACTTGGACACAGAACATTTTGAAACATGAACAAAACTCAATAAACAATGAAATATGGAAATTTTCTGCGCTCATTGAAGAAGTTTTGACAGTTGAAAGAGTCATCGCGGAATTATTGACAGTAGGAAAGAGGCTGCGAGTAATCAATAAGTCCATCAAGCTAAAGTTTTGACACTTGTCATGGAATTGTTGACGAATGCAACCTACTAATGGAAAAATAACGTGAAAAAGTCCATGGGAAAGTCTTGGAATCGAACCACTTTTAGAGCTGCTGTCTGGATACTTCTTTGCAAAACATCACCTCTCTGTAAAGATTGTACAAGTCCATCTTGAGATCCAAGGTATGCTTCTGTGATTCAAATTTCTCGAAGTGTGAAGAAACTAATAAAATACTTTCAGTTGTGCTCACAGGGTTTTGGGAGCATGGGACACCATGTTGTTCCCTTTTCCAGCTTCGTTGAGTGTTTTTTTTTTATTGTTTTAAGCAAGATTGTTACTGTGACATATGTTCCTTGACAGAAGTTGCGAACTCTTTCATATTACATGATACAAGCTACAAAGAATAATGTTTGCGCATACCTTCCAGCCTCAACTATTTTACCAATTGTTTGAATGACGAACTGTCAAGTTTTCTCCATTCAGTCATGATCTTTTCTAATTTCGCTGTTTTAAAAATTCGAGCTGTCAAGCACTGTATAATAGGATTTCATTACGAAACTATTACGCTTTAGAACATATTGTACACTGTTCTGTTCTTTCTCGACGTCCTCTACTTTCGTCCATTCTTTCTCCGATTATAGAACTTTTACGTTCCATATTGAGAGGAAAGCAGCTGACAGTGGACCAACTAATCGACGACATTTACCTGAATCGTTTTCCTTGCACTGCCTTGTAGGATACGATTGTTCCAGGTTTAGATTGTGGACAGATAATCTTTGAAGTACAATATTTTCATTTTGATGTAAAACATCTTTTTTGTTGAATGCTGGGATATCTTCTTCTTTGAAATTTGTCGTGGTTCTATTTCTGGCTTCTCTTTTCTTGATGATTTTTTTTTTTTTCCTTGTAGGAGTGCATACTCGAAAGTTCTGGATATTCAAGTGTGAATTTAGAGCGTTGACTTTCCAAGAGTTATTGCTAAATTTGATTGCCAAAGGTAATGTCTCTGATTTGGTTCCTGACGGAATTTGTTATTAGTTTGTTTCATAGCGCACATATAGAGGCACCTATGGCTGGATCCGGTCATTGGGGCAGGAATTTCTTTAAAATTATTTCCTTCAAAACCATTTTAGTCTCTATCTGAACAACCCAGAATGGAACAAGATGATGCTGGTTCCACGAACGCCAAACAATTTTTGCAATTGTTTCTGTGAAATGGCCTTGTACCCAGTCCAAATGGCAAAAAGTGAAATTAAAAGTAAGATAACATAACATAGCCTTTCTGTGAAATGGCCTTGCAGAGGATTCTTCCAATGCCGGGCATCTACTGGTGGCAAGGTTGATTGACGACGGGGCATCATTTTCCCTACAGAAGCACCGTTGATGCTCATCTAGATTGGTGATCATGTGCGTTCGAAGCTGGGGCAAGTCTCTATTGAACGATTGTTCAATCATTCTACAAAGAAAGCATGCACCATTGCGGTTTTATTATGTGCACTCGGAAAGTGGATACTAATACGAATGCCTGAGTATAGGCTAAGCAGTCGAAATGCTCACATAGTGATTAGAATGGTAGAGAATGGGAGGTCTCGGGTGTACAAAAACAGTTAATATTTCATTGTGATTCCAATATTCTATTTAAAGGTCTGCCCTTACGGAACCCTTTTCTGGGGACGGGTGGGGGATAAACTTGGTGATTGTGATCTTAGGCTTGGTCATCTGCTATCAAGATAAGCTTTTCTCGCCTGCAGGAATTCCGTCGTACAAGTCAGACATTTGGGTTTTTGATAAACATCACATATGACTATATATATATATATATATATATATATATATATATAGTGATAAAGACTTGCAGGGAAATATCCTCCTGCTTATAACTCGTAGAGACTTACCCTGAGAGTTTCATAGTTTGTACTTGGTGTGGACAATCTGCCACGACAGTTGGTTTTCAAAGGGGAAGTCAGTCCCCTTGCAACTTGAAAAAAGAAAAAGGAAAATAAATAAATGGGCAGAGCTAAAAGTTGGTGATTGGCTGATTGGGTCTTTTTGCGTTGTGCCAGTGGAATAAGGTGGATGAAGAGGGGTGAATAAAAATAAAAATAAAAATAAAAATAAGGTTGAAGAAACCATTCTCCATTGGTGGCTAGAAGCTCCTGGCATCTCCCACAAGTGCCCATTGGGAGAGATTGCTGGCAAAAGGGAGGAGGAGAAGGTTGAAAAAACGAAAAATAGTTAAAAGGGGAGAATGATGAAGAACGCTGTGGGAATTGCTCCCTCAGCATAAATATTAAGAAATTCAGTGAACGATCGGCTGTTGTTCTCTGTCTTCCCTGCGTCCAGCGGAATAGAATGCATTCACTTCAATGACAGGAGAATCTCTAGGTGAATTATTTTGCCAGGTTGGTTTGGATAATATTTCTAATGGGTTTCTTCCCCCTAAAATCTTCAGAATTTGGGAGACAACAGCATATTCTCTCAAATTCCCGCGAGGTACTGACTCTCTCTCTCTCTCTCTCTCATTAGCATATGCTGCAATCCATTTTTATACCACATAATTGATTAGATTGCATGATCATCGTCATGAACGGCATGCATCGTCAAAAAATCGTCTCCTTCATCCAAAGTTCATTGGGTTTTAACCATTGATATTAGACCACCAAACGTGACTCCTCTGAAATATGTTCTCAGACAGCCGAAGACATGAACGCCATACTTTTTATGACAATTTTTAATTCATGCGGCAGGAGAATTTCAATAAGAAACTGAACCTCCAACACGATTTTGACATACACAAAGACATTAAGTTTCATTCAAGGATATGAATTTTCATTGGAATACATGAATTAGTAGGGATTCTCACAGACCAGGCCACATCCTGGGCTTTGCCCAGGAAACACTCAGAGAAAGAGTAATCATATTCAATATATGCGAGCTGATTACATCTTACAGGCATCGATCCTCTTTCTCGATGCATAACAAAAAAAAGAAGAAGAAAACTGATCGATCACTAAGAAACTGGCTGGCACTTGGACCGAAGGGTATGCATTCTCTCAGCTTGAAGAGGGAACTTATATTCAGAAGAAAAGAGTGTCCAAGTGCATGCTATGAGCTTCTTATTTACGGCAGCAAATTATACGGCCAAATGACCAAGTAAGGTTAACAGTATAAAGTTTGACGTTCCCAGAATTTATAATACAAAATGAATAATTTGCAGCTATGCTGCCTTACCAAATGAGTGAAAATACGGCAAACACATGGATGTAACCGCATATCTGACAATTCTGCTGCTTTTGATGCGTTTCTAATAGACCAGAGTAACGTAGAAATAACTCAGTAGGACGAATTCTTGAAGACTGGGAAGATTACAACGCCCGATGTATGTACTGTCTCACACCTTGAAAGATATGAAGCTGAGCTTTTATTCAACCATCATTATGTTTCTTCTAGTAAACTGTATATTGTATATAATCCAAAGAATTTGCATGGATTGGATGATACTGAAAGAAGAAGCTGGTAAAAGGGCCGTGGATTTGTCTAATCCATAGCGGCTTTGTTTCTCCGAAATGTAATTGGTCTTGGTAATCCATCGAACAAGGGCTTCGATGTGGCGTCTGGTTTCATTGCCCACTTAGAAGTCAACCACATCGAGGAACTACCTTCTGATTCCAACAAATTCGAGGTGCTTGATGACTTTTTGACTCCATTTGCCAAAATCGAATCTCCCATTGGACTGGCAGCTAAGAAGCCAGAATCAAAGTCTAGCCGATTAATAGATTTTGGTCTTGGTGCAAGGCTCTTTTCTGTTTTCCCAGAGAAAGCACCGTCACTATCTTCCTTCAATGACAACTCAGGGGACTCGACGTCAATCTTCTGACGCCTTCTAACAGGCTTCTCACTGCCAGATCTATCAGTTTCACAATTCTCCGTGGCTTCAACAATAGCAGCACCTTGAACTGAATGACCATTTTCCAACAGAAACCCATTGACCAGGCTTCTTGACCTTTGGTGGCTGTTATAACTCGGCTCTGAAATTTGGGCTCCATAGACGGCCATTTCTGTTCCTTCACCTTTTGGATCATTTTCGGGGCTACTGAGACCATAATATCCCAGCAAACTGCTCATTGCAAGGCTAACCCTTCGTTGTGGAGCTTTTACCTGGTGTGACCGTAAGGATTCAAGAAAATTTGCGTGAGGCTGCTGCCCCATGTTTTGATCCCTGTCATAATTCGAAGCATGATGAGAAATTGTAAAAATAAACAGGAGTAGAGAAAAAACTAATAGTTTGGATCATTAATGGAGCAGACAGAGAACAATCATTGATACATGGTCAGTTATGACTTCCAAGCCAACAAGAATGTAAACCAACTCATAATCCAGTATAAAGGGTCGTGATTGAGAAGTACAAATAACTGGTTACATTCGAATGCAACCTAGGTATGGTTTCTTTGAAAGAATGATATGATAGTGATCGAAACAGTGAACCCAAGTAGTCACCCAAATGAGCATCCGCTGTATTATGCGAAACTCGGGAGTTTTCACTGTTATGTCAGCCTCTCAAGGAGCATACAACAAGCAAATGTGAGTATAAAAGTGCTAGGCTTTGGCTTCTTTTCAACAAGACTGAACGTGGTAAGCAAATGTGAGCATGAGGGAACCGTTATTACCAGCACATCCGACTTAAAGTAACTTGGAAAAAAAATTCTACAATTCGCAAAATTTTCTAAGATGTCATAAATCTTTTTGATTGATGTTCGGAAAATTCACCCAACTATCAAACAGATTCATCAGAATCATTGTAACAAGTAAAAGCCATGTTCATTTTTCACCATGAACTATGGTCATATACCATGTGAATCGCAGCGCCATGAGACTAGTACGACGGTATTCAAACAAGAAATATATAGGCTAAAGTTTTAATGAATTTTCCCGTCTATGAAAGGGATGCCATGTGATATCAGACATCGCGAGCTACACCACTCACACTAAAAAGGGCACTGGGTGTCCTTAGACGAACGAACTCTGCCTCTAGATGTGAGCACAATGGTCACTTGAGCATGGAGGAGAGACCCAGTAGACAACGACTCTACCCTTCAAACTGAAGAGATCAGAGAGAAAGGGAAATACTACACCAGCAGGAAAAACCAAACCACACACTAATGCGGCTATACACATTTCATGGCTGGGGAAAAACTAAAAAGTAACCGTTCAGACGGTTCATGTGATGATACAACGAGAAATCAAATGGATCATGAAGCTAAGGTCCATTAGTGCAGAGCATCAAGTAGTTGCGCGACGAAATACGAGAGAAGAAGCGTACCTGTTGCAAGCGGGACTATTTGACGTTATGGGGGAAGGGGGATGCCTCCCTGGTAACGGAATCTTAAGTGATTTGAGGGCAAACATCTGAAGATCTGTGACCAATGAATTCATCCGTTTGATATCTGCTACCTGATATCGAGCATGATCCTTAGCATTGTTGAAGGAAATGCAAATTTTGGAAAAAATGACTGCAGACACATCCACCGACAAGAACACAATGCGAGACAGGCCGAACGCCATAAAAGGCAAGGAGGAGAAAAAGGAAGGGTATCAGCATCGATGCATAACTGAACACAGTGATCCCTTCCACGCAATCGAGGTAGATTGCAATGGGAAGAAAACAAGCGGCCTCGTTGAGGCCTGTTCATAATTCAGCTAATTATTTCGCGTCTCTCCACATTCGATGCAGGGAGATGAGAATCCAAATCTAGAATGCTAGAGACAAAAGGAGAACGAATTTACCTCGACTCCATATTTTATGGCAACACCGGCAAGGGTATCCATCTTGGACACCCGGTGCTCTATATAGTTTAAGTGCGCAGTTGGCCCTACGGAGGAACTGGATGATGAAGAAAGCAATGAAGACGAGGAGGAGGAGGAGCAAGACGAAGAGGAGGGGAATCCATCAGCAACCAAATCTTCCGGCAACAGTAGGGGGAAACTCCCCCTTCGCGTACTCCCGTCAACCTGCATATCTCATCGAACAGGCAACAGCTTGGCGGCCTCCTAAATCCCCTCCGTTCTATGGAACTTCCGGCGCAGACCGACGAAGTAGGGAAGCAGAATCAACATCCGACGGCCTGAGACCAGCAAAAACTTCTCCAGATCAGCGAATGCCGCCACGCTCCTCCTTCAGATATGCTCGATTTCAATTAGACGGGAAGCAAGATCGCCTTGAGCCCCGGCGAGACTCGCAGAGGCCGGAACAGAGACGACGGCCTGAGGAAAAACTGGTCCGCCGCTAGAGTACGTCATCGCAGTATTTGTTGACCATATTCTCGCCCACTTTTCCGCCAGCTTGTCTGTTTCCAAGCGTCGGTCGGTCGCCGCCGGTTAACACCGACGACCTCCCTCAATCCCTCCTCTCTCTCTCTCTCTCTCTATCTTTCTCTCTCTACTGTGCCTCCACCGACACCTGTCATATCTGAGACAGCTAACAGGGCATATCGAATAATGGCCCCGTCCCAATAAAATATTCGATCCGAAAGGATGGTGACCTCGGAGCGAACTACTCTCGCCCAGAGATGAAGGGGAAAGCCCACGAGGGAGGGGCCCAATGGGCCCAGCCTACGACCGTGCGGAAAACGCGGAATCACGGGCCTGCCATTGCCACGACGCTACCAAGACTCGGGGGCGTGCTTTTTTAATCGAAGAGGAAGATGCGCGGCCCATGAATTAAAATGGTTTTAATCATTTGGCCCAATAAATTACTGTGACGATGCCGAGGCCAGTTAACGGAGACCCCAGATTACTCTCTCTCTCTGCCTTCTCAGGTCAAACCAAGAGTTTGTCTAATATTTTATTACTGCAAGAGGAATATATTAGCGGAAGAGACATTCTTTACACTTGTTGAGATATTCTGCAGCTATGAATGTATGTACAGCCATCTCAGTCTACATGGCTCCTCAGAGGACAGATGGATTGACCAAGAGGGGCAACAAATAAGTCGAACAACGGACTAACCTGATGTTCTTGGGGGAAAGACAATGGGGCTCGAAGGTTGCTTTCCACGTCCCATGGGCTTCAGGGACGGAAAATTTTCATGGTCTTGGAGACCTGGACCCGGCAGAACGGGCATCGAGAAACAGCAGACGAGCATCTGTGGCAGAGGACATGGCCACAGGGAATTGTCGCAATCTCAACCTCGGCGGCAAGACAAATCCGGCATAGCCATGCCGCCTTGGCGGCATCAGCTTCTTTCACCGCCGAATCAGCCTTCTCCTGAAAAATGCCGCGGATCCGTTAGATAGACTGGGGGGTCTGTTTGCTTTAAACAGGCGCATGCAGCTCTCCAGATGTGGGTGGAAACCGTAGTTAGAGAGGGTAATTTAATGCAATCACATGAGAAACCTGACGTAGACGGAGTTGACTTTAGAAGAAAACTGACAGATATGGGTGATGCAGACCTGCTCGACAAGGAGAGAAACTTCGGATTCTCTGAGCTGTTCTTGAAGGGTCAGATTCATCTGCATCAATGCCTGCTTCTCGGTGTCAATGCTGATCCCGGATGCCGAAAGCATGTCATGTACGGCTTGGACCAACTCTGTCGCAGACACTCGCCCATACTGCATCCCTTGGCCCAGCTGTCGTACAGAACAACAGTACCCTTTTCAATTGAACACCCCAAAAATCGTATATTCAAAAGCATTTCAAAGAAGTCGCTCTTCAAAGGTTTTACCTGCTCAGATGAAGCCGCCTGAGACACAACACCCGTAGACACCTGCTCAGACGACTCTTTTGCCTTCTGAGATGTCGAACTTGCATCAGCCATCGAAACGCTTCTGAAGGAGAAGACTTGGGAGGAAAGTAAGGTTTGAGTTTTCCCAGATGCAGTCTCCACAGAAAATCTATAAAGAGCTTGCCCAGCGGACGGCCTGACGTCTTCAGGCACTTTACCATACTTCAGCTTCTCCCCATCCTTGCCTAACCTCCAAGCGACTATCTCCCCTGCATAGAATGGCCGTAGTGGGTGGAACTGTACCTGGAGGGCATCCTGAGGCAACAGTTCTTCGCCTACTGATACACCGTTCTTACTTTCATTTTTAGCAACTTTCCCTTCAGAGCCCATTCTAAGCAGCCTCACAATGGCTTTCTCAGATCCTGGAGGGCAGGAAAAAAGGGGCCCAATGGGCAATGCGGTGGGTGAGCCCAGAACCTGGCTCACAACAGCTGCCATAACATCATAGATTGACATATAGCTCGGAGGCTCGGCCGCTAAGATACGAGCCCTTGACTTGTCCACAAAGTGGGTTGTTCGGTGTCTTGTAGCAGTGTCTTCCCATTCAGGGATGATGAAGAAGTTTCCTTTCCGAGTAATGTCCAACAATCTTGGTAATAATAGAAAGCGTGTGTGGATGTATTGTACGAACTGTAATTTCTTGGAAATGCAATGAAGCGACGACTGTAAATCCTCCCACGTTAAGCCTTCTAACAAGGGCATGCGGTCAACCGAGCTGTTGACGATAAACCAGAGTGCTTCCAAAAATGATTTGCTCAGAAGTTTATCTCTCATTCTCTTCAATGGAACCAGTCCAATCTCATCCTGAACAACCAATTGCTGATGTTCTTCCAGTTCCTGCAACAGATTGAGATAAATAATTCTAAGCCACTGTAAAAGCATATAAAATGATCCTCTATTTCTTTCCCTCCAGAAAATATTTATATGAAGTTCATACAGAACAAGTTCCCATGCAAAGATATCTTACCTCCACGACAACATCACAAAGCTTCTTGACACCTAAGGCTAGGCACATCTTTTCAGGAAGCTGTGGATGAACAAATCTCAGCATGGAAGTATTTATGCTAGTGAGAAATTGTGATCCGTGGACATCAACATAGACACATGACTTTGCCATGACGAGCCTGCAGCCATCATCTGGGACTATGGCATCAGGGAACCACTCTGAACTATTTAATCTTGATAAACTTGTTTCATTACAAATGAAATGCAGAAGCTCCATAACAGCACGTAATTCATTTGGATTCAGGTGCTGATATCCACACAATTCTCGGATGTTTAGAAGAAGATCCTTGGCATATGCGACAGACAGAAGCTCCCGAATCCCTATGTCCTTGAGAATTCTAACAAATGGAAGATACAGACTAGGAAGTTCAAAACCAAATGGAGACAGGTTGACTGTGAGACGAACGAACAGAGAATTTGCAGTGACCAAACGAGTTCCATTTGCTACTGGAATGAATGCCACCTTCTGCAACTCTTGTATATCTGCGGATTAAAAGAACTTCAGATTTATGTGCCTAGATTTCCCAATATAGACACAACATGTCACTAAAACTTTGAGTCGTAAAAGCATAATTTATAAAGAAAATAAATAAAGAATTTAGACCTTATGAAAACCTGTCGGTAAATCAACTCCTCATGGGCTTAAGAAATATGGAATCCAAGTATTCTTACTAAAAATGGGAATGTTTCCTAAGTCAAACTGCATAAAGTTAGCGCATGGAAATAAGTAGGAGGTCCCCTCTTGCTGATGGGGACGCCATACAGTGGCCAGAAAGTTTGGAGTACGCAAAATTTCTGATTTCTTAAAAGTACACTATCATTCTTTAAAATATTCTCATTTTTCCAAACTAAGCCACAATGAAGTACACTATCATTTGAAATGAAGAGATTTACTGTATATATAAAAGGTTCATAGTCATTAAAATTTTGGCGACACATTACATGCTTTCCTGTTCAGCTGGTAATCTATGCACCATGCTAGTCCCTGGGACCGATTTGTTTTTCGCAGCTTGCAGCTTGCACTTTCAAATATGTTCTATACGAAATCAAGACACTCATAAATGCAAATGCATGCTACTTGTGGCCATTTAAAAAACTTAGGCCATGGTTTTGTGGGTAATGAGAAAAGACTTGGACCATTTACTGAAAACGTCAATTGAAAGGTGAGGGTGAAAATAAAAACCCGACTTTTCTTTTAAAACATGAGATGGTGGAGAAGCACACAGGTGAGGTTAATAATGATAAAGAAGAATCTTAAGATGGGAAGTCGCCCTAGATCTACTCCTCAAATTTCCTAAGAAGCATACCTTTATGTGGCTAAAAGTCAATTAAAATGTTGTTTCAGTTGTGGGACCAGGAAACCGTGGCGACATGGAATTTGCATCAGCATGGCATGGGTATCCTCCATAAGGAATTGTAAAACACTGAAAGGTTGGCTAGAACCGACCGGGACGCACTTGACCAAAAAGATCAAGAACTATGTCATGGAATCACTGACTTTAGCAGTCCCATGCAAATGGCTAAATTATGTTCAGATATTTAGTAAGGATCTTGAGATGCCTCCGCTAAAATGTCACAGAAAATTATTGATTTCAAACGCTTCATCACAGCCAGTCAAAAAGGGGGAGATAGCTTTCACAATGTGCGGGTAAAGCGAGGGTAATGCTCAAAAAGTTACAATCATTTACAGACTACTTCAGACAGTTTCTGAAGTTGTAACCCAAAAATATTCGCCCTAAGGAAAGCGGCAAGGACATTTTGTTTAATTCCGAAAAAGTATTGTTCATTCTATCCTCTGTTCTCAGCACTTGAAACAAGGGGTATTGGAGTAGAATGTGCACATAACATATACATGTTGAGAGACTTGCCCTTGCATAATACATCTATAATTTTAAAACGGGATGGAACCTTTCTCTCAGAAAAAAATATCGGATGTAAGCAATAGACCTGACCTGAAGAAGAAAGAGATTTCCAAATTCTATCCAAGTATTTCAAAATTTCACAACAAGCTTCTTCAACTGTCATCATGCCAATTGATGCTGGCCAATGAGCAAGAATATCTTCACCATTGTTCCTTCCAACAACCTGAAAGCAGTTCTCATCAGCAAAGTTCCAACTAGAAGATTGAGAACCTCAACAATGGATTTTCAGTTACCTGTAAATGCTTCAGTACTGTAGAAAATGCTGGGGGACTCCTAAACCGCAATGCTCCACGAGCAAATTCTGGAGGAACAACATTCTCCTTTACTAATATTGGAGAACAACTCCAGGCCAAAGGCCAGTCCTTCAACAAAATTGCTTCACTGAATGAAGAAAGCACTTTTTTCCCTCCTTTTTTGCCACCGATGCTTGGAAAACCCTTTTCAGCAGGTACAAATGCAATTGTGCTGAGCAAACCACAGAAGGAATTATCATATAAAACTGCAAAGTTTGCAAATATTGTCTCAACAACAGATGCTGCTAGTGACCATAATTCTGATGATATCCCTTTCGAAGAACACCAGAATTCTGAATCCGTGTCATTATTATTTTCTAAACATTTCATACTTTCTTTCCCAAGAAGCTCTAACTTTCTTGCACATTCAACTATCACATCTGCATCTGAAGATGTTCTAATCCCTGTTTTCTTCAATATTCTGAGCCATCCATCAGAAGTAAACCGTTCACCAGGAAACTTGTTCCTCTCCTCAGAGAACACTGACATCAGTAAGGGATCACAAGGGTCAAGAAGGTCTCTAGGCTTAAACAGTTGTGAGCAAAGTTCATTTGCATTTCGTACAAAATGAGTTTCTTTTAGAGTCTCAATGGCACGAGAATCCAAATGTATATCTTGCCAATTCATATATAGATACTTCAAAATGTTGTCTTGTTCCTTCGAAGTTTTCTCTTCAAACCCAGGCAATGCAAATCGCACCAAGATTTCATGGTTCTGTAGCTCATTTACCCCGAGAGATCGGTAAAAAAGGCTCTCATCCCGTGAACTAGAGAGGCAAATTGCACTTTTTGGGTGGAAGAATGCATCTGAAGGAATGAGACATTGGTCATCATTGCATAATTGTGTGTAGCTTCCAACGGCTGTTTTAAAAATTGGAAGTACTCGTAAAACATCGATTTCTTCTCTTTTGTAAAAAGAGCCAGCAGACGATTTGAAATCTGACATAAAGAGGTTAAACAATCTATCACGATCTTCATGTGAAAAAGGATCTGGCTCAGAAAAATAACCAGCCTGCTTGGCAGCAAGTAGCTTAGAGGCAATTACTTGTCCAAGGGATTGACCAAGGGCAGGGAAACAAATCTCTGGGGCACCTTGATTTGAGAAAGTCATATCATAAACTGGTATATTACATTGATTAAGCAGCAGAAACAACCATGGGTATCTTGATTTGGTCATCTCAAAGGAGGTAATGTACAATTTTGTCATGTCAGACTCACCATCACTGTTCTCTGAAGAATAGAGAATACCACTGGTGTCAAAATTCGTACCTAATGGAACTTCAAAAGTTGTTTCAATAACTGGAGGAATGAACACCAGGTTGCACTCCCTGATACGGCATAAGATTGATCTATTAAGAAAAGCTGGAATAAATGGCCATTCAGAGACAAGTGAAAGATCTCCATGCATGGCATTAAAAATTCCCCAAAATAACTTAATCCACTCTGCTGATGGACCATCCAGGGATTCTGTTTTCTTCTCCCAAGAAATCCATGGAGTCCTATTGCATTCTAGAACATGATCTACCCAATGTTCGCTGAAAAGGGATCTCAGATGTTTCGACAATAGGTAAGGAGAAAACGACTCTAATTTCAAAATGCTATGAATGGTATTTTTCAGCAGGCATACAGACAATGCTGGACGCTCCAAACACTCTGGATGAATAAAGTTGTCCGCAAGTGGGCGCATTAGCGACTGCTGCTCCTTTGTTCCAATCCAAAGTTCGGTAATTCCTAACCTGGAAAGATTTTTTTTTGCAGTTGGAAAAGGCAATCCTTTTAACTCATGAGCTATTGATTGCAAGGGCTTTCTAGAGTATACTTTGTCATCTGTGACAGTAGTACTTTGAACTAGATGACCAGTCCTGCCAATATCTTCAACAACTCCACGGCCAAAATCATATAAGGCTCTACCAAAGCTACCAACGATTTCCAGTGCATCGCTTCCTGGATTATCGTGGGAAATGAAATGACGAGTTCTATGAAAATCTGGGTCTTGCAAAGAAGAGGTTTGGTTCCTAAGAGTAGAATGATTTTCTGCGTGAATTCTACCCACTGGCTCCACACAAATACGTTGACTAGAAGATTCAGCTTCACTCTCGTTAGATGACAGCAGATGCTCGATATCAGACAAACAATAATCCAAGACATCTAAATATATATCAATAGACCGAAGTGCAACTGATCTAGAGGCTTTGAGCAAAGACCGAACCATCTGGGGCTTGATTTCTCTCACCTTAAACCCAACAGCCTGTATTTCACTGACTAATTCTGAAGGAACACAAAAAACAGGATAGTGTTCCTTGACGAAGCTGCATACATTGGCAGGGGGAAGCCCGCAACCTGTATCATTCGCTGATTGTGAAAGGAACATACCCTCGTTAGCTTTAACTATGTCTCCACGATATAACCGCCAAACAGGAAGGTCAACAATACGCTCATAGAAAGGCCTTATTACATATTGAATCATGTATTGCCAATCTACTTCATTTGCTTCTGCTAAACATGTGTCATTATTGAAAGGAATGGGTTGATCAGGAGAAGGTTTTTGAGGTGTTCTTGGCCAAAATGAGTAGACACTATCACCATAAGCACAAAGAATGGAACTCAAGGAAGCAGTATTATTGGTCTCAGTACTTGGATTCAAAGGATCTCTTTGGAGCTTTTGGAGCTCCAACACCATTTCAATATATGAATCACGAACACAAAACATAAGTTCCTTGTTCCAAGCTTCCATGAGTTGTTTTGTGGAGTCAAGGTGAAGTTTGGAAATAGTTGCACCACCTTCTTTATTGAAAAGATACCGTTCACCAGTGTGACAAACAAGGAAACATCCCATAGCAGTGACAGGCCAATTTATTTTTTGAGAAAGAGGAAGGGGAGACAAGACACAGCTGGATGAGCGTTGATTAATTGGCATCCCATTTTGAGATATGTGTGCTGCAACTCCAGCTACAGGTGTTAGGTTATAAGCAACATATCGCCTGAAAAATATATTAAGAATCAGCAATGCGCTACTAAAAATAGACAGAATCCAACTAAAAATCAGGTCAGACTATTAGACCTACTTTGCAAAAAAATATAAAAATCTATGTTGTTTTAAAATCTGATGTTTGGTTTGGTATAAATCCTAGGAAAATTGGAATTTCAGCCGAATAAAGGATTATAAATATTGACATAAATTAGCATCAACTCAAGAATTTAACTGAGTGGGAAGATACAAACATGAAATTTAAGAAGATGGAGAAAATGTGAGACATTAGCGTCGGGCATAAAGTCAACAAGTGTAGAAAGCCATTTCCCTACTTTCCAGCGTTTAGTTTTTCAAACACAGAGCTCTTTGAATCTTCTAAGAAGTTTAATTTTTAAAGTGAGATATTTAATTTTTAACCATAAAACTTTTCACAATGATTCCGTTCGCTCCCCCACTCGTTCATGTTCAATCAGTCAACCCTTCCACTAATAAATGAAACTATAGGTGGACTACTAAATTCTTTACAATGCACAATCCGGGGACGCATGATGCATATTTTGCCGTTCAACTAAGATTGTTTGATTGGCAAAAAATTTACTTGGTGGACAGCACCATCACGTTGGTTGGCCAACTACTGTAAAATGGGAAACGAAACAATATTAAAAATTACACCCTACTATTTAACATGTACGAGTCGCTCCCCTACTCGTACACTCCCTAGTAATAGAAATGAAAAAATGTGAAATCTAACCGCTATCTTTAAACTATATTTAAATTCCATTTTAAGAAAATAACAATGGTGGCAAAAACCAACTATAAAAAAATGATTTTTGATCAACGAACACCTTCACACTCATTCACAGACATACCTATCAAGGGCCATGTTTCTTGTCTGTCCAGATCCCATACTATGAACAACTAGCCATTTATTGATGGTAACATCTCCTCGTTGAAACACATGTAAATCCATAACATGCGACTTTATAGTAGCATTTGAACTATTAAACAACCGGGATATATGGAATTTCCTCCATTTTTTTTCGGAAAAAGGATTTCTCATAGTGGCGGATTTTGGATCAATAGAAACAGAATAATCCAGCGATGGAGTCAGATTTCCCACCTCCCAAGTCGACAAGGATACCTGAAATATAAATAACAAGTGAAAATGCTGACTCCAGGTGACAGATGTTGTATAAAATCAATAGAAAAGATGTTAGCTTTTGAAATGCCACGAAATGGAGTGATCTTCTGAATATAAAACTAGACCAAGCATATGGAAATTAAAAAAATGTAATCATTTCAAATGGTGTAAAAGAGAATCTGGTCATCTAATTCAACTGAATTGGTAATAAGTAGGGTGGGCATATAGTTTAACCACGAGTGTGCAACTTCTCTCGTTCAACACGAAACTGTTTTGATAAGCATCCTCACATGCAAACAGAATCTTTCATGGTCTTATCATCTGGACAACATAGGAAGGGCACAATACCCAAACTAGAACGTAGAATTAAAGATGTGAAAAATGTGAAAGAATCAATCATATCATGCAATACCATGATGAGTGAAAAAGGCCCACTATTTCAACTACATGTTTAACTTCTTCCATTTAAAAAGAGACTAATTTGAAAAGGGTCCCCAATCTGATATTGAGGGAACTCTGATCCCCGCTGAAAATCTGTCACCAATGTCTAGTAGCCCTTTCCACCACCGAATTTATTACTGCAGAAGAAGGAAATAGGCAAAATAAAAAAATTATGGGCCTCTAGCCATCTCTGTAAATGCAACACACAGAAGAAGATGGGATGTTTTAATGTCCCGGGCTGTTCTTATACTGAAAATTTTCCTAGGGTATGTAGGACTGGAATGGGTACAGCAGATTTGGCCGCCCCATCTGCAGCACATACCCTGGCACAAATTGCAGAGCTCAGAAGCTGGATCGATTTGTAGAAGCCAGACCAATTTTATAAACCATGATCCCACTATGCTCCACAATAACAAGGATGAAAATTACGGAATATCAATAAAGCATATACATCTATACACAAATCTAATTCAAGTAACACAGGTAAAGATCTGATACACCAAATTGTCAATTTTAATATATCATTCAAACATTTCTAATTGTAAAATCGTAGAATAATATTTCCGATACCTTCATAACTGATTTCAGGGATAAAATTGTTGAAGATCCATGGTCAATAAATTGGTTAAAAATTGCTTCTACTCTCGTTGAGGAAGCACCATATTCTTCTGCAAGTCTTGATGATAGAGGCATCCGGATAATTGTGGAATCTTTAATGGAAAACATCTCATCTTCATACATTAGCATAGGATGAAACTGATCCTGGAATTTTTTTGTCAAATCAGTACCTGCAATGCAGCATAGATGTTTTATACATGAATCACATGTCTATGACAATCACGACCAAATTGCTAGAGTTTTAAACGATCCTAATTACTATTATATGTTTAGTTTTATCTATTAGCACCTTCGCAAGAAAAATACTTAAAGATACAAGAAGACACAGGCCTTTAGGACCCATCTTTTGAAACAAAGGGCCAGAGCACACGTGATTGAGCATCAGCCTGATAATGACCCCAAATTTGACAGCAAGCTTACCATTATTAGTGCCATTTTATGCATACAACCTCTATAATGTCAGAAAATGTGAAGAAGACTGTATTCATATGAAATGCCAGGGATATCATTTATGTTTAACTTGTGCAGGAAATTTGTATAGTAAATAAGAGATATCTGCTTTGCGTACATGATTGCCAAGTTAAATTGTGTACCTATCAATGAGAACATCTTCGCTGATGGTATGGTATTTGAATGTGGGGAAAAAGCAAAACCAAGAGGATCAAACATGTAGAGGTATCCACCAGAAACAACTGACAGAAGATCTGATACTGAGTGACAGCTAAGCAATGCTAAACCATAATAAAGGGTAGCCCCCCTAAGCTTCCATGGAGGAGACAATTGCAGACTGCACAACTCTTCCCGGCTTAAGGTAGTCCCCTCCAGAACTGCTAACAGAGAAGGACCTTGAAATTCACCTGGACGATGTCATTTTCAAAAAATTACAAACCGAATTGAGAAACAATTATCTAATGTTAGAAAAAACATATGAAAAGGAACTCTTAGAGAATTCTCAAAAAATGTTTCACGACTCAGTCAGAAACAGTATTAATCATCTAAGAATTAGTAAAACTTCACCAAGGTTGTGCTGTAGCAAGGATTGTCGAGGATGCTCCCGCTTGTCATATATTACGTGAACCTTCTTGGCGTTACAGCAGTCAGCTAATTCCAGGATATCAAATAACAAGAACTGATTGTTTCCATACAACTGAAGAAGCTCAGAGATTTTACTATAGCCCATGCATGGCAGATCTTTAGTCATCTCATCATCAACAAAGGACAAGGAACGCAGTGATTGTAATCCCAGCTGCTTTGATAGATCCTCACGAACACTTGGATGTACAAATAGCTTTTTAGGACAGCTTTTTTCCATCCATGGCGCATCATTATACACAACATCATTTGCATATGCCAAGCCTCCAGATAAATCAGGAACTAATAGTGAACTCAAAAGTCCATCATTCAATGGCTTCTCTGTAGAGCAGTCTGAAATTGCTTCCAGAACGCAAAGAACAAAATTTAGCTGCTCAGGTGATAATAACTCGCCCTTGAGGTCCTGATGCAAGCGTTGTAGGACGTGCAAATAATCAAGAACTTCAAACGTCGACCTAACACCTAATTCTAAAAGTAAGGGTCTGAATCCTGATAGCTCAGACGGGACAACATACAAGTAAGGATGGTATTTGATGGGTGAATCAAATGCAAGTGCACAAGATGACACAAAATTATCACCAACCCACACCCATTGACTACTGCTAAGAGAAACTTTTGCAACTTTAAAATCATCACGACCAACAAAGTGCTGCAATTTTAAGTAAAGCGCAGTAATTTCCCTCTGTAATTGAGAATCAAGAAAAGCTTTCTCTTCAGAGTCCAATTCAAGCTGGTAATACATTTTAGAGATGGCGATTAATTGAGCACATAAAATTCTGATATCAGGGTGGTCCAGCCAACCAAGTCTATCCTGAAGGTAAGTTGGAGAACATTCAGATTCCAATATCCTCATTCTTGATGAAACAATCCACATTTGGGATTTGGGTCTAGTAATATCTGGAGAAGCCACAAGGCTTTTCGAACTGAACCATGGAATTCCTTGCATTGGTGGAATAACAGAGACTGGACACCAAGAAATTTTTTTGAGTTCTGACCAGAATTCATCTTCAAATTCGGTATTAAAATCTCCAAGGCACGCATGAACCTCTGAATCCAATTGCATGCAATCATCACAAACATCTTTTTCTGAATGTTCTGTGACCATCAAATCATTCTCCAGATGAAACACACTATCGTTACTGCTATGTTGCATGTCTTTGCAGCACGAAGAGAGCTTTAAGGACAGAGCACCCAAACAAGAAAGCAACCTCTTCCCGAAAATTAGTGCATCAGGATCACCAGAATCGTGCAGCATAGAAATTGATCTCGCACTGTCCAGCAAACCAGTAAAATCCAAAGTACATTTAAGTCCCACATATGCCAGTATATCGAGCATTTCAGTGTTCGAAAACTCATCACAAGGAAAGTAATGATTGTGAAGTAGTTTCTTTAAGCCCGGAACACGGGGATCATAAAGCCTGAAACCAACCGTAATTTGATTCTAAGTATGAAATGAAATTTCTCATGAAGCAATTCGAATTCCACAGATCTTCTGGAGGTATCAAAAAAGTTCATATTGAAACTCAAAAAATAAAAATAAAAAAATCTAATCACATAAATTTCAATGCTATTCGCTGAAATGCATCATATAAACCTACTCATACTTATCTCAGACATAAAGGATCATAATATAAAATATTACAGGTAATTTCATTAATTCCAAGTTTCAGGATATTATTGCTTTTAGATTATTTTGCCAACTGTTCCCAGAATCTTATATTCCCAAAATCAGGCCAGAAGTAGCTGATCCCTACCTGAGTTATAACCAACAAGAAAAATCTTGACTCAGAGGTTCATAACACTAAATATTCCACTGTGAAGTCAGGTCACTGATGCGGCCACTGATGCGATCAAAGCTTAGGCAATCTATTCCAGCTTCTAGATAGCAAAAATAAGGTACCAGTAGACAAGTAGCAACGATTGGGTGTACTACTGAGGTTGTCTTTGCAATACACGACTGACATGATTTTGAAGAGAATGAAAACTGATGTAATTGTCACACATTGAAAAAGAAATGTAATACCCCTCCCTTGCATCTTACACACAAATAAAAATTGGACCACTAGTTAAACAGGCGACCTGATAAATCCACTGCAGCCGGTGGCCAAGTTTCTATCAACACTCAAAAGATGTACCAATTTCGCCATTAGGCGAGAGGAGATTCAAATTTCCGAAATAGACGAAGTTCCATACTGACGACAATGACACGTTAATGCATGATTAATTAGTGAATCCTCCTCACTCGATTATATAACATACATACATATGGCATTCTTTCAGGGCAGCCCAACTTTAGGCCTCACGACCCTTGCCAGAAATCCTATACGGGATTTGGTGGAACTCTTAGAAAATCGAAAAGGTGCCTATGAAAAGGATCATACGGAGGTTTATGTCATTAATGAGTTTCAGAAGGCAAAAGTAGAGTGGTGAACCTTAAGCTCAGTGCTTTGATGATGAAAATCCCCTTGTCATATTTTCCATCATATTATAAAAAAATATTTTAGGTCGTGATTTTTACAGTAGCAAGATCGTCCCTCTTGGGCCCAAGGTTGACATGTCAATTACCCAGGCTACCATGAGCCACCTTAGTCAACCTGTCCAGAACAAACTGTCCTTTCGGACTCAGTTGACCCGTCTAAATGTTTTTTTTCCTGGCTAAAACTAACGTCTGACACCTATAGTCAATCCGGTATATATCAATTGGCTAAGACTCTCGCAGAGTTGACCATTCCAAATGCCCAATCTTATAACCCGAAGCTGGAAACAATCAATAGGTCATCCGGATCTCTTATGCTAGGCCAAAAAACTTTCTTACTAGATTTTTTTTCGTCGTTCTTAGAATGGAAGCATACAACCACTTAAAACTGCTACACTAAAGCACCAAGTCGAAAACATATTTGGAGAATAAATTAGCATAAACTATCAAAATGCAGCACATGGCCAGCACGAATGAAAACGTGGTGAATAAGGGTACCTTGCAGGACACTGCCAGCATCCATTAGCTGATAAAACAAAAGGATATTCTGCAAAGACGATTTTCATGGAATTGTCAACATCAATGAGATTTTTCAAATCACATAAAATTGAAGAGAGCACAGTTGGCTGAGAAAGGAAGTCTGGCATATGGTTTAAAACATGATCTTTGTAAAATTCAGCTTTTGAAGGCTCTCTAGTACCCATGTAACTTTTGAGAATGGATTTTTCTCTTTCTGATTCGGTCCGAACGAAATTCTCATCCAAAAGGTACTCGTGTATGCCGTGTGGTCTAAGCCATTTGGTAGGATTAGTCAAAGAGACAAATTTCCTACTTCTGTATGTTTCAAACAAAGGCAAAAGCTTGATCATGTCAGTATGCCGAGTTTCCATTACGTTGCCAGAGAACCACTTAGATTGGAGTAGAAAACTCCTCAATTCATGTATCTCTCCTTCTAGTGTATCAACAAAAAGATTCATGATATCATGAGGCAATTGAGCAATGGCGCGTATTGCATTCAAGATCCCAGCTGCTGTTGGATCCTGCACAAAATTCTTCAACTGAGGATGTTGTATCTGAATGTCAGACCTCAAGAAGAAACATCCTACTTTCTGCAAAAGAGAGAACATATTTTCACTCCAACTTTCATTTTTAATGATATTCGAATTTTCAACAAGTTGGAAGAGATGACAATCTCCAACAGGCAAAATGGGCCACATTGAAAGCATGGAAAGGTCATTGCAATGAGAGTTCAAGTAGCTCCAGAGAAGTTGAATCCACTCAATAGTTGGATGACCCTCCTGGCCAGGGTTCCAAGATACCTGCTTAGCATAGTGCCACTCTGGAGGCAGAATCCTTGGAAGGAGATCAACAAGTGAACAACAAGTCAGTAGTGACAGATTCGATTGCCCAGATTCCGCAATGCTATGCAGTTTTCTGAAGATCACTTCAGGAATTTCGTAGTCAACTAACAGATGTGGAAGTAAATCACTGAGAAGATTATATTCATGTTCTGATGTAACAAATACTCTTTCACCCTCTCCATGCTTCTTGAATGTTGTAAATGAGCCATTAGCAAGAGGAACCAAAGGAATACCATACAAATCATCATAAAATACAGACCCATCCTTGTCACTCAAGCAATATTCTAGCATCAGCATCATTGCATCCTTCTTGTTAAATTCTCTCTTACGTCTAATCAACAATCTTCTCAGCAAGGGAGGATTTAGAACATGCAAAGATGGGCAGGCATTGACAAATCTTTCAGCAATGGGCTTTGTGATGGTTATCAGAGGTAAACCAGACTCGGATAGTGCCTCTCCAAGAACATTTCCTTTCAGAAAAGTAAAATCAGGGAAAATACCTTGTCTTGTTGAAATCCACTGGCCCCCTCTAGCTCTCGTGTAAAGAACACAAAGACCTAGGTCAGCAATAGATCTGTAGACTGTTCTCACTAGTGAAGCCCATGGTTCAATTCCGACCAATGTGGGCCAAAATGAAAAAAAGAGATCACATGGGCCAATCTCTAATGCAACAGCATTGAGAAAATGTGCGTAAGCAGGGGCAACAACATCTACAAGGAGGGAACTATTCCAGTCAGAACGTATTTTTCCGCCCCCAGCCATGTCATTACCAAACCAAATATCTCTCCTATTCGAGGATAATTCAAAATATGCATTCAGATGCACTGGAAGACCAGTGTTAATCGGAAGAGGTAAAAAACAGAAGGCCCGGCCTACAAGCTCCTTTACATCTTGCATCAAATATTCTGTAGGCTGATATCGAATAAAAGTTTTATGATCAAGTTGTCCCTCAGCGTTGAGACTGTCAACAAGTTCCTTGTCATTAACAGAATGTAAATATGCAGCAACACATCCCCAAGGAATAAAATTATGAGACCTGTTGGCTAACAAAAGAGATTTTTCTTTGGCATTTCCGCCACCAATACATTCACTGATCAACCAAAAATGCAACTTTCCAATAGACATATGTCTTTCAGCTATTGCAATTTTCTGACAATGCCATGGCAGATCTCTGTCCACAGTTTTACCTAATTTATCCAAGAACTTTTCTTCTGTTAATCCATTCATTGAATTTCCATGAACAAAGCTAAGTAAGTTATGAAGAGGATGCAGCTCCTTATCAGGTTCATTGACATTAAGCCTAGAAACACGGTAAGAAAGTTGCATTTCATGATCCGGCCCATCCTTCACAAAAATAGACACAGTTTTCACGTTGCGGAGAAAAAGCAGGGCCTCAGATACAACTTCAGAAAAAGACAAGAATAGTGAATGAACATCTTCAGGTGAATATTTCTCTTTCTTTATTTGGCTTCTAGAAGCAACAATTTCATTCCTGAGTGGAAAGCGGAAGAGGGTGCCTGGAAATGAACTTTTTAAGTCACATCCAAAGTGCAAGAAAGGGGCAAATTGATCGGGAAATTGTTCCAAGATACTCTTTCCAGCATATCTGATTCTCAAACCAGGATGGGTTGGGGATATCCCAGGAAGATGGCATGCATGAGGATCAAAAATCACAATGTTTTCCCCTGAAACAAAACCTGGAATATCAGTAAAATGATAAACACAATTGAAGCCGAGCCCAAATCTTCCAATCGAAAGAGGTTTCTCAAGCTTTCCATCCTGACCAATCCGTGAAATTGCATAAAGATCTTGCGGGCTGAAAACAGAATTATTGTAACAATATAGAGCAGGTCCCTGCCATTCAGCCATTTCAGGGGAAAGAATAGATGAGGTCCCGTACTGTGTCTTATCCAAGAGAAAAGACACCTCAGAAGCTCCAGCGTCTTCTGCATTCTGAACAAGCTCAAAAAGAATTCCTGGTCCATCTGCATACATTTCAATAATGTGCTTAAGCCTAGTTGTCAAAGCCTCATGCTGTCCAAATGCCTCTGCAACCCCAGATAAACTCAAATTCATTGAATCAGAACTCTCAGCAAGGAGAATCCTACGAAGTGAGCGGACACCAAGTTTTTCGGCAACATCATTGGAGATATTGTTATGGACAAATTTGCAAACATCCTTCTCTGAGTACAAGTCGGTTTTTGATATTTTCCTAGTCAAACCATCTCCAAGATCGAGCAGCCATGGAGCATCATTATACACCAGATCAGAGGCAGGAAATAATCTAGATGAAGCATCAGGTATATGAATTTGAACGTGCAGACCCTGGTGACATACCCCAGCAAGATGTTGCGCAACAAATATAGCCATACTAAGCTCTTGTCGGTCAAGGGGATCATTGCCTTTTTTCCTGCTCATTCTGCAAAGAATATTAGCATAATCAATTGGCTTTAGGGACTCCTCTACACCCAGCTCCAAAAAAAGCTCTTTGAAAACAGCTAAATCCACAGGAATAACACGTATATATGGAGCCAAATGAAGGTGACCACTAAGAACAACTTCATCCACAGTAGCAAACCCGTCCCCCACCCAAATCCAGCGGCACCCTGTTAAAACAGCCTTAATGACATCCATCTCGTCTGAACCAATCAAACCCATCAGAAGGGAATAGATTTTTGGCATTGCAACCGTCAATTCCTGCCGAAGTACTTGATCTGTCACAATCTCGTTATTTTTCCCCAGTTCAAGAAGTTGGGCTGTTACTATGCTTCCACTCGGAGGAGAAGACCAGCCCAAAGTGGATGACAAGGCTGAGGAGGAACATTCACCATCCAATATCCGCATGCTCGCTGAAACAAGCCACAGATCCACTGGTAATCTAACTACCTTTGGAGGTGCTAGAATAGACGATACAGAGGGCCAAGGAAGAGATGAAAATGGAGCCGTGACCAGAACCGGGCACCAAGATATCATTTTTAGATCATTCCAGAACTTTTCCGTATCCGACTCCAAAAACATATCATGAGGCCTAAAACTTGATGCACCTTTTAAGAGCATCCTGCTCATTTTTTTCTCACCGTCAAAATGTGGCTTACGCACCCACTTACTAGCATTAACTTCTAAGTAAGAAAGAAGGACCTTGCCCCGAGAATATGCCTTTAACGGATCACTATGCATCAATGACTCAATATGACGGGCACTCTGGATAATTGTTTCTGATGAAACTGACGTCCTAAGGCCCAAATATTGCAGCATGCTCAGTATGCCAGGTTCTTGAAATAAACAATGAGGAAAGCAATCAAAATCTTCTAGAAGACCATACAGTTCCTCAACACGAGGATCATATAGAGATCGCGGGCTCTCTCTAGTCCCATTAATTGTTGGCACGAATTCTAAGTTGCTCAATGTTTCTTTAAACGATGAATCATCGGAGCATAGCTGAGGGAGATCATGTAAAATATTTATCATGACCTGATTACAAATCTCGAATGACAACTCAGAAATTCTATTAAATACATTTTCCTTGTAAAATACGGTCTTCTCCATGTGTCTGATTCCAAAATATTTTCCCAAAATTTCCTCATCTATATGGGAATAACACCAAAGAAAATTGCCTCCAAGTATATGCTCTGGAATATTACACGGTGGTAGGTATTTTTTCGGGCTTTCTAAATCAGAAAAAAACACGGTTGCAGAAAGTCCATTGTAGACCCTGAATATAGGTAGCTTCTTGCAATCACTGATTTGGGAGTCATCCATAAGATCCTCGTAATACCACTTAGGATCGAGAAGAAATTTACAAAGCTCAGTTTTCTCATCAGACGAAAGATTCTGGAAAAGCATTTGAAACATAGCATCACCCGTAGGAAGAACGTCTAAAATTGCATTCAGGACACCGCCCCCATTAGCTTCGTGAACATACAGGTGCAAGTCCTCGTGATCAATACCATAATTTTGGTCTAGTATCTTGCAATCAAGCTTCACGAGAATATTCTTCAATGGATCTGATAGGTGTTTTGAATTCATCAACTTTGAGAATCTTGAAGCTCTGTAGAGGTGCCCTGAAGTAGAAGGCAAGATGGGCCAATCACTAAAGATCGACAAATCGTGGCAATACATACAAAGATACTGCCAGAAAAGCCTGAACCAAGACAATGTTGGCTGGTTCGAATCAGAATGTCCATTCCAAGGCACTCCAATCTTATATTTCCATTCAATGGGGAAAAATCTGGGAAGAAGCTGGAGGAAATTTTGAGCTTTAAACATTTTAATGTTGGTTGTTGAGGCTGTTGCAACTCCAGAGAGTCTTTCAAACAATTCAGAACCAATTCTACGGTCAACTACTTGATCAGAGACCCCTTCAAGCAACCTGTATTCAAATTCGTCGCATACGAAAATAGAAGGTGCAGTTGAAGTTTCAGAAAAAGATGCAAACCCGCCATCTGCTAATGGTAGTAATTGAAGCCCATGTAGGTGTTGTCCCACTTCAGCATCTGTTAGATCACTAAGACAATACTCCAAAAGTACTAATCTGTGATGTCGATTCACTGGAGTTAGGAGTCCAGATTTCTCAAGGAAACGCCTTACAGTTGCAGGCGTGACTGCCCTCTGCCATAAACGTGGAACACAATGAAACATCATTTCAACCACTAACTTGGGTGGAGAAACAATGGGCATCCCAAGAGAGACAAGAGCATCACCAAGGGCACTGCTCCTACAGAACTGCACATCGTGGAAAAAAGCCTCAAGGGGTGATAACCACGTACCCTCTCCAATCTCAGAGTAAATAACCGGGCTAGAAACAACGTTCTCATAAATGTGGCCCACTAAAAACTTCCATGGCTCATCAAATGAACCGAAGGGCCATAAAGAGTAATACAACTCACTGGGACCCAATTGCTTGGAGAGACGAACGAGTAACTCACCGAAGACTGGTGCGACAACATCTTCCAATAGAAGTTTATTCCACTCAGATCGAAGTTTTCCTCCTCTGTCCATATCATCCCCATACCATATGCTCCGACGGTTGGAGGAAACTTCAAAATATCCATTCACCTGCACCTTCAAGCCTGTTTTCACAGGCAGAGGAAGGAAGCAGAATGCCTGGCCTTGTTTAAGAACATCATCCTGTAAGATTGAAAAAAGGCCATTAATTTAAGAGGAAATATTAACCCACATGGTAAAATTTAACGAAATACATTCAAGCCAAAAAGAATATGACTCTTAAAGCAATTAGAAAACACTAATCCTTGTCTATGAACCTGGCTCCAGTCCACAAATGGTTACCAACAGTCAGCAGCATGTCTATTCTTCCTAACAGAAAAAACAGGCGACCAAAATAACACCCAAAATAGATGAACAAAACCCTAGCAAGAGAGGTAGAAGAAGGGGAAGAATGGAAAGAAAAAGGAAATGAAGATAGGAGATAAGAACAAGCTAGGAACAAGGTATGAAGGAAATTATAAACTATCTTGTCACATAAAAAGTAACTCTGCTAAGAATCTGGCTCAAATAGCTTGACCGTACATGCATAAAAAACTTTAATCATCCAATGGGGTCAATCCCATCTTGGCCTAGATCTAATTGGCCTTGGCCGATCTGGCCGCAATTTAGTTCCATGTACAATGGTCCCATGACCACATGTAAAACCAGACTCCTGAGGGAGATTGCACTCATCTACATGATGTTTGCCACAAAGCATCCCTCTCCCCCAACCTCCATAACTGCATGTGCAATAGAGTTTTACAAGACTATTTGATCAATCGTTTCGCTACCTTTTTGGCATATGCATGTTCATCCCACTAAAATAGATATAACACCTTCTGATCATTAATACCCCACCACTGACAAAAGAAAGAGCCTCTGAAATCTTGAACCTTCTCAATAATACTCGATCTTTTGAAAACAAGCACGAAGTGGATAGCTAATGTTCAACCATCAGATAAAGTCCCACTGTCCATTAGATAAGAGGAGTTTTGATTTCCATTTTTACAAACATAATCAAACTCTCTCACCGATTCATTCCAAACCTGCATAGTATAAGCATCATTTGATAATGACGGTCCACATATCCAATGGAAATGTGAGCAGTTTTATATCACAATAAGCCACTGCAAAGGCAGATCTTTCTTGAGGTTCATTAATGTCAACTAGTTAGATCCGAAGCAGTTAATATCAACCAGCTGGTCAAACAACAGCAGACTGTTAAAAAAGAGCTAAGACTGACCTGATGAGCTCTGGCGAAAAAATTCAGGTCAAACAACAGCAGCATGGGAACCGGATCTGTGCTGCTAATGTAACTACTGAAGAGTGCACTAATAAAATATTCTGCAGTGGAAACCTATTTCACCAGATACTTTTTGCTGAAAATCGTTTCTAGACCTGTTTGTCCAGAGATGACCATTTTTGCTAAAAAGGAACTGGTTTAAATTCTCAATGTCAGTTGAGCATATGACATTACTGTTGTCACTATGACGACAAAACATAGAGGGAAATATATTAAAAACTTCTTTTTGGCAAAATAATAAGCAGCAAATAATTTAAGAATAGGAAATCCACATGTTGTGCATACAAAAATGAAACTAAGAACGCCAATGAGAAGTGTCCATCATTTATATAGAACCAAAGAGTACGAAAACCATCGATTGTAATCACACAAGATGAGATAACATACCTCAGCTAAGCCACCTGATATACAAGCAGCAATAGATGCCCAAGGAAGAAGGTGAATATCATATTCCTTGGCAGCATTGGCAGCAAAGGCACCAATTCTACTAGACGATGATGCTAATGCTTGCACAATGAAAAAAGTAACAATTTTCTTCTCTAATCGTGTTCCAACAAGTGTTTCGCTTAAAAAATCCAAGGAAAACGACTCAAACTCTCTTTTGCCCATTTCAATTGATCTAGACAGCCTTCGAAGTGCCTGGCGATGCTGAGTCATACTTTCATTTATTGAATTGATAGAGCAAGCATAAACTTTTCGTGGTTCATCTGTACCATTATTCCATACGTACATCTCAATTGAGATGATGTTTTTGAGGAAAAGCATAGCAAAAACTGCTTCTTTGTAAAGTTGAGAAAAAATGGAAATAATGTCATCTTCTACGTATGTTTGTCTTGATAGTTTACTAACTGCTGCCTGACTTGAACTTCTCAAAGGAAATCGAAACAAAGTTCCAAGGAAAGGCCTCTTCATGTCACATCCAAAAGCACAATATGGAAGGAACTGATCACTATAAAATGATATAGCTGAAGAACTAACAAAATCAAGACGTTTTCCAGGGTTTGAAGAAGCAACATTAGGAAGATATTCACCCTGCGGATCAAATAACACCACATATTTGTCACTCACGAAAGATGGCAAATCTGTCAGATGGTAAACTGAGTTGAATCCCACTCTGCACAAGGAAAGCAAGAAAACATTAGCCAGTATGTGCTGCATTTTCGAAAGAGATGTATTCCACACAAAGAATGCCAAGGATACAAAAAAAGTCAAGCCTGAGAAAAAAATAAAATTTAATTGAGCATAAAATTAAATAAAAATGCAATTTTGAATATTATCATAAGCATTACATGGATCAAATTATATTAACTACGATCCCATGGTATGATCAGGAACCAATAAGCATTACAAGTAAATTACTCATCAGGGATGCGAAAATTCCGTCTCTTCACAACATTAGGTTCTCGATTTCCAACAAAGCTAGAGGAAACCAATTACAAGAAACTTCCACAACCAGGTGGTCTTTATATCAGGCATACTACTCAGGGATTCTAGATTATTACGGGATCCGAATTCAGATAATCACGGTAGAGTTAGAAAAACAATTCCAACAATGCTCTGTCAAGGAAATTTACGTGACTGCATCAAATGTCAATGTATTTAGCTACAGGCTCAGAGAGCATTAAGCCTGTTCTTCCCAAGCAAATTTTGTCGAAAAATTATCCCACTGCTTTAACAGATTACAGCTCTACATAATAGTCGTCGAAAATAATTTCCTATAAAATATCAATTTCCACTCTGTCGCTAGTTTTGGATGGTGATCTTGAGATTTCGCAAAGACCCATCTGCTAAAGCGATGAGAAATATTAAGGTGACCTTGAGAGCTTTTAATTTCGCAAAGACCCGTAGATAAACGATGTCAATATATTATAGGCGTGAATGGGATTAAAATGGCAACGAGTGTTCCATGGAATTAAAAATTAAAAGCAAGAGCAATTCGCGAGGCTTCACAAGTCTACTAGCCTTCCTTAATCCGGAAGCTCGATAGAGAAATATTTAAACACATTCTTACTTATTTACGGGTCGTGATTAAGAAAGATTAGACCCTTTTTACAGCGTACAATTCGGAGCAATAATTAGATGTCGCCCATTCGACATGACAGAAGTAACGACAACATTTATCCAGTTCTGAGATTACAAAGGAAAAAGGACAAGTTTGCATAACTACCCGAAACGCCCCGTCTTCCACACTTGATCCTGCTTCTTGCTGTCCCCGATGTTGCAGATGCTAACAAAATCAGCCTCCGTGAATACGGCATCGTTGTAGGCCAGAAGCGCCGGTCCCTGCCACTGACCCAGCTTGTCTGATAGCAGTGACGACACGCCGTGCGATCGCCGGTCCAGGCAGAAGCGCACCTTAGTAGCACCGGCGTCGTCGGCATTCTGAATCAACTCCTTGAGCACGGTGGTTCCCTCCGGATAGTTCACCAAGACCTCCCGGATCCTCCGGGTGAGGTCGATCCTCTGACCGAAGTCCTCCAAAAGCCCCTGATCCATGGCTTCCATCTCCGTCACTTCCCACTGCCGACTTCAAACGTCCGGCGTCATCGCGGGCTCACGGCACAACAGACCTCCTGACATCTCCCCGGAGGAGAAGAATTCGAGGAATCTCTTCTCGATCGACAAAGACGCACCCATGCTGGAGTTCCCCAGAATTGGGGATTTTTTCTCCCCTTCCTCCCGCCGGATTTATAAACTCATCGGTGCCGGGAAACCCCAACCCCACGCCAACCCTTCGACGAACTCTATTTGTTGGGGCCCAGCAGCTCGCCCCCACAGTCCAACGGTAGCATCTTGGATAGCTCTGTAGTATCCTTTAACGCTATCGAAACCGAAAGCGCGCTCATAAGGCTCGATACGGTACCAAAACCGCCGTCGAATTCCCAATTCCCCAAAAAAAAAAGAATTTCCTCAACCTGATAATTCGCCGTAGGCCATCGGGCTTGGGCCCTAAACTTAAGCCCAGTAAGTAAAATATGGACAATCCCGCCCGTTCTCCTTCAGAGAACGGCTCCGGCGAAGCCCGTTCCTTTTCTCGCCCTTTTTTCCCCTTAAATTGCTCAGTGAGTGTACAAATAGAGAGCCTAAACGGGCCTTCTGGGCTAGCTATACTCCTTAAATTTTGGCCCAAAGCCCATTTCCAGCCTTTTTGTCTCAAACTACTGAAATGGAAATAAAGTACGTGCGGTATCCTTCTCCGCCGCCTTTTTTCCATTCTCATTCTCATCCATCGCCACCGCCAGCGGGGAATGCTTCTCCATCCCCTCTCACCACATCATTCTATTTCAGGCATTTAGAGCGGGATCCTCCGAAAATTTCGCGAATGAAATCGCAGCGTCAGCTCGAGAAATGAATTCACGTATTCGAAGAAGAAGAAGAAGAAGATTCTGCAACGTGGCGAAAGGACGCGATCCGCTGTCGGATAGATCAACTTCTCTTTCTACTGTTCGTGGGAAATCCGGTCGATGACTCGTTCCGGTATGTCCGTTCTTTTCCGAATATTTTAAGCCTCAAGGATAAGATAGAGCGAGAGCAAGAGAGAGAGAGAGAGCCGGGGGATTTGGTTTACACGTCAGTAGAAAACAACAGGTTTATTATCATCTCCACGTCGGTTGTTTCAAGCCCAGGGAGGTCATTTTCCTCCAGTCCAGCGGGAGACAAGGACAAGTTGACTCGTTCTCTCCGCCGTCATCTCCGCCGCCGTCGCTACATCCGGGAACTCGGCTGGGGAAGGGGGGGAGGCGCCAGCGCGCGGGCCATCTCCCGGAGAAGGTACTTCTGTATCTTCCCCGTGGAGGTCCTGGGGAGCTCCTCCTTGAAGACCACCGTCTTGGGGACCATGAAGCGCGGCAGCCTCTCCCTGCAGTGGGCGACGATCTCCTCCTCCGTGGGCCGGCGGGCGCCGCCGCCGGCCTTGAGGCTCACGAACGCGCAGGGCGTCTCCCCCCAGAGCTCGTCGGGGCGGGCCACCACCGCCGCCTCGTACACTCCCGGGTGCGTGTACAGCACCGACTCCACCTCCACGCTGCTCATGTTCTCGCCGCCGCTGATGATCACATCCTTGGATCGGTCCTTGATCTCCAGGTACCCGTCCGGGTGCATCACCCCCACGTCGCCGGTGTAGAACCACCCGTTGCGGCGGACACTCTTCGCCGTCCCCACGGGGTCCTTGAGGTAGCCCAGCATGAGGCAGCCGCCCCTGAGGACGATCTCCCCCAAGGTTTTGCCGTCCCTCGCGACGCTCTCCCCTGTGTCGGCGTCCACCACGTCCACATCGGCCATCGCCAGGGTCCTCACCCCTTGGCGGGCCTTGAGCCTGGCCCGGTCACTCGCCGGGAACCTGTCCCACTCCTCCTTCCACGCGCAGGAGATGACGAGCCCCGCCGTCTCCGTCAGGCCGTACCCGTGGCTCACGGAGAAGCCCAGGGCCTCCGTGCGGGACAGCACCGCCGCCGGGGGCGGCGCTCCGGCGGTGAGAATCTCGACCCGCCGCCTTCCCGGGGGGAGCAGGGGCTCCCCCGCCTTCCCGCGGCTGTCGTCGGGGGAATTGGCGAGCATGTTGAGGACGACGGGGGCGCCGCACATGTGGGTGACGCCGTGCCGCCTGATGGCGCCGTAGACCGTTGCCGCGTCGAACTTGCGGAGGCAGACGTTGGTGCCACCGGCGGCAGCCATACCCCAAGGGAAGCTCCACCCGTTCGCGTGGAACATGGGGAGGGTCCAGAGGTACACGGGGCGACAGGGGACGGACCAGTTGAGGAGCGAATCCACGGTGATGAGGAAGATGCCGCGGTGGCAGTGGACTACCCCCTTGGGGTCGGAGGTGGTTCCCGAGGTGTAGTTCAGAACCATCGGCGTCCAGTCGCTCTTCGGCCGGACCCACCGGAATTGGGGGTCACCCTTCCTGATCAAGCTCTCGTACGTGAGGCCCTCCTGCGCCGCCGCTGCTCCGTCGTCGATGGGGATCAGAAGGGGCTTCCTGTCACCGGGGCCGAATCGGGAGACTGCGTCGTCGATGACTGACCGAGACTCGCCGTCCACGAAGACGAACCTCGATTCGGCGTGGCGGAGGAGAACGGAGATGGTGCGCGCGTCAAGCCGGAGGTTGACGCTGTTCAGCACGGCGCCGGCCATGGGCACGCCGAAGTGCAACTCGTACATCGCCGGGATGTTGGGCGACACCACCGAGACCTGCACAGGAAATCCCCATAGATAAACGAGACGTCATCCGCCGATGGAATTCCCGCTGCCTAGTGTGAAGAGATTAAGAACTCAAATCCACCCAAGACCCACCACGTCGCCGGGAGAGACGCCCAGATCGCAGAGGGCGGATGCGAGGCGGAGGCATCGCTCGAGGGTCTGCGACCAGGTGTAGACGGTGTCGTTGTACACGACGGAGGGGCAATCGCCGTAGACGGTGGCGGCGCGCTCGAGGAAGCCCAGAGGGGTGAGCGGGCAGCCGTTGGCGGCATTCGCCATCATCAGCTCCTCCATCGCCGCCATCCCAATCCCCTCGATCTTCTTCCTTCCTCCCTCCCCATCGGATCATTTTATAACGCCCACCGGGAGACGAGCTTCCCTTCCCAAGACCTGGACCACTCACTACAGACAAAAACCGCAGACCGTGGAACAGCGACGTCACTAAATACGTAATTGGTTTAAGATGCACCTCAGGTTCTTTTACCTCCGCGCCCGCTGGTACTTGCTTACGAGGACGATTCGAACGCATGGCTCGCCGAGTGACGCAGCGGTTCGGACGTCCCTGATGGCATCATCAGAAGACGCATAGCTCCGCGGATGAGCTTATCCGACAGTATCACGCGTGAGAGGTGCGAATCTTAAATCAATAATATAGACAAAGAAATTTGACAATAAAGTCCAAACGCGCGGAGAAAATTGACAGAGCGTCTCACGGCAGATTCTCTCTCAGACGACGAGGGATCCCCAGTTTCTTCTTCTTTCTGCTCGTTCTTCCTGCGGTGGGCCACTGCGGTGGAATCGAACGACCTGGGACAAAATGTCGAGTTCTCATTTGATTGGAGAGTAGATGATGGAGACTGGGTTCGAATCAATGGTTTATCACAGAGAAGGAGAGGAGGTAGCGGGCGTTTAGGGTTCATTGGCTGCTCCAAGGGTTCGGCGCCACATAGGAATATCCGTGGAAGTGCTCGCCGGAGGTAGGCGTCGGCGCCGGGGAGTCGTCCGTGGGTGCCGAAGTCCAGCACTGGTCGAAGTTGGCCGTGCAGTCTCTGCCGCTCACGTCCGGCTTGAACTTGGGATTCAGCTCCCTCGCCTCCAGCTTCTTCCAGACGATCTGCCTGAACCATTTGTGTTTCTTCACTTGATCCCCTCCCTCCGGTCCGCTGCCCAATCTCTTCGTTGGGTCCTTCTGAAGCAGCTGATGAAGACAGGAAGATAAAGAAGGCCCCTCCGGGATGCAAGACGTGAGGACAGGCGCCGGACCGGCCGGTATTGTGCTTACCCCTTTCAGCAGAGAATGCGCTTCACTGCTCAGATAGGGCGGCAGCTTCATCTTCTCATTGATGATCCTCTGTTGAAGCTTCTGTCTGTTCGGGTGCGTGAAAGGAGGCTGGGAGAAGGGGCCAAAGAGAGAATCAGGAGGAGAAGAAAGCCCGCCCCTGACTCCAAAGAAGGAGACCAGCCGACCCACCTGTCCAGTCAACATTTCGAACAGCAGGATCCCAATGCTCCACCAGTCAGCATCCTTGTTGTGCCCCTTGGAGAGCAGTATCTCCGGGGCCATGTATTCCGTCGTCCCGCACATGGAGTTCGAGCGGTCCGACTCGTTGATCTCCTTCGCAAGCCCAAAATCCGTCAGCATCACCTGCACAAATGATCAATCTTGGACGTTAATTGGGGCTGAATTTCATGGTCGGCATCGAGGGAAGATGGTGGTCGGGTGGGGGGGATCGGCTCGGCTCTCACGTGGCCGTCGGCGTCCATTAGAACGTTTTCAGGCTTAAGATCCCGGTGAACGATCCCGTTGCTGTGCAGATGTGAAACGGCGGAGACTATCTCGGCGGTGTAAAACCTCGCCTGGTCCTCGCTACCCAAGACAGACCCAATGCCTTGATTCAGAAAAAAACAATGCACGGGCAGCGTAGTCCGAAAGACAGAACAGTAATCGGAAGGTACCTGAACATTCCCTGCCGGTACAAGTGAAAGAACAGATGTCCTCCGTTTATAAAGTCAAGAATCAGGTAGAGCTTGGATTTTGTCTGTAGAATGTCAGGTAACCAAACAGATAATCGATGCCTTATTCCGTCAAACGTTTATGGGACTAAAATATTTTGACAAAACTTGAAAATTTCATGAGAAAAATTTTATAAAGTTGAGAGTCAGGCAGAGCTTATATTTTGCCTCTGAAATGTCGGGTAACCATACAAAGAATTAACGCATTAATCTGCCAAAAATTTAAGAAAGAAAACACGCCTAACAAAATCCAAAACTTAAAAAAGATTACGAGAAAAAAATTAAATTATGACAGGAACTTTCATTCACACGAGCTAGAAAATTAAACATTTCTTGTCGAAAAATTGACTCGTGCAGACTAAGACTGACTAAGTGAAATCACTCGAGCTCATGGCTATAGAGCAAAGAAACTTGTCTTATCTGTAGATGATATATGCAGCCCATGAATATATTATTCTAGTTAGCCAGAAATCAATTGTCATACACGACCTAAAGAACACATTCCTTTTCCTCACCTCGGTATCAAAGTGCTTTGTAGAACCTCAGAAATCAGATCATTGCGTAATAACCATTACAATCCTCCTCAGGTGAAATGTCTTTTCTTTCCTCCATTCTAAACAGCCTTGGTAACCTGTGTGTTTATGTGTAGGATAAACTTACAGCTTCTGATTTTCCCCCATAATCACATCGTTATCACAGAAGTGGAGTCCATCGGGAGCCTCTCTCGTTCGTCTGAGACATTTGACAGGATTCTTTCTGCACATCCTGGTTGCCTCACTTCCCTCGAGCAATCCAAAGTAACAATTCACCAGGATTATTGCTATTAACGGCACCACGTGACTGGGAAAGCCTTCTTGAACCTAACAACACCAAATGCCCCACTGAATATGGAGTACATAGCATCCTTATTTATCTTCAATTATCTATCAATGTGTTAAATCGTTCAGTTCAGGGACTCAAAAAAGACTTCTACGTTGCATCTATTAAATTTGTAGCGAAGAATTTTTCAATGCATCTCGTTTAAGCAGTAGCACCATATTAATCAATCAATGTCAAGTCATTGACCGGGACAATGATAATTTTCTAGCGAAATCACATGGTAGAAACCCCAGTTTCTTTCCTGAGACAATGTTTAACACGATCCTCAATAGTTTATCCCACAATAATAAAGGTTTGCTTGTAGATCATGAATCTCACTTTCACTAAATCCCTCTAGAACATACACCCAAAACGCCAACTCGAGACTCTATCGCAAGAAACCCGACTCGCAAACCAGAAGATCCTGACGCTATAGCCCCTCCCAGCAAATAAATAAAATCTATAAATGGAAGTCAGAATATTGCTAGCTATCGCTTCAATGACATAATTTTTTGTTACAGTAATTGCAATTTTAGAAACATTCTGAAGGAAGAAACCTATGAAGATTATACGTACAAAGGGCATGCAAAGAAGGATATCTTCGTATAAAGGAGATCTTGACTATCTAAGCCCTCTGAGGTTCTTATCGTCTCTTAGTAGTAAGCATTCTTTGGTTCTTGCTTGCTACCTGCGTGTAGGGAACTCATTTAGACCCCTTGATAGGAGCTCCGCTGGTATGAAATTACTCCAAGCTTATTGGTGGAACGCAATTTGTCCTAAACTTTGTATTGGTGGCACAGGCCTGAGCCTAGTTTTATACCACCCATCAAATTCATTACGAGTTGATCAACTTCCGTCAATGTGGGACTGATTACCATTACGGTTGCGATTAAGCTCCTAGTTCATTGATGGATTTTTGAATGAGATTAACCATATACGATCAATAAATCAACTCATGCATGACAAAAAAGAGGCAATTCGATAGATGCAATTGCACAGAGAAACTAATATCGGATAGATGGCCGTAGATGAGGGCATCTGAAAAAATATATTCACCTGGAAGGAATAACGCAGCTGGACGATGAAGGGGTGGGTGATCTTGGTAAGTATATCCCTCTCAGCCCTCATGTACTCCACCTGGTTTCTCTTTATGATAGTCTCCTTCCGCATTACCTTCATGGCGAAAATCTCCATTTCTTCCCCTTCTCCTTTGTCGTCGATCCCCCGCGCCTTCTTTCTCACCAGGAAAACCTTCCCGAATGCTCCGCGCCCCACGAGCCTGAGTATCTCGAAGTCCGACGGGCCCACCTTACGGGGTCCCTCTTCCACTGCCCCGTCCCCCTCCACCTCCTCATCGCTACTTTCCTCCCCAGCAGCCGCAGCAGCAGCAGCAGCTGCCGCTGTTTCGTCCTTAAAGGAGGAGGAGGTAATCAGGCGGGGAGAGGGCCCGACCAAGGAATGAGACCTGGCGTGGATGATCTCGACGAGGAGGCGGGCCGCCGGTGACTCCGAAGAAGATGGATTGAGGGCTGTCGGGTCGTGTCCGAAGACATCAGAGAAATCATACTCGTCCTCTTCCTCCACTTCGCATGCCTGGTCGCCACTGGGAGCGGTTGAAGCCGAGACAATTGGAGAGATATGGAGTTTCTTCAGCGACAGCGCTGGCCTCTTCTTCCCGATCTCCATCTCCTCCTCCGCAGCCTCCGTTTCTCTGTCGCAGTCACATTTCTCCTCCTCGCCGTGGAACGCCGTCCGGCGGCGATCGGTGGGCTGCCCGACGGGATGCCGCCGACTGGTATAGATATAATCTATCAATTAATTGCATAACTTCTCATCTTGCCGAACAATGTCGACTGCTCCGGCGGTACAGCGTAAGGTTAAACCATGTCCAGGTATTTATTCCCTGTTTTTCTTGCCACGAAGGTCAGGAGAAGAGGCGAGCAAGAGAGATGAAAGAGGCAGTGAGCGGGAGAGGGAGGTTTCAAATACAGGCCCGGTCTGAAGGGGTTCCTCCTTGACAGGCTGATCCCCCGCCTCCTGCTCCTGGTCGGGTGGTGCGCCCCGTTCGCACTCGGGGTCTCAGATGGGGGAGCCAGACACGGGGAGAGGCGGTCGCTTCTCAGTTTCAGGGAGATGCAAAGGAATGTCTCCTTTCGGTTCTCAGCATCGGGGCGATGCCTGTCCTGCGAGTATTCTGAAAAGGTTGGTGCGGATTATTTTCCTATTAGCGCCAATCATCCCGTTTCAGTGTCTTTCCACAGTTTTGTATCTGCGATGGAATTTCGATTTCGTGAATTTTAATTTGTGCTCCCGTGGGCTCGAATTCCTCGATTTCGTTCCCGTTTTAGGTGAACAATGTAGAACGAATGAATATACTTTTACACTGATCTCCGTTCACCCGGAAATACGACCGAGCTATTGAATCGTAGCTTCCTCCATTGCATCATTTTCTTACGTTATTATTTATCGTGTTGCATAACACGTATGAACTTCTGAAAATAAACTTTTAGCTACTCTTCTAGGGTAAATGATTATTAGACTACAGGGCTGGTCCATTTTTCGTTTCTTGTTGTATTATAAGTTTTGGAAACTGATGCGCTGACTTTTCTGTATGTTTTCAAAAATGAAAATGCTTTAGAAGTCACACATCAATGATGTAAAATGTCTGAAATGTTACTCGAACATATATAGTACACTGTTCTGGACGATGGTTATGCCAATGCCTCATATAATCGCTCTTGCCATGAAACTTATGGTATAATTTTTACACAAGACATGAGAGTCCCGATAGATGTTGCTTTTAGTAAGGTACAATATCGCGTCCGAGTAAAACGGCAACGATTCGAAGCACTGTTTTTTACATTACACGATTTCGGAACCCAAGGACTCGATGGTATGGATATGTAAAATACAAGATTCAGAGATGCACTGCCCCGCCGGCGTCCTTCAGGGAGGGATGCTTGGTATTTATAAGGATCGTATCATTGGACAGGCTCATGCACATCGTTATTTTGCAATCCCTTGAAACCTGTCCCACCAAGTAATCTTGTTAGTTTTGATCTGATCCTTGGTGGTCTGAAAATCTCGATAGATAAATTTCTACTCGATAGGTTGTCGATGTGAAGCAATCAAATCATTGTCTAAGGGCTGTTTTCACCATAGGAAGTACAAACCACCAAAGGGTTTACCAGACGATGAGTGAAAAGCAGACCATGAGGATCAGAATTCTTTTCGCTTTGATTTGAATCACACCCAACTCTTGAGAAATTATCGTAGACCACGGTTTCTGTGGGTGATCATCATTAATGGTGATTATGTACAGATTTTTAATGCTAGAGTAATCATGTATTACGATATAAGACATTCCAACATTTCACTCTCTTAAAAGCACGTGAATCTATGATGTGCCTTCTTCTCGTTAGCGGTTTCTCTGTGTACATACGGCAGAAGCGGAGTATTCCTCTGCTGGGAATCGGCGCAGGACGGTTCCCTTTTGGCTCTTTCCGGCTGTGACCAGATTTGCACCTGCCGTATGTATACGCTGTATTTTTTCGTAGATTATTTCGTATTTTCATGTTAATGTAGAGAGTACTTAATGTCGGGAAATTTGTAATGATATTTGATTAAATTATTCGATGTTGTTAGTTGACGAGAAGTAGTGGTGGTATTATTAGTATTTAAAATTAACTTGCAAAGAATCCAACCACCACCAAATAACCAAGTCAAATGGCACTAAAATAATGATGCCGATGATTATTAAAACAAAATTAATGGAAAATAATTAATTTTCCCACTTGAAATACTTGTACTATTGACAAACTGAGGTTTAGATCAACTGGGCCGTATATAACGTCAGCCCATCATCACCCCGCTCTTGCCACAACCCCCGTGAACAGGAAACCCACCGCCTCTGCCTCCTTGACTATCAGCTCCTCCGCTGAAATCCTCAGTATCTGCGGCGCGAACAACCACCGACCGGTCGCCAGCAAGAACCCGATCGTCAGCGGCGTCGCCACTGCGGGGTGCAGCGGCGTCATTCCCCGCCCCGTCCACCACCTCTTCGCCGCTATCTCGGCGACCGTACAGAGCCCGTGGAGGACGAAGAAGGACGCGACCTCCCCGGTCGGCGGCTGGAGGGTCACGTAGAAGAAGATGACCTCGTGCATCAACCCGGAGACCAGGAACGACGCCATCACGCCGGCCGTGGGGCCCCATCTGACCCGGATTGGATCATGAACGGCGGAGCGGAGGATGCCGGAGACCATCAGATTCCACCGTCTCCCCCAAAAATCCTGGAGCGACGAGCAGAGATACGGCGGGGCGAACTGCGGTTCCAGTGCCGTCCCCGCCGGCAGCAACGCACGGCCCAAGGCGGCGGCGCAGGCGAGCCCCAGATCCAGCGCCAAGTACATATGGATAGTGTAGAGCGCGAGGACAACGCCCCGGTGGAAACGGGGCCTCTGGGGGTAGAGGGAGATGATGGAGGCCAGGATGAGGCCCTTCACGGCGAAACCGAGGAGAGTGAGGACTGGATCCGCTCTCCCCGAGCGTGGGGACGACGGTGGTTTTCGTCTGATCATGATGGGAAGCGAGGCGATGGCAAAGAACGACGGGAGGGAGAGCCGTTTTGTTGCGCTGGCGTCGCAGAGCGGGCCATGGTCGAAGGCGAAGAGAAGGAGCTTGAATATGGCGAGCCAGGAGAGGATGGAGGCGGAGATCAATCTGCCATGGACGGTGGAGAAGGAGAGAGGCAGGAGCGCGAAGAGGACGACCACGGGGAGAAGGGCGAGGAGCCGCCACTTCCCTGCCCGGAGCAGAGAAAGGAGGGAATAACAGTAAGTGAACGCCGCCGGAACGGCGACGAGCCATACCCGGATGAAGCATCTCACCTCCTCCTCCATCACTTCCACCTCCCTCACGCTCGTGTTCGTATGATGATGCCCGCCACTGATATGAGGGATAAGCTGGAGAGCTCTCCGCTACGTGGACGGCCAAATCAGGTGAGAGGCATATTCATACTGCGTAATAAGTGATTATCTTGGAAATTTAATTCTTTATATCGACACTGCTGTGACAAGGACAAAAAGAATCAGAAATATAAGTGACTTTGATTTATCTCACAGATTTATTCTACAGTATTTGAAAATATTATTTCATTAGTGTATTTAAATCAGTTGAAATCAGATCTGTGTTTGTAGGGAATCCTTGACATAAATTAGTCATATTTAAAAGCAACCCTTTGGCATCCTTAAAATATCATGAATTCTCTTTCCTTTTGGATTATTTAATCTCCTCTTGATTTGTTGATTCAGTCATCCGATGCCTTACCGTGTTACTCGAGTCTTCTTCCTCCATAGTAGGATCTTGTCGTTATTTGCTTTGTCGAGAATTCAATCTGGAAACTTACACCAGTCGTCATACGTTAATAGGGCCCCACTTCTGAATAGCCAGACCCAAAGTCAATTCTTTTGACTTTATGTCTATCATACTAGGCCCACAGGGGATTGAGCCAAGCCAGATCTCTTAAAACTTCAAGCAACCACCATATGGCACTAGCTCAATCGGAAGTAATCGTTAATGGTGTGATGTTCATATCAACATTTATGGCCTCTCGGACGGAGGCGTGCGTATATACTCCTAGAATCTATGGTTAGGGCATTCAGATTCAACGGGATCCCATCCACTAACAATGAAAATTGATGGAGCCCATAGAGCTACTAGCGGCGGACCGTATGACGACTATTCATTACCGAGCAAAGAAACATTAGGGAGGGAAAACCATATGAAGATTATATGTATCAAGGGTATGCAAAGAAATATATTTTGGTATCAACATGATCCCAACTATCTAAGGCCCTCTGAGTTGTTTAGTGTCTCTTCGTAGGCATTTTTCGGTTCTTGTTTGATGCCTGGGTTTAGAGAACTCATCGGTACCTCTTGATAAGAGCTTCGTTGGCATGAGTACTCATGGTTTATCGATGGAACGTAATTTATCATGATTTTTTTATTAGTGTCACAGTCTCAGACCTAGTTTTCTACTGCCCATCAAATCAAAGAGTTGATCAACTTCCGTCAAAATCCATCACTAAACTAGCAAACTCCTAGTTTAGTGATGGATTTTTTAATGAGATTAACCATATATGACTAATATATCAACCCATACATAACAAAAGAGAGGTAATTCGGGCGATGCAAATGCACATAGAAACTAAATATTAGATAAATAGTCGTAGATCTTGGTAAGTATATTCATCTGAAAAAATATATTCATATGGAATGACAATGAAAGGGTGGGTGATCTTGGTAAGTATATCCCTCTCAGCCCTCACGTACTTCACCTAGTTTCTCTTTATGATAGTCTCCTTCCGCATTACCTTCATGGGAAAAATCCTTATCTCTTCACCCGCCCCTTCTTCCTCACCAAGAACACCTCGGATGCTCCGTGCCCCATGAGCTTGAGTATCTCAAAGTCAGGACGGGCCCACCTTATGGGGCCCTAGTCCGATACTTGTCAACCCATCATATCCCACTTAGAAAACGATCTAACAGTTGGAGAGCCATCCCCTTTAGGAAGATTTCAACATCTATCAAAACAGCAAAAGTCATTCTCTACCCTAGAAAAAATTTAGAAAAATTGTATAGAGGAGTCTCATATGTGTCAAAAGATAAATTCCATATGAACTAAAAGGCATCTCAAGGATATTGAAGAAGGGTATCAAATCGTAGATGGTCATTTTTAAAAAGAGAGGGTGTGAGCCAACAAAGAGGATCAAAGTGTGATTTCAAGTGGAGAGTACTTAGAGACTGACCATCTCAAATCAGTCTGTATTTGGATATCCTTTTTTTCTTCTCTCTCTCTCTCTCTCTCTCTCTTCATATTTCTCTCTTTCCCTTACTTACCCTCAGTATCTTTATTCTCTCAATTTTTCTCTATCTCATTTTATTGTATTATCTTCCTATCACCCCCCCCCCCTCTATATCCTGGCCTTTGGCCAACTTAGTGGAAAATTTTCCATCATCTTTTAACACCTACTCATAGTAGTGAGTCAACACTTGCCTTTGTCAAGGGAGACTTGTCAACTTGGATGCATGAGAACTGTTATAACACTTTCAAGGGTGGGAAGATTTTCAATAACAACTATTAGAATGCTTCACCAAACTACTTAAGTTCTCTTTGTCATACATTCTTGGGGATCAAGTAACATGAGATCGTTGCAAATAAAGGGAGAAATTTTAACTAATGGTTGTAGTGATTGGGGGTATTTAAGAATATATTCTTGAGAATGCTTTCCTCAAAGGGTTACAAAAATATATTTAATACATAAGTATCTCTCTTAAAATTTGCAGGCTTAAAGGCCATCATATGTATATTGTAGGTCGAAATGAGATAATTTGTTAGCAAGGATCTTGGTGGATTTGACGCCCTAAAAGCCTAAATATGTCACAACTATTGGATCTGATTATATAACCTACGACAACCTAAGGGCCCTTGCTTACTTGTTATGATGCAAAGAAACCTTAATAGAAATTCTATTAGAGATCTTGGTCAGGCATGACCCTTTGTGGAGGCACGAACAATAGGGAGAAAACAAGAGAATGCAGCCCACACCATCAAAAATTCAAGTGTGAGATACCTAGAGTTTATGTTTCTTGTATGACGAAAAGTATATACTAGGCTATCGTTGTTGTCAAGAACTATATGTAGTAGTTATAAAATAATAAGATCCTTCAAAGATCAAAATAAAGAAATATAAGATATTCTTGTTGAGGAAGAAGGATTGGACAACCTCAGGATATCATTAAACTCATTAGTGAAAGACTCTCTCACATGTGGGCTCAAATTTCATGAGATAATTAAAGTAAGATTAGTTATTATTCTTGTTGATACTGAAGCCTCTCATAATTTTGTATTTTCAAAAAGTTTCACAAAAGATTCAACTTACAGCCATCACCACCTCTTTGTTTTAGCTTGTAATAAAAATCAAAGAGAAAATCACAAGCATCAAAGTACATCATAACATCACCATAGATGTCTAATCATTCGTAATAAATAATGACATGTTGGTATCACCTCTAGTAATCATCAATGTGATCTCAAGACTCAAATAGATGAGTGCAATAAAAAAGTTAAAGTTAGATTTTAAGCACTAGACAATCTTCATCATGATTAATTTGTATCAGATCACACTTAGAGTAAACACACTAAACCACAAAATAAATATTCCATTCAAAACTTTATCCAAGATCATCTAGAAGGGTGAGCTCATGGTCAAGTTGCTCAAACTCTCACAAATTAACCAAGATCAATTAGTTCAAACAATGATATCTTATCTCAAGAGTTATCTTTAGGCTCAGTTTTGAGTTATGTTTGACATTGACTTCAAATTATCCCTAGCTTAAGAAGTAGAACATGTCATCACCCTAAAACCAAACTCTAAACATATAAATATTAGACCTTTCAAGTATCAAAAGAAGGGGATCAAGAAATTCATTCATAAAATGATGTCTACTGTTATCATATAGTATTTGACTAGCCCCCATTCCAGCTCAATCTTGTTCGTGAGAAAGAAAGATAAAATCTTTAGATGTTGCATAAATTATCTCACAATCAATAAGGTCACAATCTCTTATTATTTTCTTATTATGATCATTGAGGAACTCGTAATAAAATTACATAGTACGACAATCTTCTCAAAGCTAGACCTTTCATCAAGCCATCACCAAATCTAAGTTAAGAAAAAAGACATCTCCAAAATAATATTTTGTACTTATGAAGGACATTATGAGATTCTTGGCATGCCTTTCAGCTTCTACAACATGCTAGTGACATTTCAAGTATTAATTAGATTTTTTAATTAATTTATGTGGAGGTTCATGCTGATTTTTTATGATTGCCTCATTTATAACACAAACCACAAATTGTAAAAGAGACATTTGGCCCAAGTATTCATCATGAATCTCAATCTTTCTCTCTTTTATCTTATCATATTATACTCTTATTAGTCCCCCGTAGATTTTATTGGCCTTTGGATACTTTCATAGAAAACATTTTGTCATCTTTCAATAAGTATTCCTACTAAAAAGTCAACACTTGTGTTTGGTCAAAGGGAACCCAATAGGCCCATCCTCCACCTCCTCAACGCTACTATCCTCCCCAGCAGCCATAACAACAACCACTATTATTTAGTCCATAAATAAAGAGGAGGGGATCAAGTAGGGAGTGGAGATGACTAAAGAATGAGATGAGGTGTGGATGATATTGACTAGGAGGTAAGCTACTAGTGACCTGAAAGAAGACAAATTGGGACAGTTAGGGTCATGTTTGAAGACATCAAAGAAATCATGATCATCTTCTTTCTCCACTTCACATTCTAAATGATCTACATTCCCTTTGAGAAATGATCACTTCATAGACCACCTATTAAGAGAAATGGCAATAAAGAAAACATAATAATCAAAAGGTTTTGCCTTGATCATTTCTCATGGGAACATGCACCTCACTTTCCCCATTTAATATTCATTCATAATCATTGGGGCCTCCAAAACTCCTATAAAAGGAGAACCCTATAAGCTCTTGTAATATCAAGTATTAATGAATCTTAGGCTTAGGAGGCCATTATTTTCTTCACTATATTCTCTCTCTCTCATCCCGTCTTTTATTACCTCTTTATATCTATCTATCACATGGTATATATTTCTTCAACAACATCTCAATCAATGGAGTCAAATGTCGTTTATTTTCTTCCACTTAAGTCATCTCGAAATAACTATTTATTGTGGAAGATAGTTTATTTCCCTTTTCAAGAGTTACGAATTTATATCCATAATTGATGTTTCTACTCCACTTTTTTTAGCAACTATGATTAATGAAAAGAGAGTTTCGCACTCAAATCTAGATTTTCTTATACGAGAATGAAATCATCAAATCATTCTCTCGTGGATTTTATCATTCCTTAAAAATCCTATTTTCTATTAATATTTGTACATAACACTTTTAAGGAAGTTTACATCCAAATCTCATTTTACAATTACATACCAAGATGTGTGCTTCACGACATGGGACATCTTCTATTCAAGAATATATCTAATCTAACAAGATTATTGTAGTTGAATTTATTACCATTGGTAAACTAGTAGATGACCAAGAACCTATTATAATAGTTTTTAGAGGATTGAGAACAGGTTATTAAGTATTTATTACCAATATAGTTCTCGTATGTAGTGGCCCACTGTAGACAATATTTTTGCACATATAACTATATATGAAACAATCATGATGTAATATCATTCTACCAAAAGTGCTCCTAAATATCTATAAGCTGATCTGCCAATACAAGTCAGCATACTAGTAGAGTACATGACCACAGTGGAGGATGTGGATGTAGTTGTGGTAGACAATGAATACCACGTTGTCAATTTTTTCTAGTTGCCTATACATCTAAATATGACACTCCAATATCATTTGAAGGACCATCAACAAGCAGCTCAACCACCTGGTATTTAGATATTGGGTCTACTAATCACATCACTCAAGACTATAATGCATTCACTAATCTTACGATTTACACAAGTTTTGACAAACTACATGTCATAAGTGGCGAAGGTCTGCAGTCCTTAATTCACCCTTATGTTTGCTCAAGCTAAATAATTTATTTTTTTGTCTCGGATCATCAATCAAAATTTAATTTTAGTTTAAAAACTTACATCAGACAATAATATCTTTGTCTAATTTTACCCATCTAATTATCTTGTGAAGTGACCGCTTCACAAGGGAATTGAAGCCGGGATAATCAAAGAGATATATAGTTTCTTCGATAGCGTTGGCCAATTCTTGCTGATCTCTATCTTCTGCTCCGCAGCCTCCGTTTCTCTATATCAGTCACAAGGGGAACGCCGTCCGGCCGCAATGGGTGGGGCCTGCCCCAGGGACGCCGTCGACTGATATAAATATATTATATCAATTAATTAAGCTTCTCATCTCTCCAAATATTGTCGACTGCTCCGGCGGTACAGCGTAAGCATAAAATATGTCCCGGTGTTTATTCCGTGCGTTTCTTTCCCACCAAGGTCCGGAGAAGAAGAAGCGAGCAACAGAGATGGAAGACGCAGTGAGCGAGAGGGCCAGAGGAGCGTAGAGATCTTGCTCTTTGTCGTCTCGCCTGAGAGAGGGAGGCTTCAAATACCGGGCCCGTCTGATGGGGTTCCTCCTTGAGGGGCTGATCCTCTGCCTCCTGCTCCTGGTCGGGTGGTGCGCCCCGTTCGCACTCGGGGTCTCAGATGGGGGAGCCAGACACGGGGAGGGGCGGTCGCTTTTCAGTTACAGGGAGATGCACGGGAACGTCTCCTTCCGGTGCTCGGCATCGGGACCATGCCTGCCCTGCGAGTATTCTGAAAAGGTCGGTGTGGACTATTGTCCTTCTAGCGCAAATCATCTCGTTTCAGTGTCTTCCCTAGTTTTGTATCTGCGATGGATGTTCGATTTCGTGAATTTAATTTGGGCTCCCGTGGGTTCAAATTGGTCTATTTCATTCCCGTTTTAGGTGAGCAATAATCTGGATCGAATGGATAAACTTTTGCACTGATCTCCGTTTACCCGGAGATACGAACGAGCTATTGCGGCGCAGCTATCTCCTTTGCGTCATTTTCGTACGTTATTATTTATCGTGTCGCATAACACATATGAACTTTTGAAATAAACTTTTAGATACTATTCTGCGGTAAATGATTAGACTACAGAACTCTGATCCAGTTTTCATTTTTTTGTTGTGATATAAGTTTTGGAATCTGAGCCACTCATTTTTCTGTATGTTTTCACAAGGAAAATGCTTTATAAGTCACCAATCAATGATCTACAGCGTCTGAAATCTTACTCAAACATATATGGTAGACTGTTATGGATGATGGCTAAGCCGATTACTCTTATAACCACTATTGTCATGAAACATATCTATAGTATAATTTTTATAGAAGACATGAGAGTCCCAATAGATGTTACATTTAGTAAGGTATAACATCACCACGTACAATTTTATGATGGTAGGAAAGTTGGACAGCTCATGCACATCGGTATTTTCCAATTCCTTGAAACCTGTACCACCAATTAACCTTGCTAGTTTTTATCTGATCCTTGGTGATCTGAAAATCTCGATAGATAAGTTTCAACTCAATAGGTTGTCGATCAGAAGCAATTGAATCATTGTCTAATGGCTGTTTTCACCATAGGAAGTACATCCACCAAACGGTTTACCAGACGATGAAAGAAAAGTAAAACATGAGGATCAAAATTCTTTTAGCTTTGACTTGCTGTTGGTCTCTGAAGGCAACGTGATTTGAATACAGTGAAGGGGTGGTGGGCCTCTTATTACACCCAACCCTTGAGAATAATTTCTAGATGTCATGAGTTTTTCATAGACCGCGGTTTCTGTGGGTGATCATCATGAATTGAGATTCTGTATAGATTTAATGCTAGAATAATCATGTATTATGATAAAAAAAATGTTTCAGTATCTTAAAGACATGTGAGTATTCCCGTCTAGACTCGGGACCTGACGGTGATAGAGTTAACTACACGACTCTGGGGTTTGTTTGGGACTTCTGAAAGCAGATCCCATTTGTACAAGTATGAAGTTGTTACAACCGGAGCTAAGGCACTTAGGTTCTATCAATCCTAAAATCTTCTAAAACAAGTGAGTATGTTTTTTGCTCAATGGCCTATTTGGGTTCATGTGAATCATTTCATCAACATTTGTTCCTGCCCTGGGAGCTACTTGAACCAATGTTGCTCAATAAGTTGAACCAATATTTACTTGAACAGAAAAGGTTATTATTAACTCTTTGGATATTTATCGTTATAATCATTTGATTCTATGATCTTTCGAAAACAAATCATGATTTGAGTTCATCTTATGAATTAGAGAAGTGGTCTTTTCTAAAACTCTAGGTAACTGATGATCAGAATTCAGTCTTAATTTTCTAGTTGGTCTGTATTTTTTTAGAACTTCTAGGATTTATTGATTAATTTTATGATTTCTTCTACCTGCGTTCATCTGTCACTGATTACCAGTAATCTCGTGAACCATGACAAAATGATCTTCCAGGGAATTCTCCAAAAGACTACGTGTTGGAGACCTAATGATTATCGCATCTGTTCGAGGGAATCTTTATCAGAGAAAATCTGAATTTCGATTTGAAAACCGTTGGAGACCTAATGATTTTTGCCTTTTACTAAAGTGAAAGTTTGATGCTACCTATCGAGGATATTTCATGGTATTTTTCCTAGGAGCGTTGTGAAAACAGCGTGTCTTGTTTTTGGCTGCTCATTTCTGTTTTGAATGCTTTGGCAGAATTATGAGAAATATCATTGTAGTGAGACCGGTTATCGTGTACCATTGAAATGTGTGGAAATAAACGATGAAGCAAAAGAAACGTCTGGGAAAAGATCTCGAAGAAGTCTTTCTTTTCTCAACTACGGAGATAAACTTTACTCTCTCCAACGGTTTCACCCCTCACCGAGGCGTCTCAGATGGAGAAGGCTGTTGGACACCTCCTCAGAATCCCAAGATAATCAAGTGAGCTACACGACCTACAGGAGCTGTCTGCCAGCAACAGCGGAAGAAAAGGTGTCAGTCCTTGGTTTTGAGGTAAGAGTTCCGAAAAATAAATCATTCTGTTTACGCAATCTCCCATCAATGTGTGTCGAGCGGTCCCTTCCATGCGTTGCTTTTAGTCCAGACTCGAATTTTCTTTCACCATTCAGATTCTATTTGATCGGAATGTGTTCTTGGGTTCCTGGCTGGTTTCTTTCAAAAATTATGTGCGATAGGTGTGTCAGGAACAACATACTGGTAAGTGAGAAAAGTGCATACAAGACGCATTCCACAGTTATGTGAAAATTAGGTGTGCCGTAAAACCTGCTTGTATGCTCAGGTGATGTCCACGACTGCTCAACTCCAACTAGAGAAAAAAAATAAAAATTTATGATAATTATTTGCTTACCCTTCTAAGACCAAGCATGAAGCAACCGAGTTTCTTCCACTGTGAATTTGGGAAGCCATAGTTTTAGATTGTTGCCGGTTGCTCTCTTCTGCCTTGGTCTCGATGTTTGGGAGTCAGAAACCTTTTCCAGGCTCGGCATACTTCACGCCACCTGCTTTCCTCTTAAACCAAAAGCATTGACCCTCGGGAGCCATTTTGGGCACATTTTCTAGGATACGCCACGTTTTTCTCAGTCCTCTGCATGAATTTAACGATTGAAACCTCGCCGTTGAACTCGATTCTGTTCAGTTGCTTCCAATCGGATAAAGATTTCATCCGATCAAATCTCATCCTACCCTTGTTTTTCCATGCTCTCGTCTTATCCTCGGTAGTGCCGTCTCTTCCTCCTGACAAGGCTAACTCATCCTTCGTGCTCCCTCCCCCGCGTTAAAATCTCCTTTGTAGATGATCATGGTGTGCCTGCTTCTCGTCAGCGGCCTCTCTGTATATATACGGCAGAGGCGGAGTATTCCTATGCTGGGAATCGGCGCAGGACGGTTCCCTTTCGGCTCTTCCAGGCTGTGACCAGATTTGCACCTGCCGTATGTATACGGCGTATTTTTTCGTAGATTATTTCGTATTTTCAAGTTAATATAGAGAGAATTTCATGTCGTGAAAATTTTAATGGTTTCATTAAATTATTCGATGCCATTAGTTGACGAGGAGTAGTGATAGTATTATCAGTATTTAAAATTAACTTGCAAAGAATACAACCACTAGATAAGCAAGTTGGAGCATATCTGGAACGACGACAAATGTCGCTAAAATAACGATCCTGAGGATTATTGAAATAATTATTATTTTTCCACTTGGAACAGTTGTAATATTGAAAAACTGAGGTCTGAATCCGAGTCGTGTAACCGGCTAGTCTGGGTCAACTGGGCGGTGTATGACGTTAGCCTATCACCACCGCGCACGTGTCGCAGCTTCCATGAACAGCGAGGCCACAGCCTGTGCCTCCTTGACTATCTGCTCTTCCGCCGTGCTCCTCAGTATCTGCGGCAGGAACAACCACCAAGTGGTCGCCACCACGAACCCGATCGTCAGCGGCGCCACCAGTGCGGGGTGCGGCGGCGTCATTCCCCGCCTCGTCCACCACCTCTTCGCCGCTACTTCGGCGACCGTACAGAACCCGTGGAGGACGAAGAAGGACCCGACCTCCCCCGTCGGCGGCTGGAGGGTCAGGTAGAAGAACATGACCTCGTGCATCAACCCGGAGACCAGGAACGACGCCATCACGCCGGCCGTGGGGCCCCATCTGGCCCGGATCGGGCCGTGAACGGCGGACCGGAGGATGCCGGAGACCATCAGATTCCACCGTCCCCCCCAAAAATCCTGCAGCGATGAGGATAGATATGGGGGCGCGAACTGCGATTCCAGCGCCGTCCCCGCTGGCAGCAACGCTCGGCCCACGGCGGCGGAGGCGCAAAGCACCAGATCGAGCGACAAGTAGATATGAATGGTGTAGAGCGCGAGGACGATCCGCCGGTGGAAACGGGGCCTCTGGGGGTAGAGGGAGACGATGAAAGCCAGGGCGAGGCCCTTCGCGGCGAAAACAAGGAGAGTGAGCACTGGGTCCCCTCTCCCCGAGCGCGGGGACGACGGCGGTTTTCGTCTGATCATGATGGGAAGCGAGGCGATGGCGAAGAAGGACGGGAGGGAGAGCCGTTTGGCTGCGCCGGCATCGCATAGTGGGCCGCGGTCGAAGGCGAAGAGGAGGAGCTTGAATATGCCGAGCCAAGAGAAAAAGAAGGCGGAGATCGTCCTGACATGGACGGTGGAGAAGGAGAAAGGCAGGAGCGCGAAGAGGACGACCACGGGGAGAAGGGCGAGGAGCCGCCACTTCCCCGGTCGGAGCAGAGAAAGGAGGGAATAACAGTAAGTGAGCGCCGCCGGAACGGCGACGAGCCATACCAGGATGAAGGCTCTCACCTCCTCCATCCCTCGCCCTCGTCTGATGCCCGCCCACCGACGAGCGGCTGCTGACCTGAGGAGTAAGATGGAGAGGTTTCCGCTCCGTGGACGGCTAAACCAAATATCAAGGCACATCCAAACCCCTTAGTAGGTGATTATCTAGGAAAATTATCAATTTTATATCCACAGTGCTGTAACGACGACCCAAAGCATTAGAAATATTAAAAAGATAGCCTACGAGCACGAGACTCTGATATGTTCCATAATGAAATGCCTGGTAGATATCTCATATATTTTTTGAATCGTATTTCAAAACATTACTTCATGACTGATTTTAAAGAATTTAAACATTAAATTAATGCCTCGTTAAAAGTGATCTGGCTTTTTAGGCATGCCCAATTATGGTAGATTCCCATATATTATCTACCGTCTCTTATATATTCAAACACCCATCCTTCAATACATTATTGTGGATTCGATAATTGAAATATTGTAATATGGATGACAATGTTTTATCTTCATTAAGGGAAATATTTGTATATATATATATGTTAGTGAAATGAAAATTGATTTTTGTGGGTTAAAAAGGTGTCCACCTGGGCCAACCACAGTCACAAAACGGCCCATAGGTACAGGGGATTCTCTAGGCCCGGCTTATTGATACCCTTAGTGATCTCACTCTCCTCGATGACCCTAACGGTCATTTCCGCTTTTGAAACATAACATACTGTCAGCCTCCGCTAGGGGCGACCGGCCATTGGGCCAACCACCCAGTCAGTGATTTCCAGAAGACGTAAGATGTGTGGCGGTCATTCACACACAGTCTCTCTCGCATGGGAAACGAACTAATTAATAACCGGCATCCGTAAGTGTGAGAAGGGTCCGCTGGATGTGACCGCAAGCTCAGCTGGGAAATGGACTCATTGAACGATCTCGGGCGAATACGTCTCCAACGCAGCACAAACCCCGCCGAAGTGGGTCAGGAGGCCATTCTTAATTCCGGAGGGAACTTCTTCGTCAGCTTACGGGGTCATTTCCCATTGACCTTCCGCTCTGACTATTCACTCCCGACAACTGAGATGAGCTGCATCATCCACGGCATCAGATGAGACTCCGAGCACCGGATTCCCACCGGATTCAGGTGGGAACAGGTGGTGTGTTTGAAGATCGTCGTCTGATTTGTCTCGCACGTCGAGCATAGTTACTCAAGTTTCCCGCCGGATGAGGACCTCGCCCTTATCTGCTTCGTGAAGAGGTCACTCCGGTTGAAACGACATTCTATTTTCCTCTCCAAGAGTGACGTACCGAGAGTTTATGGGGCCCCACCTTTGGAGAAGTGAAACCCAAAGTCTATTTTCCGGACTTTCCCGTCACATGGGCCCACTGGGGATTGGGTCAACCGTCCCCTTTAAGGATCGTAATGACCATCTTATTATATGAGCTCAACTGGAAGTAATCGTTGACAATGTGACGAAGCGTTCGAATGAGAGGCCGCCTGATACGCCGTCGCCGGCATCCGGCCTAAATTTGAAGGCGACGGCGAGGTGTGCACGCACACTCCTGGAGTCCATGGTTACGGGCTGAAGATTCAACGGGATTCTATCGAGAAAAATACTTTGGGGCCCACAAAAAAGCTGTTACTCTTATCCATGATTGTGGGATCTAATCCGGTCGATTGGCCATCCGGTCGTTGAACATCTCGTGGTTGCCCTTTTACTGGCCATGCGGGCTTCATAAGCACGAATCGAGGGGAGATCCTTTCACGCCCCAGGAGGAGGAGGACCCAGCTGTCAAAATCTGATCTTTCCTCGACTATTTCCCTCCACCTCCACGGCGGAGTTACAGCTCACGATACCGGATGGAACTGTGGTGTTAATGGCGGAACCCTAATTAGGAAGCGCGAGATCGTTGCGCCGGTTCCCGCGTGAAGCAGGCGGTTCTTACCCAATCTTGCAACCGTCCCCGTTCTTTCTATCTCTATCGCCATTAATATCGTCGGAGGAGCTGGCTCTTCATGGGAATTATGCGTCCGAAAGGAATGCGTTTCGGTCAAAGTTAGGGGATGAGTCCGCCGGCGGCGTGGGACCGTTCTCCCGTGAAAGGGATAGATGGAAGAGAGGAAGCCCCATTATTTGCCATCTCTGTGAGGCAATTGTGAACTGATGACCAGCGCAGATGCGCATTCCCCTGCGGTTCTTTCGGCGATCTTCCAATTCTTCGCCGTCCAGCTCTGCGGCGGTGACGGGGCCGGGAGAAATATCCCCACCCACCCGCCTCCTATATAAAGCAGAAAAAGCGGTCGGTCGCAGCCGCTGTAGCCCACCGTCTTCCTCCCTCCGTCGCATCTCCATCTCTCCCCGTCTCCCCCGTGCTCTCTCCGAAATCCGGCCTTCTTCGCGGGTGGAAGGGGATACTCCCCTGTTCATATTCGGGGATCTCCATGGGGGGACGAGTGGATCACAAGGGGCAGTTGCCCCTCGACGAGGAGGAGATGGTGGAGTACAACAGCGCCAATGGCCACGCCGCCGGCGTCACCATGAAGAAGAGGAACAGGAGAGAGGGAGAAGTTGGGGGTTTGGCTGGAGAGGACGCCGAGAACTTCGACGAGAAGGCGTACTCGGTGGAGAGGGCGTTTGATGGGAAGCCGGTCCCGCCGTGGCAGCAGCAACTGACCTTTAGGGCCTTTGTGGTGAGCTTCTTCCTGGGGATCATGTTCAGCGTCATCGTGATGAAGCTGAACCTCACCACGGGGGTCATACCCTCGCTGAACGTCTCCGCCGGGCTCCTGGGGTTCTTCTTCGTCAAGATTTGGTCCAAGGCCCTTGAGAAAACCGGCCTCCTTCGGCAACCCTTCACCCGCCAGGAGAACACTGTGATCCAGACCTGCGTCGTCGCCTCCTCCGGCATCGCCTTCAGCGGTAGAAAATCATCCCCGATTCTGATTTCTCTCTAGTACTCGCAGCGATTTATCCTTTCATCTTCGACTTCGAGCAATAGGTGGTTTCGGGAGCTACCTCTTTGGGATGAGCGAGAAGATCGCTAACCAGTCCGCAGAGAAGAACGCTGCGGAGAACATCAAGGACCCCCAAGTGGGGTGGATGATTGGGTTCCTCTTCGTGGTCAGCTTCCTCGGCCTCTTTTCTCTGGTGCCCCTCAGAAAGGTGATTCCCCCTGCGTACAGCTAGAACTGATGTAGGATGAACCTAGAATCCTAGACGAAGGATTGCCCCAGAGCCGATTTTAAGCAGGTCGAGGTGTTCTCGTTTCAGATCATGATCATTGATTACAAGCTGATATACCCCAGCGGCACTGCGACGGCTCACCTCATCAACAGCTTCCACACGCCTCAGGGCGCCAAGCTAGCGAAGTAAACCCCCCCCCCCTTCTCCGATGGAACCGCCACCCGATCCATACTCCCCGTCCCCCTGCTTTTTCTGATTACAGATTCCGGCCGCCCCTTTGCGCAGGAGACAGGTTTCGTTACTGGGGAAGTTCTTCTCATTCAGCTTCCTGTGGGGCTTCTTCCAGTGGTTCTACACCGCCGGGGACGACTGTGGATTCATCAACTTCCCGACGTTAGGCCTCCAGGCCTACAAAAACAGGTACTGATCAATCGATGTGCTTACCATGCATTCGATCTCTCCTATCTGCGACTTACCTGCAACTCCAACACAGGTTTTACTTTGATTTCTCCGCAACCTACGTTGGCGTCGGGATGATCTGTCCCTACCTGGTGAACATCTCCGTGCTCTTGGGCGGCATCCTTTCATGGGGACTCATGTGGCCTCTCATCGAGAAACGAGAGGGCGACTGGTACCCCGTAGGTACTTCTCCCAGTAGCTTGCACGGCATTCAGGGCTACAGGGTAAGTATAAAACAGAATTTTCATATCGTGGACACCATCATCTCCTCCACCCGAGTTAATGTCCTCTTTGCCGCTGAATCTTCCTTCCTCAGATCTTCATCGCCATCGCCTTGATTCTTGGGGACGGTCTGTACAACTTTATCAGGGTGATAGGCAAGTCTGGTTCAGCTTTCGTTGAGCAGGTGCAGCGCAAGAGGAACAGCACGCTCCCGATGTCGGAGGAAGGCAACTCGGGCGACTCCGCCCCCGTGGTCTCATTCGACGAACAGCGCCGCACAGAGCTTTTCCTCAGAGATCAGATCCCATTGTGGCTGGCGTGCGGAGGCTACGTTCTCATCGCCATCGTCTCCATCATTACACTCCCCCACATCTTCCCTCCGCTCAAATGGTACTACGTCCTCGTGGCCTACATCTTCGCTCCAGTTCTCGCCTTCTGCAACGCCTACGGCTGCGGCCTCACCGACTGGTCACTGGCCTCCACCTACGGGAAGCTCGCCATCTTCGTGATCGGCGCGTGGGCCGGCGCCGGCGCCGGCGGCGTCATCGCGAGCCTCGCGGCCTGCGGCGTCATGATGAGCATCGTCTCCACGGCCTCCGATCTCATGCAGGACTTCAAGACCGGCTACCTGACGCTCGCCTCCCCAAGGTCCATGTTCATTAGCCAAGTCATCGGCACGGCCATGGGCTGCGTGATATCCCCATGCGTCTTCTGGCTCTTCTACAAGGCGTTTTCCCTCGGCAACCCCGGATCGGAGTACCCCGCGCCCTACGCCCTCATCTACCGCAACATTGCCGTGCTCGCCGTGGAGGGCTTCGGATCCCTTCCCAAGAACTGCCTCACCCTCTGCTACGTCTTCTTCGCCGGGGGCATCTTCGTCAACCTCCTGAGGGACGTCTCCGGCAAGAAGGTGGCCAGGTTCATCCCCATCCCCATGGCGATGGCCATCCCCTTCTACCTCGGGCCCTACTTCGCCATCGACATGTGCGTGGGTAGCTTGATCCTCTTCGTGTGGGAGAGGACCAACAAGGCCAAGGCGGACGCCTTCGCCCCTGCTGTGGCCTCGGGCCTGATCTGCGGGGACGGCATATGGACCCTCCCGCAGTCCATCCTCGCCCTCGCCAAGGTGAAGCCGCCCATCTGCATGAAGTTCCTCTCCAGGGCGGCTAATGTCAAAGTCGACAATCTCCTGTCATCGTGAGGATTCCGGCGGAGAAGAGAAACCATTCCCAGATGGAGTGATCTGTCCGGAATATCCACAAACATCCTGTAGGCGTGCTTGTCCTTCGTCGTCTTCCTGGCGCTCTGTGCAGAAGCCAGATGGATCATACGGCGCAGGGATCGCGATTGCATGCTGTTCGTCTTGTAAAAGTGCGATCAACGATCCCTCTCCTTCAATCTTCATGAAAATTCTTCCTTTGGCTTCTTCGGGCTTCGGGCCGCGGTCCTGTGTGTGGAAAGACGGCTTAGCAGAAGCCCTTCTGAAACGGGCCGACGCGCAGATGCCTTCGTTGGGCCCATAAGATTATAGATCGCAATGGGCCCGGAGCCCACCCGTTAGGACAGAGTGGACCTTTTTCGTTTATCCAATTAAATAAATCCTTAAAATCACGTTTTAAAATTAATTCGGGCCATTTTTAAGACGTCACGAAGCCTTTTTTTGCCGCCGTAACTAGTTTTTTTATTTTTAATTGTGATTAGTAGTAATACGGAAATAAAACCAATAAAAAATAGTACGTGAGCTGAAGAACCTCGGACGCGTTCCGTGCTCGGGGAGAACAGATTCCCCGAGTTGCCAGCTCACCCGTAAATTTTAACTCAGGTACGTGTCGAAAGGCCATTTTGGTCAAACTTATTCACTTGAAAATAGTGGGTCAGGAAAATTTCCGGTTTTCCTGGCTTCATTAAAGCGCAAACCCTAAGCCGGTTTGTCAGGGGAGGCGAGTGGGCCGGATCGGCCCGGTCCAGCGTCGACCGTTGGATCGCCAGATGGACGTCTCCTGCTCTCCCGCTCGCCTCTCTTTTTGTTCCTCGACTCGGCCGCGACGGTCCACCGCCCAGTCCGCACATTCATACGTTCGCCTCGGGAATCGCTGCCGTACAACGCGGGCGGGTAGGATAGCCCAGTCTATTCGTTTCTCGTTCGTGCGGGACTTTTATTCGAAGCAGACTACACGTGCGACCGCTTCCAACTTCAGTTGTCGCGGCATCTCACCGTCGTTCCCCAACTCCCCTCTTCTTCTCTGTCTGTCTGTCTGTCTCTCTCTCTCTACCATCTGTGATAGAGGGGACGAACCATTCCTCACCTACCTACCTAATCTCTTCCTCTTCTTTTCTTCGTCCCCTTCCCTCGTCCGTGTCTGTGCTACTGGCTTCCTATCCCGGGGGCCTTTTTCTCTTTTAGCTCGCTTCTCCTTCATGCAGGCTCTGCTCCGCGGCCGCCTTTTCTTTCCGCCCCCCTGCTATTGTTGCTAGGTTTTTGGTGTCCGGAATCATCCGAAGATCCTCCCCCCTTCTCGTCGGTCGATGTCTACGCTGCGTTGGCCTCTCGGGTGTCCCCCCTAGGGTTTTCCCACTGGCATGTTTCCTTAGAAGTACCCAGCAGCAGAAAAGAAAGGGCGAGGGAGGAGGTCTCCCCCCGCCTCCAACACCATCTCGGCGCATGTGCCCTTCTTCCCTCTTGATCTGCTTTCAAATGGGTCTCCCTTCTTCTTTATTAAAACCCTCAAATTCTAGTCCATTAGACTCCCCGTCGAACTACCGAGCGCAGGTCTCCGTTTCATTCCTCGAACTTCAAGCATCTTTTTAAAAAATATATATTTTCCATTTCCCCCTGCATGGCTTGTTGCTGATTATCGCACCGAAGAGATGAGCTTTCGGGTGAAACATCGACTAGAGTTAGACTTTCCCTCTCTTTTTTCTATTTCATTGATTATTTTCCTCCCGGGGGAGCTTGGAATTGTGATATTCCTAGGGCAATCTTTTTCTGGTGCCTTCCTATGGCATCTCGAACCGGAGGGGATGCTCCCATTGCTCGGCTCTTCTCCATGCTTCTCATTATCCTCATCGGCGAGGTCGACGAACATTGAAATTCTGAGAGGGGTTGTCGAAGAACAAGATCGCGGGCATGCTTTTCCACGGCTTTCTTGAACGGTGTACTCGGATTGCAATCATGCGTCTCCCTCTTCACCTTCCTCCTCTCCTTCACGTTGACAGGAAGGAGAGAAAGAGCAGGGGGCAAAAGAGAGGGAAGAGGGAGAATGAGGCCATAGAAGGCACCCTATACCGCTCAAGAAAGCCGTGGGAAGACATCGTCGCATCTTCCATTCACTGGGCGGGAGAGCCCTCCAGCTCTGAGAGCCCACTTTACGTTCACACGAAGGGGAAGGTGAGGGGAAGACATCGTCGCATCTTCTGAACTTTCCTCTTTCATATTGTTTTTATTCTTGTGTTTTATTCATCGGCAGACGGATTAACCGCAGGAGGAGAGTCACCAGATAGCTACTCGTCGTTCTCGCCTATCGAATCGTTCATCTCTCATCTGTCTGACGTGTTTCATCTCCCTCCTCGGCAAGCTCTGCGTGTCGTAATTTATGGACTTCCTTCTATATTTCCTTTTCCATTTTCCGGATGGGATTCATTCATCGCCTTCCCTATTTCACATTTATCGTTCCCCAATTCTCAAAATCCTTCCCGTCGACTACTATCATCAGGTGCATCTCCGAAATCTGCTTCGGTGTAGGTCTCACCGCTCTCTCCTCTCGTCTTCTTCATCTGTGACAATTTTCTTCCAACTCGCCCTCATCCCACGCCGTCCGGATCGTAATTCCTCTGATTTCGCAGACCGAGGCCGCCGATCGAGAGCCTCGTGTTCATTCTTTGTAGGAGGAGCGGCTTCTCCTTCCCTTCTTTCAATGAACCTGGGTTGAACATGCCGAAGTTCTCATCTATTTAATAAATCTCCCAAAGTGCACGCCCTGAAGCCGCCCATTATCTTAATAGGTTTAGACGATGGGGACAATCGTTGAGGACGACGGAGACACGGGTGTTAAGGAGGCATCGGACGCTACGCCCTCCGAAGGCTCGACAGCCTCCGGTTGTTCTCTTCTGCAGTCGCTGGTCTCCTCTTCACTCAGGCTAAGCCCTCACCGAAAACCCGGCCAAATGCGTCCTCTATCTATCGTCTAAGATTCTCGCCCATCTGCTCAGCGCCACGTTGTTTTGTCTTTGATCACGAGAACATAGGCTAAGCTATCCTCCTCACCCATCCGAATTGCTCAAATCATCTGAGACTGTAAGATATTTGCCGCCTGCATAGCCAACTACACTCGCACTGCTTCTCCTCAGCTACACACTCTTTTGGCTCAAATCAGCGTCACTAAACCAAGCGACCGCCGGCTGAATGGCCTGCGTATCGTGGTAGATTCTCAGTTTTCATGGATTCCATCTACGATTCAGCTCAAAATGGGTCGTGTCCTCCGAGACGCGAAGGTAGTTGGAACTCGGTCAGCTTCTATGCATGTTTATGGGTGAGATGTGAGGTAATAATCTAGGGGTGGAGGGAGAGATCACTCGATGATTATTATTATTATTATTATTATTATTACTGTTCTTATTCTAATCATTTATTGTTCCTTCGGATGAGTGGGGTTTGCTTAACTCTTGCCTATTGTTACGGGAGGTGCAGCGGGAGAGGCGTGGACGGAGGTTCGAGACGGGGAAAGAAACACGAGAGGCGTAGAATATGGAGAGGGAACAGATCTGAGCGCCGGCGGGGGACAGGAAACCCCTACTAAATTAGTCCACCCTTGTTCCTGCTGGCTGTACCGCGGTGGATAATTTGCCTCCCCACCCCCCGGCGGCCCCCACGGGCTGAGTTACATTACCGCAGGAGAAAAGAGGAGCGCATCTTCATCTCTGATGGAGAGGATGTTACGGTGGGGGGTTAAAAATCGCATCTTTATCGACTGGAGAGGGTGTTAATGTTACGATAGAAGGAAATAATCGCATCTTTATCCTCCGGATGAGTCTTAGTACCTGGAAAAATCGAATGCTTGCCCTCCGGAGAAGGTCGAGGAGCATGTTTTCACATACCTCCGTCGGGGTCTTCGTAGTAAAAATAAAAAAGAAATAAAAAAGGGAAGAGAAAGAGAGAGCAGCTGGGAGCGTGTTCGGGGTCTTCAAGCGCAACAGCTGGTGAGAGTCTGAGAGTAAGAGAGAGAGAGATAGAGAGAGAGAGAGAGAGAGAGAGAGAGAGAGAGAAGCAACCAGCATGTGAACGTTTGCTAGCGAGGGCGTTTCGTGCTGAGGTCGGATTGAATGCGACCTTCAATTCTTTTGGGCTTTGGCGGGGAACTATAGACGAACAGCACCATGAGAGGGCCACGAGCGTGGTCCAGCTCGACGGGGCCTTGCCAGGCTTTGTCCCCTAACCCTAACGAGCCCTGGAAGAACCTGCAAAAAAATGCGAGGCTGGCCTGTCATGCCCTGGCCCAGGCCAGGAGAAGCTTGTCCTCGTGAGAACGATTCTCCCTTCTCAATTATCAAACCTTTTTCCGGAGGGGGGAAGCGTGGAGATGGGGCGACTCTCCTAGCTCCGTCCCCCCTGCCCTGCACCTCGTGGAGCTAGACGTATGTTTATATTTCTTATTTGTAGATCTCCCCCTTATCCCCGCTCAACCGCTTACTCAGATCCAGATCGGGAGGGAAAGAGATCCCCCGTCTTGCTCGCCAGCTTGGAATCCACTTCATTGGCGAACGATTTCCGGGCAGCTGCAGTGGTCCAAAGGAAGCAGTAAGATGTTTCTTCCTCTGCGCGCCAACGGGCGTTGCGAGAGAGAGAGAGAGAGAGAGAGAGTATCGCTGAATTTCTTGCGCTCGGGAAATTTTGAAACCGTTCTACGCAGCCTACGTCCTGGACTAGGGTTTCCGGAGAGGATTACGAAGAGAGAACGCGTTTTCTCTCTTGCCCTTTAATCTGCTACTACTCATCGTCCTCCTGGAGACACGTGTAGGAGGTGGAGTCGCCCGATCGTCTGATGTATCTTCTCGCTCCTCCAGAACCCGAGCAGAAGAGAAGAGAAGAAGGCCCGCCGGGGGGAGCTCTGTCGATTATTCTCGCTGACGAGCAAAGCGCTCAGCTTTTCCCGCCTCTGATGGCCTGCGGCGGCACCGCCGGATGCGGGTAGGTAGGTTTATACGCAGATAGATAGGAGGAGAAAGCGGAACATGACCCAACCAGGAGAAAGCCTGCCGTACGGACCGGCTCCTCCCCCCCTCGGCAAACCTGCTACCGGGGAGGAATGCTTGTCGCCGTGGTGCCTCCTCTTCTGGTTGCATTGCGTAGCGAGGGCCGAGTCGTCCCGTCCATTTTGTACGGGAAAAGCTGAACCTGGGCGGTGGCCGGGGTGACGGAACTTGACGGATGACGCTGTAGGGTTGGTTTACTTCCTTCCTACAGCTCCGTGGAGACTTCCGCTGTCCTTCCGCTGTTCTGCGGAGCAGTTGGCCAGCACAGGTCAAATCCCTCTGATCGATTCCACAGCACCACATCTACATGGATGTACATATATTGTCGTCCTCAAAAAATTAGGGTTCTGGGCACCACGTCGTCCGGCTGGTAATCTTCCTTCTACAGGTCTCCAGCTGAATCCAGTACAATCCCCGAAAAATTGTGTTCCATGTTTGAGCCCCATAGGAAGCGCGCAGAGAGCAGGAGGGAGGTAGGTGGACCACCTCATAAATGATCGAGAGACGAGCACGTGATCATAGAAAGACCCTCAGTCATACGTTCACACGGGGCCCTGACTACGTCTTCTCCATCGGCTTTGACTTTGAGAATCTGACGTAGCAAATTTACTTGAAAAACTAACATTAATAATCCCTGAAAAATATCCCCAGATAGCTCCGATTTCTGTGGCATTATATTTTCCGTTTTTAGAAAAGAAATCGAACCGACCTGAAGCATTCTCGGGAAGGGGGGAGTTGACTCTTCTCACAATAGCTTGGAGTTGGTCGTCTCATGGAGCTTCCCGGGATACGAAGAGACTAGAAGCAATCTGTAAGCCCAATGGGGGCAACCGAAGAACCGCAGAATATTCTGACAGCCCTTATCTTCGAACCCGCCGCCATCCTGGGAGCTCAAGTGGATCAAGTACGTCTGCCCCTCGTAGATATATCTGAGCTGCTGCCACAAGAGCACGCTGATGCCGATCAGGATCGACAGGCTGGAGATCCCTAGATACAGCAGGAGGAGCCCTCTTGGAGATAACATCAGCGCGGCGTCGGCCATGTCGATGAGAGCTCGTTTGAAGATGCCCGTTGAACCCGAGCTGTAGAAGGAAACTGAGGAAGCGAGGCGCCCCGGTACCAGCGGCGGCCACATGCGGTGCCAAGCGAACGCCGCCATCGCCACAATGTATGTGCAGCTGACGACAGCGGAGATCAGAAACGAAACGAAGTACCGATGGTTTCCCGCTCCCACGCAGTTGCTAATCTGCCAGAAAGAATCACCGGTTAGACCCTTCGCTTAGGAAAGAACAGCAATCCGCATCGACCGATGTTTTATTAGAAGAAATCACGGTGGGTGAAGATGCACGGGAAGTTGAGGGACTAAGTCTCAGGGATGTCTTTCCTTTCTCCCCAAGTTAGTGTGATCTGTTCGAGATCATGAGGGTTCCGGAACAGGAGAACACCCCGATTGGATCGTGCAGGGCCACGCATCGACCTTCCTTCAACAATGAGAACCAATACATGAACGAGGGGTTTTCTCCACCTTGAACCATCACTCCGTGAACTCCTTCAGAACAAATCCAGGCAGAGGCTTGTAGATACACCAAAGTAGCATCACCGCTCCGCTATAGACTGCATAAGATGATCCTCTAGAGGACAACAGAGATCGACGAAATAGAGCTCAAACGTATCTGGGTAGGCATGCGAGAAAATAGAAAGATTCTCTCAATTATTCACGACCTTTTTACCCTTTAATGCATTTTTTAAAAGGAATTTCTGCCCAGAGTCGCAATCTGCCGACTCCAGAAACAGAGGGTAGCGAAATAAAGAGAATAAGGACAATATGGTCGACAAAATTTAGCAAAAACTTATTTTCAAGAATGAAAAAAAATATTTGCAGGTTCAAATCCCCAATGACTCGATCTTCCTTGTTCTAGTAGAAGCCTCCATTCTCGTTGATTGGCCATTCTTGGAAAGAGGCTAACCTACTATTTTCTTCATGTTTCCTGATCGACCAAATATCCTTCTTAGAATACGAATAGGTATTTTAGTTTACAGTCTTCTACTTTTGTCTACAACCAATTTCGTCTGAAGTGTCCGTCTAAATCCCTTCCGGTGACAAGACCGTTGATCTTCCTCGTACAACAAAACCCAGTACAAGAAAGATGGGAAGAGCATTCCCAATCACACTGGCAGATCAGGCGGGCTTCACCACTTAGACTCTTGATGAGAATGCTCCGAGATAGAGGATTCTTCTGACAGATTAAATGGGCAAAATTCTATCCCTATACTCGATTTTCTTTTTTCTGGCTTTTTTCTCCATTTTAACTATGGCTGCCATTCTCTTTAGATCACATCTGCTCTCTCTCTCTCTCTCTCTCTCTCTCTCTCTCTCTCTCATCGTCCCTTTCCTCCTTCACATTTCATCGTTTGGCTTCATCTTGGCTGATCGTCCTTCTGTTATACGCCCTGCTCCTTTGAGAAACCCTACCTTCTGCCAGACACCATCAGCTAGGAAGTTAGGCATTTCTATTTATTGAGAGAAAGAAGCTCTCAGTCAGCATGGGACGCACACTGCAATGCAAACAACATCCACTTTTCCTGAGAGGATGAACTGTCCTGTCAGCAAAGAAGAAATCAATATTCGGACTCTTTTCAAGGTAAATTTGTCAATTGTGCAGAAATCTGCTGATATTCTCCCCAGAAAGATTTTCCGAAATGCACATTATATTGCCTCTAATGCATAAATAAAAGTCCCTGGAAGTCCAGTCTATTAACTAAAGAAAAAAAATTCTAAGCGCACAACAGAAATCAAGTTTTCAAACTGAAAGGAGAAAGCTCAGAGATCAGGTGTTTAATCACAGAAGAACTTACGAATGGGCAATGGTGATCCATATCCAAGACGCATATTCTGCAAGAACGACAGTGATGCGCCCTCGGTGGCTTTGGCCTCGCACAATATGTGCAGAAGGTATAGTCTTCAAGGCTCCCTTTACTCACAGCAGCATAGTCACCCCATACTACACTAAGCGGGGTGCCAGGCGAACAAGATGAAGCCAGAAAGAAGGTGAACATGGTGCTGATGGATAATATGCCGGCTATTGAGCAATGAAACACCCCACAGAGATAGCTGATGGAAAAAATAATCGGGTAAATAGCCCACAAACCTCCACCTGTAATTATCAGCAAAAGAAAACCCATTGTGAGGAAATGTAGCATCTCAGTGCCAGGGTAATTCATAAACACCATAAACACAGATTCAAAATGATGAGCTCGCTCCAGTGTTCTTGCAAGGCCACATGATCATACAGAAGACAAAAAGCTTAGTTTCCTTTCAACTCACCAACTACAAAGAACATGAAGAGGAAAACAATGGAGATGAACAGCCGATCACGTACACGCCTCCACCGAGAGAAGCATGTGCTATCGGGTTTCCTCCTTTTGTAGTTATGGTTTGTTATTGCTCCACACCATCCGCATTTGAAAATAGGAGAATATGATGAAAGAAGGAGGCGCAAACCACAGCCCCAGCAAACTGTTTCATGACTCTCTGGAGTGCACACAACAAAGCTCTCTTCCTGTGCCAGTGAAAATTGAAAGATTGTGGGTCAGTTTCGACTGTACTAAATTCAATCTATTTGCAACTATTAAGCAAAAACATCGAAAAAGGCTTGCACATTATTTCTTTTGAAGATGCGCTTCTAGTCCCAAATATAGATTTCCACACACAAATGTTAAGTTATCTGATGTCATCTAAGATACCATTGGTACCCAAAAAACATGACATTCAAACGGTAGAAAAATCAGAAAATTTGTGGGTTTCTTGTTTGAAAACGGGCAAGCTTCTTGTTTGATCTTTTTTAATAAATCAGTGCACGCTAACATTGGATCAAGATGTGGATTCACAGAAAATATCCAATGCGAGGTACGTTAAAATGATCTAAAATTAAAAAGAACAAGTAAAGCTGGGAGGTATAAATAAAATAGGTCTAGTCCACTCTTTGCCAACTGGTTCCGAGATGTAACGGCACGATTTGGACCTCAAATCAGAGCCGATGATTGCTCTTGGCTGCACGCAACCCCATTCGTCCACATGACAAAGCCACCATATCGGGAGAAGGGACATATTAGAAGGGATAAAGAAAACTGTGTCTATAGAGAAGAGACAGCACCACTGATCATCGACTAATTTCGATTGGATGATCCAATACATTCGCAAAATCAGGTAACATAAACGACATGATGCCATTTTGATACTCCAATAGGAGAAGGTTTACTTTTTCACCGCGGTTCCGGGCTATCAATCAGAACATGACGATAACCTTTTATTTTGTGAAGAACTAGTTTAATAGGAAGTTGATGCCATATTACTATGACGAAAAAGGATTTTCGGACATCCAGAAATTCCTGCTTTTCTGGATGAATAATATAATTCCATAGATAAATTCACACGGTCTGGCGAAGAACATAAATCTCTCCGTTTTCTGTGCTTCAACGACTCCGTGACCATATAAACAGGAAGTTTTGAGAGTCCGATTTCATCGAAGGAAGGAGAACTAGTTTAGTCAACGGAATACCAGAGAACCAGCAAAGGCGAAGCAATCCCTCTTATCATGAACTAGACCGAACGTGATGATTATTTATATCAGAGACCACCTCACCCGCGGAACCAGTTGATTTCCAAAATTAGATCATTTCCGGAATCGAAAATGAAAACAGAATCACAACCGCCCCCTCCCCTCCCCCCCTCTCCCCAACCTGACCACAACGGCAGCAAGTGAGGGCGGGTAATCGATGCCGTCGTCCATACCTTGATCACCTCATCGCCCATCTTGTCCGGCGCCTGAACAGATTTCTGAAATCAAAGAGAGAACACGGACTATAACAAGCCCTAGATTCAGCTCGCCCAATCGTCGCAAAATGATCTCGGCATTCCCACAAGCACCCGAGGAGGAAGCAGATGATGAGAACGATGATCCTCAGCCCCGGGTATAACCTAGCAATCGCTGAGGATCCTTCACAGATCGCGGAATCAATAAACGGCGTAGGAATGCTCGAAGCAGATGGGTGGTTGTTTGTGGAAGCCGAAAGGGGGGAGGACGGTACCCCGCTCTCCCCGTTTTCCTCTCATCGCAGAACTGATGTCTTAGTCAAAAGCCGTGTGGTTTCCATCCTTTTCAGACATCAGAAAACCCCAAAACGTCGCCCGGCTCGAACCGGACTGTCCAAGAACAGTCACTGGTCCAGTCCCCCCCTCCCCCAACCACTCTCTCTCTCTCTCTCTTTCTCTCTCTCTCTCTCTCTCTCTCTCTCTCTCTCTCTCTATCTCTATCTATCTAAACAGCCGTCGGGAGAGGGCAACGGAGTTGTTTCAACTGATATTCGTTGAGGAAAACTTCACCAATCGAATGAAAACGAAAGTCAGCAATCTATCGGAATACATTACTCGGGACAGCTGGGTAGCTGAAATGGGCACAGCGGTGGGCCATTCCAAGCAAAAGAACCAGAGGGGAGAAGGACGGCAAGCGACGGAGGGGAGAAGGAACAGGAGAGCCCAGCAAGCCCCTGCTGATGACACGCGAAGCAGACCCACGATGGCTTTCTTAGCACGGAAGGGAGAGAAACAGGGTTCCATCAAAAGCACATACACAGAAGCGGAAACACGGACACAGGGAGAGAGAGTCAGAGTCAAGCAACAGGCGCAATAAAGTCCAGAGACCAGAGGACGACGATGGAAGCGCGACAAAGGGGAGTCAGGAATTGAGAGTTGAAAAGGTCCACCGAGTTCTTCGTCTCGCTAGGCCAGGTTCAGGCATCCTCGGCATACGCGGCTTCGGCGATGGCCTGCTCGGCCTCCTGCACCTCCTTCTCGGTCTTCCTCCCCTTCTTGGACTTGTAGTAGACGCTCATGAAGGTGCCGATGGCGTTGTACTTCCTCCGGCAGTGTTCGTAATGGCCGGCGTCGAACATCCGCCAGAAGTTCTTCTCGCTGAGCTCGGAGACCGCGTACTGCGGCTGGAAACCGTGGTTCTGGATTAGCCACTCCTCCAAGCGGCGCACGGCCTCCGCTCCGTCGAACTCCTCGCCCCTCAGCACGGGCCCCGGCGCGTAGTAGACGCCGATGTCCGTGAACATCTGCGCGAAGTTCGTGTCCCCCTGCCGGTCGTGCAGCTCGAAGCCCGGCTCCGGGTAGATCATCGTCTTCACGGGTAGCTTGAACAGGCGATGAGGGCACAGCCAGATGGGGTAAACCTGCGCAATCCCACGACTGAAAGTCAATGGACGAACCAGAGGAGAGAGAATCAGCCGGAGGAGGATGAGGGCGTTCCCACCTCCATCTCCTCGTGCACCCACTCCAGCGCATCGCCCACTTTGTGGAGGGGAACCAGCAGATCTTGGATCACATGCATGGCGTGGTAGTAGTTCCTGATGGCTTCGCCCTGAGTGGCCTTGAGAAAGGAGACCTTGGGGGGCATCAGCCAGCCCAGGGTCCACCTGAACCACCATTGATCACCGAAGGGGAGGATCAGCTTGCCCTCCCAGTACAAGCACCTGGTGTGACGGTGGTAGTACTCCCTGGTGGGGATGTACTCCACGAACTCGCCCTTCTTGAGCGCCGTCTGAGCATGCTGGTAAAACCATGGCTTGAACCACCACCCCACCGAGTTGATCACGTTCCCTTTCCTCTTCGCCTCCTCCTTGGAGGCGTACGTGCCAGTCATCATCACGCCTTCATTCGGGTTGTAGATCATCCCCTCCACGAAGTCGGGAACTTTGCCGGGGTCCTTGTCTCTAGGCGCAAACGAGTCTGCATACGCCTGTGCGAGGTCCTGCAAGCTCCCACGCACTGGCGTGTAGGTCAGCCGCATGTACTCCTTGACGGGTATGAGCTTGATCTCAGCTGAGACGAGGAAGCCGAGAGTTCCCTGGGACCATGGGATGCCGTAGAAGAGGTCGGAGTACTCGTTGTCCTTGGTGGCTCTCACCACGCGGCCATCGGCGAGGACGACTTCCAGGGCGACCACCGTGTCGGAGAAAAGGCCGTAAATGTGGGAGCTTCCTTCAATTCCGTACCCGTTGATGAGCCCTCCGACGGTGAGATCGTCAAGCTCCGCCACCACGGCGAGAGCGAGGTTCATGGGAACTGTGACTCGGGTGATCTGCCCCATGTTGACCAGCGGCTCCACCTTTGCAATCATCCTTTCCTTGTCAACGTCGAGGATGTTTCTGAATTCTGACAGATCGACCTCGAAATGCCTGGCTCGTTTGTAGTCAACGTTCCTCATACCGACGGCAATGTAGGGCTTCCTGGCCGTGCAGACGAGGCCATCCCTTTTAGGGTCCCTTCGCTTCAGCCGATTCACAACCTTCTTGACGTTCTCGTCGTGCTCCTTCTGGCGTTGCTTGAAGGACTTCCTCTCAGATTTCAGGTCGCCGAGGTATGTCAGAAAGTACATGGTGGCGGAGATCGGAAGCACGACGAAGATCACAAGTATCCATCGGAACTGGACGAAGTAGTCGACCCAGACCTTCTTCCTCTTAGGCCTCAGAGGTGTGCGCAGATCCGACATCTTCTGGACCCTACTGCCGCAACAAAGAGATAAGAAACATGGTTGTCAGCCCGTCGATAGCGGATGTTGCAATTCATTTCATGAACTCCAGAAAAACACTCCCACGCTTGCAAGGGCGAAAAATAACAAGACAGAAATGGACCGAATGGACCTTCGAAAACATATACTGAACGAGTCAAGGAGAACGAGATTAGATTAGTCCGAAGTAAGAAACATGTTGATGTGCTTGGGTTAGCAAGCTAAAGAAAACGTTTATAACTTTGCAGTTTGTCACCTTGACTGTAAAGTTCAAACACTGAATGACCATGGAGAACAAAATGGGTTTGATTGTCGAGCGTCTGCATGGTGCAATGAGCAGCCACACGTTTCATATGGGCATTGAAACAGATTATGAATTAATCCATAGGGAAGCGCAGAAGTGGCTGATTGCGTTCAGATTCATGCATAAAAAGCAATTACGGCCATTCCATTTCCAAAAGGATGCTGATAGATTCTCAGACCATAATTGAGATAGATTCTCATAAAACAGGAACAGTAACACAGAATGGGAACCACTGAGCTCTACAAAGAACAGAAAAAAATAAAATGAGGGCCATAGGATTAGTAGTAAGGGGGCATCAAATGATGAAGATGAAAAACACATGTTACCAACACGAGACAACTAGAAAAAAAATAAAGATGAGATATTGGCGAATTTTGTTGGTTGTGTACGCCTCGAGAAAAAGATAAAGGAAGAAACTTACGATTCCCAACCAAAAAAAAAGAGAAGAAAAGTGAGCAGAGATGACCAAGATGAGATGAATTTATGTTTCAAAAACCAGAACTATTGTAAGATTCGTGATGCACATCTGGTACAAAGCTTCAATTAAAAAGAATAGAGTACTAGATTAACCTCAAAAAATGCCTCACTGACACATCAGTAATTTCAACAGGAAATGGCAAAGCACATTTATAAAATAAGGAGACCCGAAATCATTCAACGAAAAACAATGAAAGTCAAACAGAAAGACCTTATTCAACGAGTAACACAAAAACCAGCCCTTTTGTGAGTTCCCGAAGCTTGGCTATGGGAGACTCAGACTAAGCGATATGACTTCCTCAGAGAGAAGTCAATTCACCGAAGGAAATAAAAAGGCCCGTCAGCAGTTATTGAACTGAACAGGGTGGGTGTAGGTGAATTCTGCGACATTTATTTATCATACGCTTTACTCAGAATTGCAATTTCAAGCATAAATAAAAATTAACGTGAATATAGGACCCTGACCGAAAGCACCTTTCAAGGTTTTCGGAAGGATTTAAAGTAATATAGCATACATCCACACAATTAACGAGACTTCCATCATGACAACGGAGGTCAGACGATCTATAATTTTCCCACTAAAAGTGCATCTTTCAAAACCAGATATAAATCATTCGTACATACAAAAGAATTGTGCAAAAAATGGCCACGGTACGGCCATCAAAGAAATCGAACTTCTTGCAGCGAAAATCCCAGGAACAGAGCAGCCAAAATGTCGACGCTACAGAGAAGAACAATGACGCAGAGAGAAACCCTGAGTGGCTTGATAGCGACGTTCACGATCGATGCAAGAGAATTGCATGTGGTGGTCAAGATAGGGCAGAGACAACTCATACGACCACATCCTTAAGAACCGTCAACCTATTAACATTAAACCCCCAAGGAAGACATCTCCGACCTCTACTCCCCAAGGAAGTAATCATTCTACATGCGCGAGATCACGAGAGCACACATGAGATGGCAAGAGGCACGAAAAATGAGACAAATTCCTAGGGCAAAGAGCAACTACAAACGGACCCAAGGAAAAATGAACTGCGGCCAAATGCAGATCAACGACATATATTGCAGAAGGAAGAAAGTCGATGTACAACAGAGAAAAATCCTCGCATCTTCGCCTAGGAAAGAGGGGACTTCGGCGTTCACCTCGAGCGAAACGAAGGTACTGAACCTGGTCAGATGACTGCCAGAAGCACCTCCGCCACACCCCGAGAGGCGAACAGAACTAGAAAGGCGAAGCGGAGAAGCTCAGCGACAACAAGAGTATGTGGGATAAGTAAGCAACCAAGTGAACGAGAGAAATATCAGCGAAACGAGAAGTAGCGAATCGAGGACAGATCGGAGATGACAGACTCGTCCAAAAACTACACGTGACTGCCCTCATTAACTATACACACCAGGTCAGAATCTCCACCAGAGTCTGTCGACAAGATTGGAGAAATGGGGTAACACATGAAACGGGTCAAGGTAGAAAACGATTTCTCGGGCATTTCAAATCGCCATTGGATAGGTCGGAAGCTGGAAAAAAACTTCACCCCCCGATCCACGGCACCAAAATATTACCCAAAACCTCGAAATCGCCCAGGCGAAAGGCGAAGAGGGAATGCGGCGAGAGATCAGGAGAGATAAACAGAGGCAAGGGTAGAGGGAAACGGCAGCGGTGGAGGCGGCGCGCCTCTGCTCACCTTCTGACCCGCCGGGAACGTCGCCACTCACCGAGTGAGGGAGCCGCTGCGACAAGTGCTGAACCCCCCCTCGGGGAAGACGACGAGAGGAAATCCAGAAGCTGAAGCGTCCCAAAATTAGAACTATTATCTTTATCCGGCGCTCGAGTGACCGCATGCTCCCTGAAATTTAAACTAATTACGTTCGTGCCACTGAACGTTTCGGCCGTTGCCCCCGGCGGTGTTGGCCGCGTGTCGAGTAGCTGCGCACTGCACGCCTGCTCCTGCGACTGCGGCGCAAGCGCCTGTCCTACGTGTCGCCAGGCTGTTTGGCGCAGGTGAGCATTTACCGCGATCAACTTGCGACAAATCTGACGGGAATTGTCTGACGCGGCACGTGAAATTCCACTATTTTCGACCCTTTTTCCTGTCGTGCGCTCTCAGGGGAGGAGGAAGACCAGTTAAAAGCGCTGGGCACCGCCACAGTGGAGGACGGAGGGGTGACGGTGCGCAAGTTCCAAGGAAGGGCTTACTCTCCATCAGCGGTGGCGCGAGAGACTTGATTCTGAGATCTGAATCGACACTTCTTCGGAGACGTGCCAGATGTGATCGGATCCCGCTCGGACGGCGAACCAAAGCACCAGATCGTGACTGGGCACGGCCACATCCGCCCTTCCAGTGAAAACAAATGTACATATTATAGGATTAAAGTGAATTTTCTACTTGTATAAAAAAAAAACACAACATAAAAGCTCGCTTCTGCTTATTCTTTCAGCCACCGCATCCATACCGTCACTGATCCGAGAGAGAGAGAGAGAGAGGATTATTTCCACACCGAAAAAAAATAAAAATTACACGCAGTAGGATAAATTGCGCAAGTAAATATCTTTTTCTTCCGGGTCAAAGCATGCAATTGAATTTTATCATGTCGATTTTGCAATTAATGACGGGAAAATCCTAGAATACTTCAATAGGATGCAATGAGTCAACTCTGTCTATCCATTGATCTGAGAAGAAGGAAAGATTAATTACAATGAGCACCCATTTCTTATATAATCAAGTGGGTGGAACTTCAGTGAAGATACATTAAATATTTTTAGTGAAGAACAGGCCCAAAATTGTGGAAAAGCTCATACCGTAGTTTCTCGGGCCAGAGGCTCAGGCAGACCGCATTACGGATTGAAGACACTTGAGCCGCTCACATTGGTAGAAACCAAGAACGATATACATGTGATGACAGCATACCAAAACAGTGCGTTCCCTGGAGACGGGAAAAGAGTTCTCAGTGGAAAAAAAAAATCGATTTTTCCAGATAAATTTCCAGAAATAGGAAGAGAGTTACCCGCTGGACCACCAGAGAGATTCTGAGACTCGAGCTGAGGAATCCCAGAGCTCTGGTCGGCCGGTCTTGATGCGGATGGCTCCGAGTCTACAGACTCCTCGGCGTTTCTAGAGCTCCCTGGTTCAGATGCCACTATGCCTTGGAATTCTTCACTGACGATCAATGCTGCCAATACATCCATGAACGATTCTCTCTCCCTGCCAACAGCGTAGGCCCTTCTACTCTGTTTGTATGAACCAATGGATTCGTCGGAATCTGTCTCATCATCCGAGGCATCAGTATCCACATACTCCACTCTGGCGGGATCATCTTCTTCATCTTCAACGTATCTTTTGTAGGTAAGACGTAGCAGTATTTCTCCAGAAGATATGCCAAACGGCCCCCAGCGCCCCTGTAGATCTATCACTCTATCTGTGGGAACTGTATCTTGAAGAGATCCAAGCTCAACCTGGATTCCATGTTGAGCAAGTCAGAGAAGGGCCATACGAATCCACTGTAAGATTAAAAATGGGATTCGGGCATCAAAGATTCAATCTTTGATGTCTAACCAATGGCTTAAGAAAAAGGTGTATGCCTGATGCAGCTGGTGAGTCCAACGAAAGGGAAAATGAGTCCAAGAACTGTTCTATACATTAAAGGGAAAAATGAACCCCAGAATTCTCATGCAGATCAGAAAAGCCACCATACATTGATAGACAAGGAGTTAAACACAGGTGACGCCATTTTTCATAAGAAGTGAGGATTTGGTTGAAAGAGGTTGAGATGTGGCAAACGACGAAGGAATAAGGACCTCCTAGAGACCATCAAATTTCCGAAAATGTTGCTCAATCCAAAGGAATAGCAGTTTAAAAGAAATGGGGTTGAACTGTTGAATATCTCAGGAATGGAAAGAAAAGGATGGTAGGTACGCAGTGATGCTGCATAGACCGTTCCCCAGCTTTGAAACCAGGAAAAAAATTTAATATTATACCGACAGAAGATTACCGTAGCAGAATTGCAGAAATGACCAGTAACGGATCTTTTCAGCGATCCCTGACTCTCATAAACTATAGAGGGAAAATCTAGAAAAGCATGGAGAAGGATCAGATAGATGGCCATGTTGGACTAAAAGATTGAAACCTAACCATTATCTGAGACGTTACAACTCGAATTCAAATTGGTCACAACCAAAATAATCAGATTCAAGAAATTGGGGTTCGAAAATATTGACCAATTTTGTGAAATCAACTATGACATCATCTGAATATGGATGATGCTAGCCCTTTAAACAAGCAAATTTGACAATCCAGGCCATGATCCACCATGCGTACCTCTCCTGAACCAACAGTGAAGTCTCCAAACCCAAAAGAGTCCTTCACTTGGATACATAGCTTCTGCTTTTTAGGGTTAGAAACAAGCAAATGGAAATCCTGCACAGACGCGAGCTAAATATTAGTAAAGACAATACCTACGTATCACATGACAAATTCTGTTCATCGAGTATCCAACATTTAATGGGAAAAAAAAATCTAGATCTAGAAATAGGTTGGAGAAAATGGATCCCTACTTGATTCCAAATTGGATCTCCAGGTGGCCCAATAACCGTAGTTTGGCTATTTCTTTTACTGAGAATTAATTGATCACCCAGGCTCAGGACAACGAAAGGATCGGTCTTTGCTGAAAGTCAAGAGGCAAATATATAAAAATTCCTTCTCGATGGAGATTTTAAAATAATTCCAACTTCGGAAATGATGTTACTAGAAACAAAATTAAACTTTACGTTGACCGTTACCAAAAAAAACATAAGGAACTCTCCGCGCGTCGACAAGTGTGACCGACAATTCTCCCACAAAATCTTTGTTTCCTTCCTGGACTGTGTCACCTCTAGAGTCACCGGCAACAGGCCCAAGAGCTTTCCCCTTCTGGAAATCAAGAACGATTTTTTTTGGACGAACAAAGAGTCGAGGCAAATCTTCAGTGAGGAGCTTTGTCAGAAACCTAATAAGGGAAAATGAATATAAAATTTTAGACAGAAGAGTCTAGCAACGTATCTGGCAATTCGTTGGATAAAAATATTAGTTATCTATGTAACTATTTGAGTGCCATACAATAACCAAAAAATACTACAGTTGAAGCATAGTATGTTAACAATATCAGGAGAAATCGAGGTGAAGTTATTTCAGAAATACTCATTCCTAGAAAGAAATGACAGCAAACACCTAACAACCAGAATGATATTACTCTGAAAAAATGAATCAAATTACTAAATTATCTGAAGCCGATGTCTAAAGAGACTTTGACGAAAAGAAAAGAGAGTAAGCATGGGAAACCTAGATGAGTAAGAAAAAACCAGCCCATTAAAATCAAGCCGACCAATCTAGATGGGGTCATCTGTAGGCACTGGCCAAGAAAGTGGCCACATTCTCACCAAGGTGTGGCCTTGAATGTTATGAGCTAATCTGTCTGACTCGTCACAGTCAGAATCATGACCACGACTTAGGCTACATTGATTTATCATTTTATACTTCTTATATTGTGCAGAACAAAAGGAAAAAAGCAGAAGAGAGGGAGCTACTGTCCCGGCACAAAAGACAGAAGAAGAAGAAGAAGAGATGACAGCGAAGAAGAAAGATATTACGAGGAAGTGATCACTGCCATTATCAACATCTTATGCTTATTCTCTTTGCTTTTCCTTTGACTAATCATTTGATCAGGGCGTTCCCCATTGTTTACTTGCAACCTTCTTTCCGTCTACGGTGCGTTATCTTATTTCCATTTCCTCCACATCTTCAGTCTCTTTCACTTAACCCAGTTTCTACTTCATTGCCCCTTCTCTCCTTCTCCCAATTTCCTTTATTTAAAATTTCTTCTAGAGGTTTAACTTTATTTCTTAAAGGGGTTCTTTCTGTCCAATTTTTTTCCTTTAAATTTATATGGCACTTATTTTTCTTTGTTTCCTGTCATTTTGCCTCCATTGTTAGTCTGATCTGGGATCATCTTGACATCCCCTGAGTCAGTCAAATTTACCAGCCCAATCCCAATAGTAACCGAGTCTGAAATATAACCCAATTTTACGATCCGAAAACATAAGCATCTGAAAATGTAAAGCTAGTTTTCACCGCTACAGTGTTCACCAAGCTTTATTTGAAGACCCATACTTTACCATGAAGAAAAAATTATGTGTCACAAATTTGAAACAGTATTGCTTAATCAAAGATAAATAAGAGGGAAAAAGTAAAAGAGCCCACTTTTTGTATGATTTGGCTGACAGACTGTCCAGCCGGTAGAAACAGGAAAATAAACACGTTAAGCAATATTTTCCTCTCGAAGAACTTGTCTTTCACCAAATTTCAAGAACTCAAATTCCCAATTGTTAATAAAAAAATTGATCCATTAAAAGCATTATAAATTTATGAAAAAAAATGTCACTGAAACTTCAAAAATTAAAAATCCAGAATAAATGATCAGAGAGGCTTTGGCTTACATGGAAAGAACGGGAATGGCTGGTGGAGATCAACCCGTTAAAGGCAGGAAGCACAAAACAGCGTCAGTATACTGTGAAGTGTTCACCATTTTTTTAGAAATAAAACAGAAAACCGTAACACAAAGTAAACAAGACAATGCCTACTGTAGCTATATAATTCTAGATGAAGTTCACGTAAATGCAAAACCAGAAATACTGAAATAGTTTTTGAAAGAAACATCAACTTGAAATGCGGTTTAACGGAATAATAATCCTGCCTAGGAAATGTTCTCAGGGACTTACACTGCATCAAAAAAAAAAAAACTGTACCAGACCAAAAAAATTCATGTATCATAATGCAATAAAATAAATAATAAGATAAGATAGGCATTGCAAGATAGCAATTAGAGTAAGACATACCCATGAGATTAAATAACCGAAAAGGTGACAATTCAAACTTGATCTTTGGAAGAGACACAAATGCCAAAGATACAGCCCCTACCCACGGTTCTGATTGTATCAATCGCAACTTGACCCAAAGTTCTCCGTCAATATCAAAATCTCTGACCCCAACAGGTACAACAATGGGGATAATGCCAAATTTCAAAGACAGAGATAACAACATGCGAGCACCGCCTGTGTAACGAAGACCAATTTGGTACCTGAAAGAAAAAGAACAAAAAACATGATAGAAATGGCACAAGACTATGCTCCGATTTGGCTTGCCAAGTACCATATTTGATGAAAAGGGAAACTTTTCCAATCGTAGCTTTCATTATTAAAATCCACAAAAATGGCATTTATCACATAGGATACTAACCAGAGTAGCTATGATAGATTTTAAGCCTGTAATGAAACAAGCGATTTTCATACTTTCTTTTTGGCCCTGAGAATAAAAGGAGGATGATAACGCCATTTCTTTAATCAAAAAACACGCCACAACCATGCATATAAATATTGAAATGTTAAACACCTAGACAATAACCCCCATGGAAAAACAATATCAAAGAAAAGGGGAAGAAGAACAAGTGAGAAAATATTGAAATAGACTCGGAAAGCAAGCTCTAAAACTTTAGACAAATACAGGCGATTTCCGTTTCCAAACTCCAGAATCCAGGAGCAGTCAAAGCAAAAACGATCACATGCAAAATTGGTCCTTGGTCTACTACCCAAGTTCACATTCATCCCATCAGAAGAAATATTGCCTCCTATGTTGAATTCAAATTAATGTTGTATGGCGGCCAAATTCTAATGTAAAAGACGACACTGTCTCCGTTTGGCCCTACAAGAATATCAACAAAGATTTTTTTGATGTCCAGATCATTGTATCATGATCAACACTGAGCAAATATTCCCTTCTTATTCACACAGAAATAACCTCAGATGTTAGACTATTTTCTCCAACTGTTCATCCCACTGGACTAAACACACCATACAAAGAACACATATTCTCAACAACTTTGTTTGAATATAACTGCAATTTCTCACATAAATATCCTTTCAACTTGATACATCTAATAGAAATGTCTCCATGAAGAATCCCCCACATTTCATATCAGTCCTTGCATTCATTGTAGAAGATTCTTTATGGAGACATTTCCATTGGACATATCAAGTTGAAAGGATTTCTATGTGGAAAATTGCAGTTATATTTAAGCAAAGTTGTTGAGAAGATGTGTTCTTTGCATGGTGTGTTTTGCCTAGTGGCATGAACAGTTGGAGAAAGTAGTCTAACATCTGAGGTTATTTCTGTGTGAATAAGAGAGGAATATTTTCTCAGCGTTGAGGACAAAAATGTCTATTTGGTATATTCTTTTCCTTCTTCATATAGTATCTCCCAAACATTATCCTTTGTGCAGTGTTTCCATACATAAATCCATATTTTGCTTCCTCTCAGTAAAATTCCGTCATAATTCTTATGACCAGACCTTTCATCTCTTTGACAAAGACCTGTGGCATCTCTTACGTGGCTTGGAACAAGTGTGCAAGAGGTCAATATTTTCCGATTCAAAGAATCTCTACATCTAAACCAAAAAATTCACTTCGTTTGCACCGTCACGTCACTAATGAATACACAAATACATATTAGAAGCCAAGAAAATTATATTTTTAGAGCATTACGAGATAATTACTTAACGTCCAAAGCTAGCATGAAACGATAGACTATGATGAATCCCGCTCAGCCTTTGTATTAGGCTTTTAAACATGATTTTATTGATACTGAACCAAAGAAGAAACAATCAAAAAAGACAATCCTAACTGAGAACTAAATCACAGATGGACCATTGAAGATGTCAATTAAATCAGTCGGATAGAACAGATAACTTACTGCAAATCATTTGCTCGGCGAGAAGTCCTGCGTTCAACATTCCTAACAGACAACGGATCATCTCCCAGTGAGAACTGCTTTATCTCGACCCTCTGGACATATTCAGGCTTCTTGAGGTCGTCTATCACAGGCTGAAGCAATCCAATAATCCAATTCTCAATCCCTCCTTGGTACACCTTCCACAGCTTTCCCAGGACCATGTTGACCCATTCAACCGACTCTTTCCTTTGCAAATCCTTCTCAAGAAATTGAGAGAAGCTTGTGGGAACTTGAGGCCGGATACCTGACTGGCTTTCCCTCTTTGATTGACTTCGCTTCCTCCAGGTCCAAAGCTTGTCAACGACAGCCCCAAAGAAGAAGAAAAAGACAAATAGTCCTACGATGTTGCGATTGATTGGAGGAGAAGGAATGGGATGGATTACGCCAAGCTGAGTCCTGAGTTTATCAACCATAGGGTCTTCCTGAAAGTTGGTGAAATTTGACGCCACCTGAAGTGGCTCCTGTGACAAGTCTTCATAGCTCAGTTTGCCAGGGAGGCGCTTACCAGCTACCAAATTCTGGCTCTTGACACTCAGTCTGACAGGATTGTGCATAGGTTTACCATTTCCATTGTCAGGTGAACGAACAGATGCATGGCACCTCAACCCTATCCTACGCCCGTTGTGGTAGAGAAAACCAGAGCGTACTCTTGCTATCTGGCAATCTGGTAAAAAGCCTCTGAGTGACCCACTATCTGCAGCCTTCCGAGGGCATCTAGCCGGCAGGACGCAGAAAAACTCAAGGTAATAGGCGTTCGTGGAATCATTCACTGTCCCGAACATATAGAAGAGAGAATCCCACCGCCCCAAACTGAATACGGGCGAGGCGGTCAGCCAGAAATGTGCCTTCGAGCATGTATCGGTAGACAGTTTTGACGTTTTCAAAAGCCAAATGAGGTTGCAGAAAGCACGGATTTCTGCAGGTCTACTGTAACAGTTAACGCCGAATTCCACTCGACTAGGTTCCAAGGTGATTCTGAACCCAAAATTCAGCGTGACGGATGAGAAAACCAATCAATTCCAAAGGAAAATCCCGGACTCCACGCTCACCGCGGTCGAATAAGGATGTCCTGTCGGCAGACGAAAATCAGAAAATTTCACCTTGGGGATTCCCCATGCCCGCCAGAACATTATCTATAAATCTCCGACGAAGAGAGCAGTGAACGAAGATCGATTCCCCCGAGTCGCCGACAACCAACTCCCCCCCCAGTCGGGCGGATCGGGCATGACAGTAGCCAACAACTTTCCGACCCCGTTCCCTGTTCCGAAACAGGGACGTTCGTCGCCCGACGCTGCGGCCACAGAGGAAGAGTCGGCAGGAGAGAACCGAGAATGCCGCCAAGGAAGCGGCGAAGAAAGGCGGTTCGCTCTCTCGGGGAGAGAAAGAATTCGAGTTTGGGATGGAGATGACGAGGGCGACGGGTGGATCCAAATGGCCGCACGCTGTGGCGCGCGCCATCCCGAACCTCCGCCATTCCTCGCTCTCCGGAGACAGAGATGCCCAGTCGACCCCCCTACCCCCCCCCCCACGAGGAACGCGTGGATACCGCCGCTTTGGCGTCACGTGCCCCACCCATATCTTTCCGCCTGACAATATTTTTCCTATATAAATTTAAAATACATTAGGACCATATTTTCACAAATATCCGTAAATGTTTCATAATTTTTTATAATTTAAGACGAAGTCGAAATAATAGCGTGCGGTCGTCGTCACCTCTCGCTGATTTCAAACATTTTCCATTTTTTATTTATTTATTATCTACCGCCAAGTAAAAACCAATTTCATGCTTCACATCAAAAAATATTATTTAATTAAGAAAGAGAAAATCGTCAAGCACGACCAAATGATGTCAATATTTATATTAATGCGTATATTTCATATATTATATTAAAATTTGACAATGTAAACTGGGGAATGTCCGAATTAAAAAAAAGTTTAATTAAGGCAGGAACCTTGGTATAAGAAATTGGATTAAAAACGTATTTCATTATTTATAAATATATATATCGATTATTATCATTATTCCAGGTGGGGCCCGCCACATGTTAATGGCCCTCCTCTAACACAGAATTCGGACCATTGAGCCCAGGTAATCCGTCCAAGCTACAGGACCACTAGTCCCGCTCATTGGAAAGGTGGCGGGCCCATTAACGCCGCTGACCAGAAGTGCGAGGGGGACCAACGGGAACCTCCAAGTTTCATAAAAAAGGCCGGATCAGACGGCTCAAGAAAAGTAAAACCCTAGCAAACCCTAGCAGTCTCTCTCCAGCTCTCACTCGTCGCTCCTAGCTTCAGTTTAAGTTCTTCCTCGTCTGTTACCAGTCGGAGCGAGGGCGAGCGCCCGGAGAAAGGGGGAAAATGACCAACGTCGCCGTCATGTTTCGTCGCCATCGCTCTCCCCTGCTCCGTTACCTTCGTCTTCTGTCGTCTTCATCGGCCTCGCCGCCGCAGACTTCGTCGTCCGCGACGGCGGCGAAGAAGAAACTCAGGGATGAACGCGATGCGGTGAAGTCCCTGTCCCTGCTGTCGTCCATTTCCGACTCTGATTCACCTGCCGCCGCCGGCCGCTACGCGGTAGAGCTCGTGGTCAAGCGCCTCGCAAAGTCCCGCAATTTCTCTGAAATAGAAAATCTGATCGAGTCCCGGAAGAGGGAGCCCATGATCACCCAGGAGCCCTACGTCGTATCTATCATCACAGCGTATGGCTACGCTGGAATGATCGATCATGCCATCCGCACCTTCGACGAGATGGACAAGCATGGCGCACCCCGGACAGTTCTATCTTTCAATGCGCTCCTCACTGCCTGTAATCACACGGGCAACCACGGCCGCGTCCCTGAGCTCTTCTCGGAGATTTCTCAGAAGCACGGCATCGTTCCCGACAAGATCTCCTACGGGATTCTGATTAAATCCTTGTGTCAGTCGCGCTCCATGGAAAAGGTCTATTCGCTGCTGAAGGAGATGGAGGAAAAAGATGTCGAGATCACACCGGTGACGTACACCACTCTGTTGGATACTCTGTACAAGGATCAGAAAGCAGCAGATGCGGAAAGGCTGTGGAAGGAGATGGAGAGCAAGGGGTGTTCACCTGATGTAGCGGCTTACAATGTGAGGATCATGTATAACGCCGTTCATTCTAAACCCGAATCTGTAATCAAGTTGATTGACGACATGGTTTCAGCCGGACTGAAGCCGGACACCATCAGCTATAACTATCTGATCACTTGTTACTGCAAGAATGGGCAGCATGAGGAAGCAAAGAAGGTGTACAGGAGTCTCCGGGAAAAGGGTTGCCACCCAAATGCAGCTACATTTAGGAATTTTATGTATCTCCTCTGCAAGAACAAGGATTTTGATGCTGGTAGGGAAGTGTGTATGGAAGGTATCAAGAAAAACAAGCTTCCGGATTTTGGACCTCTAAAGATGCTAATGGAGGGTCTGGTGAAAAATTCTAAGGTGGAAGAGGCGAAACAGTTGATCAGGCTGGTGAGGAAAAAGTTTCCAGAGAGTTTCCTGTCGAGATGGAAGAACGTGGAAGAGAGGCTTGGTTTGGAAATCGAAGATGAACTTCCCCAAGCTGAGGCAGCTTAGTTCTGTAACCGAGCCATGAGTAGAGACTACGGTAGTTCAAGAGAGGGGGTAACTTTTGCAAAGGGATCTCATCATCTAGTGACGAGGTATCTTTTCATTTCTATTGTCCAACACCACTCATGAACGCGGCAATGGTTCTGCTAGTTGAACCGTAGTTGACGGTTTCCTAAATTGAAACCCTCAGGAGAGTTTACAATTTGAGATCGACGATGTCGTGCTTCTTCTGTATTTTTCCGTTGATTTCAATGGGGTACTGTGCTTAAAAATATTCTTATTTGTAGTTTCCAATTTAGTTAATCCATTAGATATTACTGCCATCTTGCCTATGATTCAAGAAAAATAGAACAATTGACTGTGGAAATGTATGCTGTAATCAGACTCATAATACGAATATTTCTGAATTCTAAAGTTGAATGGCAATATGACGTTGCGGAGATCCTTGCGAGCTGACCCAGATTATTTAGTTTTTAATGGTTAAGTTGAATTTCTTCTATTACTGGCTCTCGGTTTTTTTGTATGATCAAAATGAACTTTTTTTACCATTTTTTCCGAGAAAAGCGTAGGTCTAAGACAATACTAAAACTTCGAATTTTTATTTTCAATACATCATACGGGTAAACTGTCATCTGCTCGACTTTCTAAAATCAGTTCTTTATCAGTCTCTAACTGTTGAGCACCCTCACTAATTCCTAACTCACTCACGTTTTTTTGCCGCGGATCGGCTAAGATTTCGATCACATTTCACTCTGCTGTTCTCTTTTTGAAGCTCTGTTTATTCTTCTGGTCAGTTCAATCCTATTTTCTATTTTGTATTTTAATCTCATCCTCGTCGAGTACTTTTCTCTTAAATTTGTGATTTGCAAGCTGCTTCATATTCTGGTTTATTGCAATTATCTAAATGCTTGTCATTAGTTTACGTTGTCCCCCCCCAATGCATCTCGCAGTGTGCATTTATTTAGTTATTTCGTTTTCTAAATACTTGATTTTTTATTTTAATCGTTGCATTTCGTGAAATTTTCGTGCAATTTCATTTTCACCTCGAGATGCTGTTCATTGGGCGTCTTGGCATCAGCCACCTTTTAAACTTTGGCCGGAAAAGAAGAGTTGACCGGGTCTAGGATGATTAGATTGAAAGCTTGGAGTTGTCCCTGTGGCAGTGCTCTTTCGTCTCTCTTCTCTCTCTCTCTCTGTAGCTAGCCACTGGTCCATATTCCGGGCTCTGAAGAAAAAGGGCACAACACCACCCTCCTGACATTTTAGAGAGAAACAGAGGAGGGTCATGGTAATTAGACGAGGAAGTAGCAGAAACGGGGGGCTTCTTGATTAGCCGTCGCATGGTTCCCATAAAACCGTCTCTAATTTATAGTAATCGCCTTCCTGAATCTCCTTTCCTATGCTCTCTCGGTGACGGTCGCCTTGGTATATACCACATGCCCATCATTCGTAGGCCTCTGAGGAGTCCATTCCCGGTGATCCCACCGTCTTCCCCTGGTTTTTCTCATGTGCAGCCACGAGAAAGAAAGAGAGAGAGAGAGAGAGAGAGAGAGAGGAAGCACGGAGACAGGGAGACAGAGAGACAGAGAGATTCTCTCTCTGGAGGGATCGCACCCATGAGACAGGATGGGGCCAGGGCCGGCGGAGCTGGCGGAACAGTAAACCCTGAACGGGGAGCTTCGTCTTTTGCACAGTAAGAGGAGGGTTTTTTGTCCATTGGCGATAGAGAGTGAGAGAGAGAACGCTATGCTCTGCGGGCCTTGTCGTAGCTCGTACTAAACTGGGGGCCACCTTCCTTCCGATGGGCGTCTCCCCTTTCCGGTTAGTGACGGAATGGATACACAAGGGAGAGAATGACCCACCATATCCCTGTCTACAGCAATAAAAAAAAAGGACCGTCGAGTAATCGGATCTCCCCGCCCTGGATTCACCTTTTCCCTCTCTCTCTCTCTCGCGTTCTCAGTGATGGATTCATGGGCGGAATTGATCACCGTTCAATGGGCATCTGTGAAAGGAGATTATACCAATCCCACATCGCCCTCCTCTCCCTCCCTGCTCTGGATGAAAACAATGTTTTCCATGCAAGAAAGAGGAAATATTTTTGAGGGCAGGGATAGGGAGAGAGAGAGAGAAGGGGAGGGAGAGTCAGCAGAGCCTGGGTAGGCCCCTGCCCTGGAGGTGGGAGGGGCTGGAGACGACCTTGCTGCCGCTCTTGGCCATCTTGGACATCTGGCCTTTCATCTCCCGGCAAACCTTCTCCAGCTCCGCCACCCGCCACTGCATCATCTGCAGGTTCAGCCGCAGCTCGTCCTTCGCCGCCGGCGGCGAGCGCTCCCCACTCTCGGACCCCGGCCCTCGGTGACACGCCGCCGGGCTCGACGCCGCGCTGAGACCGAGAACGTCCGCCGTGTCCTCCCCCTCCTTGCTCTGGATCCTCGTCCTCTGCGACGCCAGCGCCTGCACGGCGCTCCTCGGGGGGATCCTCGGGTTCTTCGCTAGTTCCTTGCAGGCCTCCAGAGTGAGCTTCTCGTAGTTTATGCACCGGCACAACCTCGACCTCTCCTCGAACGACAACGCCGGGTGTGACTGCGAAATTATCCCCCACGGACTGCGTTATCCCGATGCGGTCAAATCAGACGGAAAGAGTAGAGGAGAGAGAGAGCGAGAGGGAGAGGGAGAATCCATCAACTACCATCGATCGAACAGATGCTGGGCATTGAATACGTTGAAAAAGAGGCCTCTCTCTGTACAGGCAAAGCCAGGGCATGGCAGAACTACAGAGATTCCCACCCATCGAGTCAAACAGGAAAAATCATAAGCACGACTGGCAAAAGAGACTAAGTGCGGGAGAAGATCGATGTCGGGGAGAAGCTAAGCTGCGAGACGAAGGAAGAACCGATTCGCCGGAGGGTAGTGAAAGAGTCCTTGTTCGAACCGCTGCCAGAACCCTTCTGAATACAGCCGCAGGAACCGAGAGTTGATTCGAACTGTCGGAGACAGAGCAGGGTCGCAGTGCTTCGGTGTTTAAAGTCAGAGAATTCGACGTCTCCACAAACAGGGAAAACATTAATTCGACCGAGCACATCGGAAGCAGGCGGCGACGGCAGAGAAACGAAGAAATCGCGTGCACGATGAATTGAATCATCTGGGTATGCGAAATCGATCGATCAAATGGAGATAATTTATGGTGATTGATATATCTATCTGTTGAACGAGCTATGAAGTGCATGTGGTCAGAGAAGAGGAGCCGCCTCACCTCGAGGTAGATGTCCAGAGCTCTGTAGACACCGTCGAAGCAGTCTCTGGCGGAATCCGGCAAGCTCTCGGCTATGCCGAGAAACTTGGAAACCCTCAGGCTCTGGTCTGGGGAGATCTCCCGCAGGTACTTGTCCATCAGTCGTCCCACCTTCTTCATCCTCTGAAGGGCCACTCCGCCATCATCCAGGCTCACGAAGACTCTCAACAGCCTCAACACCAGGTTCACATCATAAACCCCGCCGTCGTGCCCGGAGATCAGGAGATCGTCCAGAGTGGCCTGGTCGAGCATGGAGCCTATCAGCCTCTCCAGCTTGTTCCGACAATCCTTGCTCAAGCCCAGGCCGGAGACCACACGAAGAACCCAGAAGAGGCCCCTGCAAGAAAAGGCTGTCCTCCCCATCAGCACCACGCCGTAGACGGCGGTGTCCGCGAGGCCGCCGTAGGTCGCGGCATCCTCCACGCCTCCGCCGTTGCCGCTACTCGCCTTCTGCACCGCCGTCTTGAGGTAGTGGAGGAGGAACCTGGTGAGGATGAGGTTCCTGTTCTCGCTGGCGTAGGCGCCGAGTGTCGCGATGAGCTTTTCTATAACCTTGGGGTGGAGAATGGTGAGATCGTCGAACCACCATTCCCTGCCGGAGCAGGGCTTGATGCTGTCGGGGGTCTTGGCGGAGGAGGAGAATCTTAGCCCGTAGGTGTCGGGAGATGAGGAGGAGGAGGAGGATGCGAAGGGGGTGCCCGCCACCAGCGGGATTTCCGAATTCGCCGAGATCTTGCCGAGAAGGGCAGAGAAGAGCTTCTGGAGGAGGCCCGAATCGTCGGCGGCGTCTATGAAGAGCTCGCAGCTTTTCAGAGAGTCGAGGACTTCTCTCCAGGTCCAGTAGAAGAGCCCCTCGAGGAAGGTCTCCGTCTGAGCTAGGAGGTTGCAGGCGACCACTTCCTCCGTCATCTCGAGGGCCAAGGCGGCGCAGTGGAGGAGGCTGATGTTCGATGGGCTCATATGAATTCTACCATTTCCGTAGCAGAATCTTGCGGCGAGCTCGAATCCGTCGGCCCCACCAGGAAAGTCGGCGATCTCCAGTTCCACGAACTCGATCTGCCTCCTCCTCTTCTCCTTTTTAGCCATCCTACTCAGGCTCCCTGAGAACGTGCAGAGGATCCTCTGCAACAGCAGCCACAACAGAAAAAATATATCCACACATCAGGAGATCCGCCACTGCCCCTTCTTGAATTCAAGATTCGATCGATTCAGGCGAGTCGCGCCGGATCACCAAGACTGAAGGACTAGACGAAACAGAGAGGAATGAGCCATTTACCTGGTCGAGGAAATACTCGTGCCCGCCATTGATGTAAACCTTGAGGTCACATAGCTCTTCCTGCATTGTTGCTCCGCCCTTGGAGGCAGACAGACGAGATACTCAGAGAGAGAGAGAGAGAGTAGTAGCTACCCCGACTATGGCTAGAGATGGATAGAGAGAGAAAGAGGGAGATGAGAGAGGGACCGCCCAAGAGGAGAAGGGAAATCTCTTGCCGGCAGCGAGGTTCCGGACTTCAACTTATGTCGCTTTTTTGGCCGGGGACCTGGTCTTTATCCGGCCATAAGCCATGAATTTGACGAGGGGTGCGCGTCGCTTGAGTAATCGTCGTTTTTGCTGCTCCAGCGTCGTGGAAGCCCGTTCTGGCGCCGGAAGCCATCCCCCCCTCCCACGCTGGTTATTCTCGGGCAGCCTTTGTCATCTACTGCCGAGGTAGGCCCCCGTCCCCCCCGCCGCCCTTCGCCCATGTGAGCCGACTGGGCAGAGGCGTGGCGTAGAGGGAGGGAGATGGAGATAGGAAGAGAGGCCACCCGTCCCCTCTACGCGGTGTCCGAGACGAAAAGGCGGCCCTCCTGGTTCGCAACCTGCCACAGCTCAGTTTCTCCGCAGCCGGACAAATCATACATTTTGGGGGATGAATGTCCCTTCTGTTAGGATCCTGATGGGCGAGAGAGATCAACTGCGAGTACTCTCCCCAGCCGCGCTGGTCACAGTGCACGGGGAGATCCATCACCTTCCTCCATTAGGGTAACGGATGGATGAAGACGACGATAACTCTTCTCTCTCTCTATCCGTGCACCTGCATATTCTCTCTCGTGGAAGCGACGGCGATGGTGACAAGAACTTCTTCCTTTTTCGTCGACGTCGAGGCCTCGGGTACTTCCAACTGCGCGGGTTCAGCGGGTTCTGGCTGATTCCGATTAGCCCGTGCCATCATCTTCATAGACAATCGCGATAGGCCTTCACATGCCCCCACCCGCCCCGTTTAAACGCTAACGGAATTTTAAACAGGCCTGTTAATTCCACCGGTCTACTAGAACTCCGTCCGGCCGCCGGAGGTCAACCCGCTGCCCCTTCACGGGCGCAATCGGTTCGTCGTCGGATCCTTCCGGGTAGGCTTGCGGGTAGGAAGAAAACAACGCTCGACGCATCATCTCGTCGTAGGCCGCCGGGCCTCCCATGTGGCTGGAGGCAGCGAAAACGGGCTCCTAGCGGGCGCGGGGCCCAGCTTACGGCCCGGTTCGTACACGTGGGCCCGCCTGGGCAGTGTTACTAATAATCTGGAGCTCGGTCTCGTCCGATTCTAAAAAAAATATTCGTTTAGCCCACAATGGGCCGCCCAAACAACTGGGCCTGAGCCTAGTGGCCCCACGAGCACGCCGACCACGCCACGAAGACCGCTCGATTATTAGCTACAGGACAAACCAGACCGTTGTGGCCACGTGGGACCGTCCGATAATTGGGGCTTCTCCTCTGTAAGCACCCTCTGAAAAGAAATACGTGGAAAAACAAGATTATGGAATCGCACGTGCGAACGGGAAACGCCATTAATTTCCCTGTGTTAAAAAAATATTATAAAATTATTAATGCATTTTTCACCATCCGATAATTGGGACTTCTCCTCTGTAAGCACCCTCTGAAAAGAAATACGTGGAAAAACACGATTATGGAATCGCACGTGCGAACGGGAAACGCCATTAATTTCCCTGTGCTAAAAAAATATTATAAAATTATCAATGCATTTTTTCACCGTTAATTAAAAAAAAAATCACATATTCTTTGAGAGTGATCCAACTCGAATGAGCCCAAGTATACTTACGTGGAATTTCCACATAAAATGTTTTTAGTTAGTAGTTAGCCCTTTTAGTATTATTTTTCCCCTCGTAAATAATTTGATGACTTTAGGGTCTTTATAAAAAAATCATTTAAAACACGATAATTAAAATGAAATATACCGATTATTTAACATAGTTATCATTGTGCATCTGTAAATAAATCCCTTCATTCTTATCGATAAAATAAATAAGTGGTGTGTATAAGTATCTTGATATTTTCGTATAAAATAATTTCTACCACATTTATAGTCATCCCTCTCGAGTTTGTTTGACTAATTAATTTCTGTTGCGATTTATAAAATATATAAGCGGAAGTGAATTTGTACACAGTAGCGACGACTTTTAAAAAAATATTTAGTCCAACAATATCACGTATTGAACATAAAAAAATATTTTTTATTTTAATAAAAATAAATACATATTATTTAAAGTCAGACCTTGCGACAACTGTGGATTTACCATGTAATTTTATGATTCCAGGGATGTCCACGTGGAAATGCGTTCGTGTCCGGCGTTCGTGTAATTATATCATATCGAAGGCTTACGAGTGGAAAAGTTCGTAGAAGTAGCAGACTGGGCCGGACATCTGTGTTTGAAAATGGGCCGGGCTACCCAATTATTCGATCGGCTCATCATAAATATCAATTATTCACGTTATAATTAATGTAAAAATCATAAAAATATAAATAATGTATTTGTGCTCTGGGTGGCGAGGTTTCTGTTGTTGGCGGGGTTGAAGTGGCCTCGCAGACGAGGGGGAGATTCCTGCTGGGGAGATCGGGAATTGGGCGAGTCACAGAAGGGGGGGCGCGCAGAGCGACCGATTGGGGGAGGGAAAGGTCATCGACGTTTGCGTCCGCTCCGGCAGTAATAGAAGGATCGTCGGATCTCTCTGTTTTGTCGCGTCCCGGTCGACATTCTCTGTTGGGGAAAGAGAGCAGCTGGGGGGCTCGGGCAAGAGTGCCAGGCATGGCGCAGAGTAGTCACTCACCGGAGAACGGTGTGGACGGGGACGACGAGAGGGAGGAGGAAGAGGAGGAAGAAGCAGAGGAAGGTGACCAGGTGGGTGCAGACGATCATGACGAGGAGCCCAGGCTGAAGTACCAAAGGATGGAAGGGAGCGTACCCTCTCTCCTCTCCACAGACGCTGCTTCATCTATTTCCATCTCCGAGAGGATGATCGCCCTCGGTACGCACGGTGGTGTCGTCCACATCCTCGATTTCCAGGGGAACCAGGTCTCCTCTATCTCTCTCTCTCTCCCTCTTTTTTTTATCTTCCTTTCTTTCCATCCCTCTTGAATTTTGCATCCCTCTTCGCATATCTTATTGCCATCACTTCCCTTCTCAGCTCATTCACTCTCACAATCAATAAGTGTAATTTTTTTGGTTCGACTTTGCAATCTGTGAACTATTGGACGAGGCTGCTAAATATATACACAGAGTATGCAATTCGCTTGCCGCAGAAGGGATAGGGAAACTAGCGCAATCTGCATAACTTCATTTCAGGTCACAGAAAACAAATTACATACGTGGAGAATGATTCTCCTGGAAGGTTTTACTGTTTAGTTGATATTGATATGCAATGGAATAGATGAACGGGGAGGAGATATAATGCTTTTTGGGATAACTCTGAGGGAACATTAAAGAGCATTACGGAAAAAGGCTTCTTCCGGTTGCAGGAGGAAGATATCAGAGGTTCTGTAGCTATGACAGCATCGGCATATTAATCACACAGTTGGCCGTTGCGGCGTGTATTTGCCCTCTTATGTTCATTTTGTTTGTGTAGAGTACTGATTGACTTCATCAGTTTTCTTGGGACGGAATCAGAGTTTCCATCGTCCGTAAACAGGCGTTCTTCTGAAAAGAGGAGACGCTTATTCAATGGCTTATATATTTTAATATAGCCGGGTTTGATCAGCCTCTGAAAGGGTTCACATGTTGGCATTCGAATAAAAAGCGAAATAATGTTTGTCAATATTTTCCGGTTTCTCTGGTGACGAATAATCCGTATTCCCCGCTTCTTAGTAGCTTTGAACATGCTGATAATTTAAAAAGAAGTTAAAGCTAAAAAAATGATCTTTATCTCGAATGAAACATATGACTTCACTTGCTTGGAGAGGTGAGTAAGGTTTTCAGTTCGAGTTTGGTAATGTGACGTATACTTGTTTCGAAAGGATAGGGGAGCAAATGTCTGAAATTTTATAATACCCTAATGTCGGGAAGCAGATGAATGACATTGCTCGATTAACAGGGATACAAAATATTTTGGATCCCGTGTTCGTGAAGAAACCTAAAATATGGGGAAAAATAGAGCAATCTGAGTCGTTTTTTCTTCTGTGGGAAAAAATTAACGGCTCCTGATTTTAAAGGCTCGGTTACTGAAGGAAGAAGAATGCAGTTTGCAGTCTAATCTCTTAATATTTTATGTCACGATGATGCACAACCTCTGCAAATTAAAAGAAGTTTATGGGGTTGGAGGGGTGATGCAGTTATTCAAAGAAGGATGTTCTCACAGTGCTCCCTTGCATGTTTTGTACAGGCCACGTAGCGAACATGTGTAATGTAGAGTATGAACTGCAAAGGCACTGCTGTGATTATCGCTGAACTTTTGATTGGCATGTTAGGAATCTCTCACATCATGTGCTTAAATTTTTTCTCTGTCATCAGAACAATTTTTCACAAGGTACACGGAAAATTTTGGAAAACTCTAGATGAGGCTATTTCAATTTATGAGAAGTACCTAAAAATGGGTCTGTTACAACTGTTTCTCCATACTTTTCAGTTTATTATCTAGCTTTTTAGAAAAATGTGCTCGAATTGCCACGTGTATATTATTTGATTTTCTAGTCGTAACACCTGGGAACTAAACAAAAATTATGTCATGGCAAAACAACTGTTCCCTGTAGCCGCCTCATGATATAAAGAGAGTTGGCGTGTTATTGAGATACTTGTTGGAAGGCCTTCATGTAGGTTTAAACAGTTATCAGTATGGTGTTAACTTCGCAACCACTGGGGAATTGGGAGGGATTTATGTGCAACACTTTTTGGCGGGTCAAAACATTACTTTGATGTTTAAGAACTGAGAATAGGTGTGTAATGTTATTTCGCTAATGATATACGGTGTATGGGCTTAAATTCAAGTTTACATAAATTTAGTTTAAGTTCCAGCATTGGAAGTGATTGAAATTCGAATTCAACTAATTGCAAATCTTTCCAAATTCTTGGTTATTTTGCATTCTCTTCTTTGAGCTATTTTTGTTCTTTATTTCTTTTTTTTTTCTTTCAGGTTAAGGAATTTCATGCTCATTCTGCCACAGTAAATGACCTTAGTTTTGATTCAGAAGGGGAGTACATCGGAAGTTGCTCAGATGATGGGTTAGTGGTTATCAACGGCCTGTTTACTGATGAGTGCTTCAAGTTTGTGTATCATCGCCCCATGAAAGCACTTGCTCTAGATCCAGATTTTTCTCGAAAGTCATCTCGAAGGTTTGTCACTGGTGGTTTAGCTGGTAATCTCCTGCTAAATGCAAAGACGTGGCTGGGCTACCGTGACAAGGTATTGACATGTCTGTGTTCTGACATGAGGATCAACAATTTGGAAAACTTTGAAACACTTTAAGCTTCTGATATTATGATATCATGTTCCATTTGTTATTTCAGGTTTTGCACTACGGTGAAGGACCTGTACATGCTGTGAAGTGGAGAACTACTCTTATTGCTTGGGCCAATGATGCAGGTGTGAAGATATATGATATGGGAAATGATCAACGTATTGCATTCATTGAAAAACCCCGAGGAAACCCACGGCCTGAACTCTTGCTACCACACATTGTTTGGCAGGTTTGTTTTAGATTAAGAAAAAGTAATCCATAAACCAGGTTATACTTCCAAGATATCTTGACCGCTTCTTCCAATCTCTAGGATGACACTCTTTTGGTTATTGGATGGGGAAGAAGCATAAAGATTGCTGCCATAAGGACAAAACCATCTCAAGGAGTTAATGGAATAGAAAAGACTGCCAATATATCATCAACAAAATATGCGGATATTGTGGCATCTTTCCAAACGAGCTATTTCATTTCTGGCATTGCACCATATGGTGATGCTCTGGTTGCGCTGGCATACATTTCCGAAGAATACAGTGGAGGGATAGTCTTGAGTAACACCATTCCTTCCCGTCAGGTAACTTATGACTGTTTTATTGGTGCAAGTTTATTTTTTCCTGGGTACATCCAACAGTTATTTTCTCTCATATTTTATTTTATGTTCTTTTTTCTATCATCACCTATCCATTAAATAATCTACAATACTTGAAATAAACGTCACCAAAAGAATTACTGTTCTATTTGTGCAAGTTTTTCCTTAATAAGCATGCAGTTGTGTTTTTCTTTGTAAAATTGATATATTTAAATATTATCATGACGTAATTTCTCTATTTTTCGCATTTTATACCTATTCCTTCTATAGAAGCAACTATATTAGTTCTATGAGTGAGCTTTTTGCATCCTCAGTGTCTTGATGTACCGCTGCAGATTAAAGTTTAATATCAAATGGTTTACAATAAGGTGGCTAATGGAAAGATCATATGTTGACAGTTGGTACAAAACAGATTCATGTGAACTCCCAACTACAAAGGAATCTGGTTTGAAAGCTTAGTAGGTTAGTGGGAAACATTTTTATTAGATGAGATGACTTTGGATCTTTGCTGAAGTTCCAAAAGTTCATTATATATATTGGTGACCGGTTATAGGTAACTTAGTTTTAGTTGATGTGTTTCATTGAGTTCTCATGATGTGTTTCATTGCTCTTGTAAACAATAGCAATTTATTCAATCCACAGACAAATCTACTGAGGCAATATCATTCATCTTTACTTAAGGGATCTGAATAAGCTAATTAACTCTTATTAATCGTATGCAAGCTTTCTTTTCTACTTCGTCCTGCCTCGCGAATTTTGTGTGACACCAACCTCTCTCTATTTCGGTACAGGATTGGCTAATCCTTTATTTGAGCGAGTTCAATATGCTTTTGTTTCCAACATTTGATGAATTTTGACAATATTTATACATTTATTTTTGGTCATCAAGGCTATAATGATCATTAGATGAAGTTTCAACTTGGACGACTAGTTTCTGAGCATCTCACATCTACACTTGTGAAGAAACAGAATTCTGTTACTGATTGGCATGTAACTTAAGGAGACAATTTCTCAAGTTTTTAATGTATATCTTCTATTGATGAAGTAAACCAGATGGACGTGGATACGCAAGTCAAGTACATCTCAGGATGTGTTATTATCTTTTCCTGGGAATATAATCCCAAAGTGCTGATATAGATTATATCACTGTGGAGCCTAGCAGAATAATTCTGTTATCTAATCTGGATTTGCCCTCTCAACCAAAAAGGCTCTATGTTTTTATGTTGAGAATAGCATGACAGATGTCGAGTTAACCTGATGGAGTACAGGACGGTGGAGCCCACCCTTCTCCACATCAGCGTGGTCTGGTTTGAAAGCCGCCTCTGCTTCTTGAGTTGTGGCATTGGGACAGACAAAAACCACAGCAACGGAAGGACCGAGGCAAGATTGGGTGTGGAGGGAGAGAAAATTAAAAGAGAATATAAGATAAACTACATTAGGTAGAAAAATGAAGAGTTTAAGCTCTTGTACTTCGATAGAACTGTCATCCTGTCGTGCTATATCTACAACATTATCCCGAGTGTCTCCTAATTCACTCAGATCCGATCCTTCCAAAGGGGATCGTATCATACTGAATCTCAGCGTATTTATAGTCCTCCCACGTGGTGTGCACGTGTCTCCCTTTATGCCTTCTATATGTCAGTAATGGGGTTGTAAAACAGTACTGTGGGTGAAATAGATCTTAGTTTAAAAAATATATATTAATTTTTTTTCCAAAAGATCCTATTTGTTCAATAAACTGGTAAAGTGCTCGTAATACTTTCGTTGGAAAATTTTGGATTGAATATATGGATTATTTCATTTAAATGATTATTAGGAATCTGTGATTCAAACTTTTTTAAAGCATAAACTCGTTGAAAGTTTTGTTGTCGTACTTTTGTTTGAGAAAAGATGGATTTGATTTCTCAGCAGGGAACTGCACAGAGACCCGAAGTACATATTGTTACATGGAAGAATGAGGAGCTCACTACTGATTCTCTTCCTGTACATGGTTTTGAACACTACTTGGCCAAGGATTATGGCCTTGCTCATGCTCCCTTCACTGGTATGGTGTCTCCCATTTATATTACCATCATAAAAATAAATTTCTTGAAATAATTTTAATTCCATTTTAGGTGATGTGAACTATTAAACTCAAAATTTTAATGTAGGAAGCAGTTATGCAGGCGGTCAGTGGGCTGCAGGTGATGAACCTCTGTACTATATTGTATGTCCAAAGGATGTAGTTATTGCGAGGCCTAGGTTAGTTACCTTTATTGTTCACTGCATCTCGCTTTCCATTGTAGTTTTGTGAGTCCCGATTTTGAGAATCAAAATTTTATCATCAGAGACTCAAAAAGTCTGAAGGCATAATAATTTTACTACTTTCTCTTTGTTTCTGATATGTGTTACTATTCACAAAAAAGAGGGGAGAAATATTGTTCTGTATGTCAATCACTTGATAAGTTATTTTCCTCTGGAAATGATCACCTTGTGGTAAAATGTAACCCAACCTGTTTTTCTATTCATCAAGCCTAACCTCAATTATCTGAGTTTTAGGGATGCTGAAGATCATATATCCTGGCTTCTTCAGCATGGTTTTCATGAAAAAGCTTTAGCTGCAGTCGAAGCGGGGCAGGGGCGCACCAAGCTTCTTGATGAGGTGTGCTGGATGAAGTTAATTTTTCTTATTCTATTTTTGTCCTTTCGGGCATTTCTTTTATTACTAAATAAAGTTTTATAATAGGTGCCGCATGAAAAAGTGTGCTTGCATTTTGAGTTTGCAAGTTCTCATGCCTTTCCTAGCTGAGGCGCTGTTTTAACATTTTCTTGAGTACTTGAGATCCTTATTTGAAGCGAATGAATCTGTTTTATGTTATCTAGCGTGGGGATTTTAAGGAAAGAATTTAAAAGCAGTCATATAAAATCATATGGGTTTGGACTCAGTTTAATGGATAATCGGTTCTAGAATCTTTTTGTGAGAGTTGACGAAGGTTCATTGTTTTTAGTCTAATGAAAAGCCCTGAAATGATATCCGGACAACACTTGATTATATCGCAGTTGAAATGCCTGTTACAGTAGTACGGTTCAAGATGCATCTGACACTTTGCTCTAAATGCCACATCAGTTCTGGGCTTTGGCTGGGGAATAAAATTCGTTTATGAACAGAGGTATTGACTGAATGGAGGAATGCCACGTTTTCTTGGACCAAATTTGTTTATGCCTGTTTTCTTCGAGGCAGCATGTTGAACAAAAAAATGGAACAAGTTGTAAAAGAAAGAGAAAATTACTTTTTTATTTCCTCGATCAAAAGAGAATTAGGCGAATCATCTTTTGCTTTAATGAAAACTCTGAAGAGAGCTTTTGAAGAATTGTGTTAGTTTAATGCAACTTTTGTATCTCATAGATCTGTGTGTTTGTCTGTTTCTAAACGCCTTGTGCTTTCAAGAATTATTCGTGGAATGCATTTGCTTTCTCATCTCACGATTTTCGGACTGTGGTCTGTCAGAAATAGATATCTTTTCTGTACAATAAAGGTCGGTTTTATGATTTTACCAGTGTGCCAATGCCACCTTTTTCCCATGGTAGGAATACAGTTTAGAGTGTGTTTTTTTTGGTTTATCTGTTTTCTTTCTCCCTAGGCTTCTCAAATTTATTTCTCAATGTATTTCTCGATAAGGCTATACTCCTATCCCGTGTTAAGATTTTTTTTTCTTTGAAATGTACATATAAAAGAAGAGAGCTCAATAACAAATCCTGGTGTGATCATTCATACTAAGATATTGATTTAAATGCCACATCTCGAAGTTGATAAATTGTTCACTTAAAGTTGATGTACCTTTTCCTTCTCTTTTGTTTGGTAACCCGGATAGTTTTTAGTGCCCATCCCTTACATAAAGGCAGATTTAGGTCCTTTACATGTATAATCGTTAACTGTGCGGATTGTGGGAAGCATGTGCGCTATAATTGAATCTGAATATTAATTTTAGGGAGGATTTTCTTGTCATTTCTTTTCCATTGTCTCGTGTATGAAGTCTCATCGATTTTTCGGTTTGTTTTTTCTTGACTTAAGGTTTTGTTTTTGAGGAAGCAAGCACATAGAGGAAATGGCTCAACATTCCACTCTTATTGAATATGCGTCTCGAATACAATAATGGATTGATTTACATTCCTTTTCTATTACTGTCACGCTGAAGAAAGGAAGGGCTATCTACAATACAAACGTCACAATCAATGTCATTTTTTTTAACTTAACAGTTGGTTTCCCGTTTTAAGTGGTACTGCTTTTCTGATTATAGAATGTCATCTAACTGTGAATCTTTTTATATGGTCAGGTGGGATCTAGATATCTTGATCATTTGATTGTCGAAAGGAAATACGCTGAAGCTGCATCCTTATGTCCTAAGTTACTTCGTGGTTCTGCTGCAGCATGGGAAAGGTACCCTTGGAACACCTTCTGCTAGTCTGTATTTGTGGTTCTGGAAATTGACCAGGTGTCCCTGACAGATGGGTTTTCCATTTTGCTCATCTACGTCAGCTTCCTTCTCTGGTTCCCTATATGCCGACTGCAGATCCTCGGTTGAGTGATACTGCTTATGAGGTCCCATAATGCTCATCCTTTGTTTATTTTTGGTTTTGTATAAATTTTATTACTTTCCTGTAGAATTTGTTGATGCTTATTTTTCTCACGTGAAAGCATTAATCATTTAGGTCGCACTCGTTGCCTTGGCAAATAATCCATCTTCTCATAAGGACCTCCTATCAACTGTTAAATCATGGCCGCCAGAGTTATATTCCGTTTTGCCAGTTATTTCTGCTATTGAACCTCAACTAAATACACCATCGACGACCGAACTTCTTAAAGAGGTATCATTTTTGTGTCGAAATGAGGATTTATTCATGTTTATTCTTTCTGTTTTAATAACTGTCTTTTTTTTTCTACAACAAGGCACTGGTTGAGCTATATGTGATCAATAAACAGTATGAGAAAGCCTTTGCGTTATATGCTGATGTAAGTATTTCAGTTTATGTTTTTTGTATTTTAGGGTAAAGAGAGTTAGGCAATAATGTATGGTACTAAACAGATGTAAAAGAGCCGGTTTGCTAATTAGTTAGGATTAACTATGTTAATCTATCCTCGGTTATGGATTCTTGTTTTTCTGCCATTCAGCTTGATAACACGCTTATTTCTATAATAGGTTAGCCCAACTTAACTTAGTTTTCAGTTAAGTGACTGAACTGAAATCCGTAATCAGGGCGGGTTCCCACCATTTGGCTCTTTTGGTCTAGTGAATTAAGCAACTTTATCTGAGTTTACACCTAACTGGGCCTCTAGTGACTTGCTCGGCGTTTTGCCAAACTTGGATGGCTTGGCTATCTTGGGGAAAATCGGATAACGCAGCCTATTCCAGTTCTAATTGGCCGTCAATCCACTGCAAAAAGATCAAAAGTCAGTCATTTCTCATCTTTCGATGTATATACTAGGGACATTACTATGTCCATTATATCTTTTACCCGTCATTGTCATCTTCTTTCATCTCCTGGCTCATACTGAGGACCTTCACCTGTTGCGGTTCTATTCCATGTGAATAATACATGGTACCTGATCTGAATTTCAGTGATGAAAAGACACTGTTGCAAATCTCATCAATGTATCTATCTTGTTGCAAACTAATTTCATTTCTTTTTCCTTTTTCTCAGATGATGAACCCTGAAGTGTTTGATTTTATTGAGAATCACAGTTTGCATGATCTTATTCAAGGCAAGGTTAGTTAGTTCTTAAAAAGCATGCTAAGATTATTCCTACTATCTTCCTTTTGAACTTGTCAGTGGTTCTAAGAATGCATCATTAGTCGAATTGTTGCCAGTATAATCTTGTCTCTTTGTAGTGTATTACTTCACAAAAATGATTAGTGTAAAAGAAGAAAACAACCACTTGGCTATAATGGAATTTGGGCTATTGATGGTAATGATGACTGGGGATGGAACGAGTTACCCCAAAAATAACTGATTAACCGTTAAACTGTTTTTATTTTTTACAAAGGTGTGTAAACTAGAATAAATAATCACAACCGGTTCCAATCTGCTAAGAAGAAAATGTCTCCTAAAATAACTACAAAAACATTCAATTTCGTGAATCAGGGCTAATGGCTGATCAAAACTCATCCTTTTCCCGGCAAATACAGCGGAGCTCATTCCTGTTTGAACTGGCCATGTTTTTGTTCCTTGATATGAGGAGGGAGGGGTTGAAGATGTAGAATAAAATGAATTCATTCTTCCTCTAATTCCATTTTGAATCTTGCTATTTTACTGTACTTGAGGATCTCTTGCAATTTATGAGGGAGGATTAATTCGATTCTTAATTTTTTATTAGAGTTTTGAAAAATGCTTTAATATAAACTGGCACTTAATGACATATCTAGAGGACAATGAATGAGTTGTGTGGTGGCTAGCACTGAGAGCCTGTACTCAAAAGAAATGGATATGGTTGGTGGCTTGCCCTTGGTGCTACTCATTATACTAAACTGATCAGAAACTTGATTTTAGACACCAGGGCTCTTCAGTATATCCGAATGAAGCTTTGAGCCTTTGTAATCAGGAATGCATTGGCCGTTGATCGTGAGGGGTAGGGTATCTACAGTTTTATATGCTGTTTTGGTGTAGACGTAAAAAACGGCGTATGGACCATCTTTTTTGTGACTTAATGAACTACTCATATCTAGTCAAAAATAATTTCTGGTAAATGGTTGGTTTTGAAATTCATCATCATAAAAAAAAGAGAATGCACATGGAAGCCAGAGCAAACATGTGAAAGAAACACAGAGCAAACAGAAGTGAAAGAAACACCATCAGAAGAATGTGCCTCAAATTTCTGAAAGGAAAACCGCGACTCTTGTTATTTTTCATTTGTGAATCATTCATGTTTGAAATGAACATAGTAAGCACCTGATGCAGAAAGAGGCATAGTAAATCTAGTGTACAGACATCGAATAGTAAAGTGGATGAAAATAATATATATCTCTCCTTTATTACCCACTATTAACCTTCTTAATAAGATTGAATTGAACTTCGTTTGCTATTTTAACTAGCAGCGTATCAGGATGCTTTTGTTTTGATTCTTGATGTTATGACATATAGTGATTACTTCCGCGGGATATAATTCTTGGATCCATCTTCTTCATCCTCTTCTCAGGTTGTCCAATTGATGATGGTGGACTCGAAAAAAGCTGTGTCTATGTTGATCAAACATAGAGACGTAGTTTTTGCATCTGAAGTTGTCAGTCAGCTATTGTCTTCTAGTGGAAAGTATGATAAAAAGTATTTGCTACACTTGTACCTGCATTCATTGTTTGAGGTTGACATGAATGCTGGAAAAGAATTTCATGACTCACAGGTGATTTTCATGAGCCTAGAGTAGATCATTCTTAGAAAATTTGTTGAGATATTTCCACGATGCTATGCTTACATGGTAATGTTGCTTGATCTTCTGGCAGGTATTTAAACTATGGCTCAGTAGCTTGTAATGATCTTCCCATTTGTTTGAATTAAGATCAATCAGCTTTGGTTGTCATTCATTTATCAATGCTAAACACTTTAAATCTGACCATTTTTTGTACCCCTTTAAATAAACATGCCTTGTTTGTAAGGTACTTGATGCAGTGTGTTGTCAATAACCAAAAAAAAAGACGTGTGGCGATATTCTTTAGTTATGCGTAAAGGTTTAGAAAGTTTGGACTAGTGTTAGTGGAGACTTGTCTCTTATTTAGAGTTTGAAGTTGTATGTGTTGTAAGGAAGTCTCTCGCCAGGATGAACTAATTGTAGTTTTAATTATTCCTCGTATTTGTCATAGTTTACTTTGGTCTATGCGCTATAAGGTTACCATAGGACTTGTATACTTATCCTAAAAACTGACAATCAGTTTTCCACAAACGACTAGACATAAATAGGATGATCATCTTGTTAATGATATGATGTCCATATTGCGTTAGGTTTTTTTGGAGTTAAGGAATTGTTGATCACACTTGTTATCATCCTCTAAAATAAAAGTTTCTCTTCATCTCATATGCCCCACTTAGTAATGTGGCAGCATCAACTTTCCAAAGAGGAAAAAAGGTACAAAATTTGAGAATTTCGTATATTTCGATAGTGAAAAATCTCTCATGCTATCAGATTTTTTTCAGTGGCGCAGCTGTCATGCATCATCACCTGGAAAATTAATCTCCAACAGACTTTCATGGTCTGTGATAGTAATCCTTGCAATAGAATCCTTCCTTTCTCCTTGTCATATTCTCTGCTTTTACCTAGAAAATTATATTTATGATAAATGAGAGACGAGACGGGAAAATCCCGTGTTCTTGGTTGCCATACGATTCTTATTAGGATCTTTAGAATCTTGTTGTATCTCACTACATCTTAGGCTTCAGTAGACAGTACCTTCTTTCTCTGTTCATCTTCCACACTATAGCATGCAGCAATACATTTCGAACTTGGATCTCCTCGAGTGGTTTTTTATTAGTCAAGACCCTTGTCATTTCCTCCAGTGAGTTGCTGCTTGCCGTACATTACAAAATATCTAATGATGGCAGTTCTCGTAATCACAACTGTGGCCGTAACGATGTTCAATTTTATTGGCTGAAAGCTATAGTTGTTTGAACAAGAAACATCGGAGATGATATTTTTATTCGTTTTAATTTTGTTACTGCCTTCATTACACAACTTAGCAGAAAGTAATGATGCCAGACAGAAAACAAGATAGCCATCTTCTATTATTTTTACACTGAAGTCTTACCTCATTTATTTGGAAATTATTTTTAAAATAAGGCTTTTTATTATTTCAATTTGAAGGTAGAGCTTTATGCGGACTATGAACCAAAAATGCTGCTTCCTTTCCTTCATAGCAGCCAGCACTATAAACTAGACAAGGTGTGGATCCAGGTTGCTTCGCCCATTCATTTATAATTGTTTGGAGACTAATTTACAGTGCGTCAACCAGGCATATGAAATCTGTGTCAAAAAGGATCTTCAGAGGGAGCAAGTCTTCATCCTTGGCAGGATGGGGAACACAAGGAAAGCGCTTTCTGTTATCATTAATAAACTGGAGGATATAAAGGAGGCATGCCATCATATTACCTCAACTAATTTATTTTTTTCTGCTCGGGCTAGTTTGATTGGTGGAAACTACTGGGTGGTTAATGGCATGAACGGATTGCATCTATTTGCAGGCAATAGAATTTGTGTCTATGCAGCATGATGATGAACTCTGGGACGTGCTAATCAATCAGTGTCGCCACAAGCCCGAAATGGTACATAATTTTGACGGCTCTAAATGCATTCTGTTGCTAAACAGCCTTTTTTGTCCTCAACTATTTGCTTTAAAACTGGTCAGATAGGAGTACTGTTGGAGCACACTGTTGGGAACCTCGATCCTCTTTATATTGTTCGAATGGTTCCCAATGGATTGCGGATACCCCGGTGAGCTCATCTTCTCAATAAATATAGTAATATTGTTTGAATAATCTTTTATCATTTATAGATTGTTTTATCAATATCTATGGTTGCACGCTGAAACTACCTTCTTAATCTGTAACTTCTGTCCACGGATGGATTTGATTAATGCTTGTAGTACATTTGGATGGACGATCTATGAACACGAGGGGCTAGTGGGTCACAATCTTTTTCAATGTACTCTGAGACCATCGTGACTATTTCAACTTCCTAGATGTTTACATCATTCAATAAATATCAGTTTATCGAAATTATCACGCAGTAGATCATAGAATATCTTTATCGGGGACACTCAGGTTGACTGAACGAGTAATCATCTGATGCCAGCCCTGAAAAATTGTTTTCACGAGGTATAATTCTCTGTGAATCTGAGGCGTATCCAGTTTTTTGTAAGACGGAAACTGCTGGGTATTGTTTCCTTGTACTGTATGGTTTCTTAAATATTCTGCTGACTTTTTAGGTAGATTTGTTTGAATACTTTATCGTATCTTCTAAAATTATGGCCCTGTAGATAATCTACTGGATATAGGCTTTCAAATCTTTAAATTATTTAGATGAGGAATTCTCTTTTTGTCTTCGTCTTCGATTAAAATAGCTGAAGAGGATGTGTAGGAGGATCCCATAGCTCGTAACCATAGCAAACAAAAAGTACACGTTTGAAATCTGTTTTTCCCCTGTTTCTGAAGTCCCCATGACCATGATGGGCTCTTGAGGAAACTGGTATGACGAACTGTTCATATGTAAGCTGAAGGTACTGACCTAATCCTCAGCTTCTTTTACTTATTTTGGCCACTGAGGGATTCTCCAGAAAAAAAAGGTACAAATGTCAAGTTTTCAGTGAAGTTTACGTCAGAAGATTGCCCCTGAATCTCTCGGAAGATTCCACAATTACTGTCTCCTTGATATTTCGACCGTTATTTAGAAGGCACATTAGCTTCTCAGCTGTTTATAAGGAAAACGCCAGGAAATTACGAACAAACCGGTAAAAACCTGGTCCACTCTCCCCATTACCAGACTAGATTAAGTAGACAGGCGAGAACAGCAAACTATTCAGAAAGTAGGAACCTTAAAGAATCAAATCACCCGTATGGTTCGGCGCAATTTTCCCAACTTGTATAGCTTTACAGATCTAAGTGTGTATATCACGCAGGCAATTATCGTATACAGCAGTCATCGGATTGGTCTCCCCTTCTGTGCTTAAGCTGCAAAGATGACTACTTGGCTTCTATGTTTCACACTCTTCTCCATGGTGCAGCCTCAGGGATCGCCTGGTCAAGATCATCACAGACTACCGGACGGAAACTTCCCTTCGACATGGCTGCAACGACATTCTGAAGGTACATCTGATTCGGCTCGTACCACCCACACCTCACAGATTAAAATTCTTCTCCGGCATCTGTGGTCTTGAGATCTCCCATGGTTGCTGGTAGGCCGACTGCGTCAACCTCCTGGTAAAGTACTACAAGGAGGCCAGGCACGCGGTCTACTTAGGAAGCATGGAGGAGGAAGAGCTCGAGAAGAGGGGTCAGAGAGCTGGCTCTCAGACGACGGAGAGAGCGGCGGCGGCCAGAAATACGGAGACCAAGTCCAGAACCAAGGGCGGCGGCCGGTGTTGCCTCTGCTTCGACCCCTTCTCCATTCAAGACGTCCCCATCGTCGTCTTCTTCTGCTGCCACGCCTACCACGTCCCGTGCCTCACGGGCAGCACGGACGCTGGCCCTCCCCTCGGCCGCAGCGGGAGCCGCGGACCGGATGAGGACGACGGCGCCCGAGAAGGCGGATCGCGCCTGCGCTGCGTCTTGTGCACGACAGCCGCTGGCTGAGCTGCCTGCGCCTCCTCCGGCACCGGCGAGCTGTCTACGGTCTCCCCACGTTGTCCTTCGACGACATCAAGAATGTGATGGAGTGAGTGTGTGCCCAAGCGTTGGGGGTGGGGCTCTGCTTCGGGCGCTCGGGTCTCCATGAAAGCCGCCGTGGAAGGTCTCTCACCTCCGGTGTTTCCTCAACTGTGTGGTCCCTGTGGCCAAATTGCGCGTCAAATGTATTATCATTCAGTGGACAAATCTGAAAGAAAATCGTAGCGATGATGTTTCCGGGGGATGTTGATGTATATTTCCATAAATTTCATTTTAATAAAATTATACGTCTTTTATACTGCTAGGAATTTCTTGAGTGATTTTCTTCTGGGCAGACCAGATTCACAGTCATCCTCTCTCTCTCTCTCTCTCTCTCTCTCTCTCTCTTTGGGTTCCTTTTTGACAGCCTGATAGTAAGTTAAGGGAGGCTTAAAGCTTAAGATACTTTTACTGGGTTGGGGATGCAGAGCGTGGGCTTACAAACAACACCAAGGAGGAAGGTTTCATTACCAGCTTTTTACAGCAATCTTCATCTTGGCTAGGGACCGACCTTCGGATCAGGGCATGAGATTATTCCCCATCTTCGTCGGACGTCCTCAAGATTCTCATGGAAGTGCTTCTCATAGTAAATGCACATCAAGTCTGAGCACCTCAAACCTGCACGGAGAGCCCAAGGGAAGTAGTGCTGAAAAAAGAGAGCCCTCTGCTTCTCACTGAACCTTACTGAGCCGCCGATGACCGACATCACGCACATGGGCAGGAGCATCTGCTCAAACTCCACAACCTTCAGGGCTGATTCGCCGATCAGATTCGTCGGAAGACCGAATAAGACGTGCCAAAAGTCGTGCACTTCACGGGCACGCGTCGCCACATACGCCAGTTCTTCGGATTCCATGAAACGGACGGGTGGGCGGTCGTCAGGGGAGAAGTTCCTCGACCCCATGAATCTTGCGTACGCCGCGCCGAATGTATCCTCGGGCAGATCCCACGCATACGAAACTTTCTCCGATATGACGCGGGGTTGTTCCAAAAGAACCTCCTGAAAGATGAAATGAGACATGTTCATACCCACCGTGATCACATTAATGACAAGCAGGCTTGCAGATCTGAACTTTGTGGAGAAAGTAAGCAGATGCCAGAGAAAGGAAAGTGGTATCAATCAGTAGCTTGGTTTTTTAGTTTTCATAAAACTCGTTTGATAGTTAACTCTGCAGAAACCTGCAGAGAGGATACGCCCAGAATCTGTTAGCAAGTTCCCGACCACCACTGTGAGCATTTCCGGACTATCATGCCATGCCATTTCATAGTTTCTGCAGTGATGCAACCACCACGATTTATAAATCTATAATGATATGGTTCTTGGCTTCCAATCGTGATGTATGTCACATCCTTGAGATCCCAGAAAAAAGGATGAACCAAGATGCTAGATGGATAAACTCAACTAGAACATCTAGCTTCCATGGCATAATAATAGGAAAGAGAAGAAATTGGACGTACCCTTCCTTCCGCGTTCTTTCTCATGCGTTCCAGCACTCTCTCAAAAGCCGGCCTGCCAGTTGTTTCCCCAAGAGCGGCTATTAAATCTGCTCTTCTGGGGTCCATGAGTGCACCCAAGGCTGAGCCAGCGGCGACAGCTGCCTGTTGCCATCCCTTCAGGTGGATACGTGGTCCTCTTTGCATTTTTCTCTTCTTTATATGAACCTGAATGAGAAAAGGAGATCAGAACTCTAATCGGCCAAACTTGATGGAGCTCAGGTCCGTCCATTAAGCCTTTATATTTTTGCACGATGAGAGCAAATGGTCGCAAGAACATAGAAAAAAGTCAAAGAATGTACGTTCTGATGGACCTGGTAAGTACCGAACAGTCTCAAGTCAGCTTCAGGGGATCTTTCATCAAAGATAGAGGACTGTTTGGCCATGCATTCCACTCTGTTCGAATAGACTGGGCAGAGTGCATCCGCCGTAAAGAAACTTTATAATCATGAAAATAAAATGGAAGCAGAGCAAAGTAGAACACAGCGCATAGCATACGACTTTTTTCCCAGATATGTACAAAGCGTATGCTTGTATTCCTCTGAGAACAATTATATTCTGCTTCCTACTCATGTTTCCCACATCCTTATGCCGCATTTCCCCGAGTTCTAGTTCAAAGTAGTCTTGAATAACCAGTTCTCTCTCTCATTCACATGCTCTATGTTGATCTCACAGCAATTTACCACTGCATAATATTTAAAAGCAATCTAGAAATTCATTGCCAACCATTGTTCTGAAAATTGCCAGAAAAACTGCAAAGGGTGGTGGGAGAATAGATGTGTACCTAAAATTGCCAGAGAATATTCAAAGAGAGACAGTGAGGGAACGGTTGGATGATTCGTGATGTGTAACGAGAAAGATTGCACATCCGCACTCTTAATGGGGAAGTTGATTAGATGAGTTTCACTGGATGAATGAAAGTACGAGATGGTGTAGAAACACATGTTCGTGATGATGTTGAGAGGAGGACAAACAGGCGCAGGAACGCCACGTGATGTTGCATTGGATTCGTAAGAGGTCAATCTAGTCCCAAGGGGGCTAAAAGTATTCTATGCTAACCACTGCTCGTTCTAATCTATTTGGCGGATTGTTCCACTGGAAGCAATACGAGGCGCTTTTCTTCTTTCTGGTCGGGGAATCATAGCCATAGGAATTTGGAACGCTAAGAATGACGAGGCAAGAACTAGATATAGCAATTTCCTGTTTATTTTTTCTTCAGGTAGGCTACAGATTGATCTCGGAATTCCGATTTTGTAATGGGTTTAATCAGATGAGGCGCGGTACAAACAAGAGAGAATACCAGTTGAGCTCGCGTGCGCGCTTCAAAAACTCGATCGACCGAAAGGGTGCTTATCAGCGGACAGAGGGCTTTGGCAGAAAGGTACCCGTTCACGATGGAGTGCGGCACAGGATCCGTCGCAGGCAACAAATGAGATGTGCCGGTCCAGGCCGCTGGCGGGTGCCCACTGATGATTCCGGGCAGGGGACGAACAACGTCGTGATCTAGAACAGCCCGCTAGAACCAGGACCTCCACGACTCGACGTCCGGCAAACGTAGCGGTGAGCCGTAGGCAGCCCTCGTCGGCGGAGCAGTCGCCGCCAACAGGGCCAACGGCGGTTCTGGGGCTCAGAGCAGAAACGCGGGACGGTGATGGAGAGAGAGAGAGAGAGAGAGAGGGTAACGCAAAATGACGTTTACTTATTCTCTCTCCTCCAGCTCTTTGAAACGGATCACGGATCCAATGTGCCTTAGTTGTCATACAAAATACTCGTGATCCGTCCAAATCTTGCTGTTTGCGAGAGTATTAGGAGATTATCTATCGAGAGATTTAGATACCTATCGTCGGATGTATCCTAATCTGGTGGTCTATGGTCATTTGAAGTCGCAAAGGAGGAGGGCTACGACCACTTCGGGCGATGATATGCTGGGATGATGCTTTTGACTCGATTACAGAATTGTTCCATGCCGCGATCGGACGTCTTATTTGGGCTAATTTCTCTTCTCTCTCCATAAAAATTTGCTTTGGAAGCTATAAAATAAGATGTTATTTGGAACGGATAAAAAAAAATAGCACACCCGTCGATAGATGAGTTTTGGGTGGCTTTTTTTCTCCACCGGTTCTTCAACAAATTGAAAATAAAACGAGCTGAGATTAATTTTATATCTTTTCAAATAAGTATTTTGAACAGATTGAGAGGGTGAATGATCATTTAATCAAAGATTGTATTTTTATATATTTCAATAATTCGTAGACACCTCTTATTTTCTTTGATGGGTGTGTAATCTAAAGTCGCAGAGTGTGATTTCATCTCCACTCAATGAGGGGGTGGGGGAGAGTTATCTCGGTAGAGATGAAGGCTGGAGTGTGCGGTCACCCGAGCTGCTGCTCCTCCTCCGCGTCGAAACCTCTTTCTCTCCCTCCGTTCCTTCGTCGGAGGCAGCCACCGCCGACTAGCAGGAGGAGATGGCCGCTCCTCGTCGTGTCCCAGGGGGAGAAGATTGAGATCAGGGTCTGCGTTAACAGGAGCTGCAACCGGATGGGATCGAGGGAAATCCTGGGGACGATCTCAGATATCTCCCCGCCGGAGGTCACCGTGAAATCCTGCGGTTGCCTCGGGCGGTGTGGCGCGGGGCCCAACCTGGTGGTGCTGCCGAGCGGCACGATGGTGGGGCACTGCGGAACCACCGCAAGAGCCGCCGAGGTCCTGGCGCAGATCTGCGGTGGCAAGAGAGGAGGATCAGAAGGGGGTTTTGATCCCTGGAAGAATATGGAAGCCTTGACTCTGAGGAAGAAGGCCGAGGCTGAGTTGCTCGAGAGAGGAAACCCGGCCGATGCAGAGGCTCTTCTGTCACAGGTGATGATTGTAGAGTTTACTTTCACTGCGATCTTCCTGTTTGTGCCATTTCCAATGTGACATAAAGCATTCCCAATCTTCACACGCGCTGAATGGCTCATAGGCTTTTTGTTTACTCTCGATAAAGCCTCCCAAGTGTCATGTGTAATTTATTATGCCCTTTTAGGGGACTAACGACGAGCCATGACACTGCGTCACAATGGTTCTAATGGCTTCTCCTTCAACCTTGTGGGTGCAGGCTGTTGATCTCAAGCCTTCTGGGGGCCTTCATCTTATTTACAAAAGCAGGTCCTGTAATACTTGAAAACATAAGAGCAGTAAGCTTTTCAACGTGTCTTCACATCACTCATAGAACAAATCCTGCAATATCCGAAATATTTGGTCGTAAGCTTTTAATTACATTCCTTTTTATCCTAGCTAGCCTCTTGCCAAAACCTTAGATATTGATTTAATTTCGTTTAATTAGCATATACTCCTGATCTTAAAACCCAACGACGCACACCACCTCGTACCTTTTTCTGTTTTTCTGTCTATTAATAGCATTTTAATTTCCTGCTGGCAGATCTGTTGCGAGGTTGACCCAGGGAAACATTGGGGGTGCCCTTGAGGACACTAATGAAGCGTTGAAAATAGATCCCACGTTCGCCCAAGTATGTTGGCACTTGGAATTGAGTTCCGAATGTTTTCTGTTGGTCTTTTCAGTAGCATGCTTCACCTTTGTCAATCTTCTTCGCAATTGATGCCGTATTTTAGTATTCCCGGCCTCAAATTTATCCTTTCGAGCTTTTTATCTCTTTATTTCCACGGATATTCATTGTTTATGCATATCAGAAACATCTCATGTTTTATTTTTGGGTATCCCGTGTTTTCTTTACTAGCTTTTGCAGATGAGGAATTGAAACTCTTGCCCTGCTTAATGCCGTCTTAAGTTGTAATAAAACCCCTTGACGTTTGAATATCATGCTTGAATTAGTTATCTCTGTGTGGTTTAACTTATGATTTCTTCTCCAGTCGATTAGTGCAAAAGAAAGCTCTTTTTGGCTGGCTACCATGGGTTTTCTAATCTGCCTTTATGTGGTCCTTGATTCTCAATTACCACTTTGTTGGGCGAAAATCTTTTCACCTCTTTCACTGCCACCTTTCTAGTCGTGCTATGAACGAGTAAGTTCAAATTAACATCTCATTCGAGATTCTGCCATTTGACGCAGAGTCACAGTTTCGCTCTTCATTATCGTAGTGTCGTTGATGAGTTTATCTTCTCGGGGAACCTGGAAATTACTGTAGCATACTTTTATCTTGTCCATGGAAGAGAAAATAGTTTATCAATGGTATGGGTGATAGCCATTTTTTTAATCCATGCATTAATTGTATGGAGGTTTTCCTCTGAAAAGGCAGAACTTATCTCTCCTCTCTCTCTCTCTCGCTCGTTCTCTCTCTCTTCTCATTTACAGCACCAAACACCCACGCTTCAAACATGTGCCTTGGAACGTTTGTGGGTATTTCAGTATTTCCTTCACGACAATTGAGGTTCCCCACCTTGATTAGAAAGCTCCCCTTGCCCTTCAACCTTGCTGCACTATACTTTTTCATTAAACTGTGAATCCATTTGAAGATCAGAGGCTCGAAGGAGTAAACCGCCCCCCCAAAAGGCAAAGGATGCGCCAACTGCGGTTATCCCTCATAAATGTTTTCGTTTTTTTTTTTTTTTTTTTGGTTTTTTGTTGAGGAGTCGATTATTTTGTAAGCTTTTGAGATATGGTTTGCATATTAATGTTCATAGATGCATTCCTCGTGACAAATAGCCTCAACGACGTTGTAGGCTTACATCTGCCAAGGTGATGCTTTCGTGGCAATGGGAGAGTGGACAAAGGCTGAAAACGCATACTCAGAAGCTTTGCTGATTGATCCATCTATTCGCCGTTCCAAATCATTCAAGGTTTTAAGCGTTTTTGTTTTTCAAAAATTAATACTGAGCTTAAAGTATGTCTAGATACTGTTCCTATGCAAGAGTCTGAACTGGCCGCAATTCTCCAGGAACGGGTCACAAAGTTGCAAGAAAAGATCGCAGCTGTACATAATTCGAACTAGCTTGTGTTGGCATTCAGTGGATACAGAAAACTCGGGGGACACCAGGAATGGGTTGGAACATTCCGAGGATCTCAGGTCCTGATCCTCCCTTCTCTATCTTGAAACTAGTACTCGTCGTGTATTTCGACTTCTTCTTGTGTTGGTGATTACTAATTTGACATATTTATCTTCTCCCCCGTCTCAAATTCAACCATTTCTCTAATATATTTCAATGTCGGGAAATTTATCATTCTCAGGTCCCGTGTTGACTTTATATGGGCTTTGTCTATTATGTATAGCGAGTAGACCTACCTTCAGTGCGAGCCTGAAGATAGGAACACCGAAGGTATCTTTCTCCATCGTTTCTTTCCCTGCTTAGTCAAAACGAATTACAGCTCTGGGTTATGACGCCATCTCCTATCGACCCCCGCTGACGCAGATCATAACTTCTGTTCTTTTTGTGCTCAGGGCTGTTTGGTGTCTTCGTGTTTAAGGCTAGTCAAGAACATCTATCTGGGCAACCCGCAGGATCACTCTATTTTAGCTGTTTTTGTTCTCTCACTAGCTGTGCTGTTGTTGCCGCTTCGTCGGCCTGCAGTAGTGTCTCCCGGTGTAATGAATTATTTATCCCATAGAAAGCGCAATTTGTGAGAGTTCCAAGTGACGAATGACGGCCAAACGGTGCAACCCACCAAGATAGCCGCGGAGAGCTCTCCAAACTGTGTCGAAAAGACCCCCTCCCTTTCCATCCGAGCTTCGTTCTTTCAAAGCTCATCGTCTTTGGCGACGAGGGTCCTGGTGCCGGCGGCGGCGTCCGGGCGGGGCCGCTTCTCAGTCCTGCTCCGCCATGTGGTGTCCTCTCGGCGCGGCCTCGCAGCGGCGCCGTTGGCTACTCCTTTCACGCTTGCCGTCCGGCAGAAAGCGGTGAGGAAGACGGGGTACACGCGGGACCACGCCGACGCAGGCAACACGGAATTCCAGCCGCCGTGGAATTCAATAACGGGTTGTAGTTGCCTGCCCGCCACGGCGGCAGCCCGTGCCGTGGGGGATGAAGTGGTTCTACTTGCGAGCAGAATACTTTGCCGTCACGCATTGCTTCTACCATCTGCATGAGCTGTGCCCACTTGCTATAAACAGTACAGTAGTGTTCGGCCTTTAGACTTTTCCCCCTTCATTCTCTCTCTCTCTCTCCCTGTCTCGATGGACGGGAGGAGAGAACAAGAACGAGGTAAGAAGCTCCAGTGTTCCTATTTCTTGTGGTTGACCAGTCCCCATCGGGGTAATCTCAGTCCACCCAGGACGCCGTCGAAAGCTTGGGGACGAAGCGAAACAAACGCGCAGGCTGCAGGTGTTGTCGACCACGTCATCCCTCTACGTGTTTCCGGGGGGACCCATAAGTCAACGAAACAGAAATGTCCTGGCTTTGTCAAAACGCCGGTCAAAGACACATCTTCCTTGAATCCGGAAGCGCAATTCGGGTTTGATCGACGAGGGCCACGTTTGTATCTTCAACGCCGACTTCTAATCCAGAAAAATAAAAGGACCGGCACGTGTGAAGAGTGCTGTTATCTCTTGCGGCCTACACAAGTGTCTTTGACAGCGGATGAGAAGAAAGTGCATTTGCTGACCTGGATACGACCAAGCATCTCGGCAACCTGGCCGCGATTTCCGGGTCCCGCTGGTCGGTATAAGAATGGAGAGCTGTTTAGCAACGCAGCAACGCAGCAACGCCTCTTTCTCCCTCTCTATTTTTCTGTGACTCCTTCTTGTCCTTGTCTGAGAGAGGAACAGAGAGGAACAGAGAGGAGAAAGAGGTTTTGGAGATGTTTCTGGTCGCACCCCGCAGAGTTGATTCTGCGCATGAGAAGAAACCATCGGTATCCGATTCGGGGGTCCTCTTCAGTACCTTCGAATGGTCCCTCGTCGTTCGTTTCAAGTCCTTGGTTCCGGCTGGATGTGAGGCCCGCCCTGGCACCTCCCTCGCCTATCTGTCTCGCGCCGTCGGGGTTCTCTCCTCCATCCACGTCTTCGCCGGCGCCTTCATCGATGATCCGGCCGTCTGCGGGTTCGAAGAGGCCGCCCTAGCCGCGTACATCAACGGGAGCGTCAAGATCTTGGAGGTCTGCAACGCGGCCTCCGCGGAGGTCGAACGGCTCCGCCGGACGCGGCTTCACCTTCTGCTTGCCATCCGAGTACTCTCCACCGGTAAACCAACGCGGGATAAAATCCGCAAGGCCAGGGAATCGATCCGAGAATGGGATGAGCGTTCGCCTAGAGCGTGTACAAGCATCGATCTGCTGGTTCGGGAGCCGGAAGATGCGGATGCGCCACCGTGGGGAAGAATGACAGCCCTGAAGAGAACAATCTGCGCAGTGGAGGCCGCATCCGCTTTCGTCGGCGGGGCACTGGTGGCCTTCGTGGGAGGGAAACCAGGAGGTCTGACCGTGGGTCTGAAGTTCGCGCGCGAATTCCCCTGGGCCGACAGTTTCAACGAGGCCTGTGGATCCCTCTCCGGCGAGACCTTCCGGTCGCCTCCCCGCGAGGTGGAGGCCGCGACGGCTTCTGCGCGGGGTCTGGCGGAGATCATCGACAACCTCCCGGGTAACGACGGAGAGAAGACGGAGGGGTGGCGCACCGCCATGAAAGACCTGGAGAACGCCGCCGCAGAGTTAACGGTCGGATTGGACCGTTTGGGCAACGCCGTTAACGCGCTATTCAATGTGACCCTGAACACGCGAAACAACGCGTTGTTAATTTACCGCGCAGGCGGCGCGAATAAGCGTAAATCACGAAGAATATACGATATTAATTATTAATTTATACTCATTGTAGCCACCAGAAAATAAAACGTGACCCCACGAGGTTCCCCAACAACGCCGCATCAATAAATTCTTCTCTTCACCAGATCCACTATCTCCGTTTTACCCGACATAAGCTCCAGTTATATTCGGCTCCGGCGTCATTCATTCATTCACAGCTCACGTCCAAAAACTCGGCGAATAGTAGTAATTAGAACAGTCAAAGTGTGTTTTCACGACTTGTGAATCTTAACGTGGGAGCCACACAGCACCCAATCAAGGCCCCTCAAACGGCTCCACCACTGTCCACCACCTGTCTTACGGCTCTGCGACCTCCGCTTCGCCGACGCCGCCGCCTCCTCTCGCAGCCTTTTGTTCTCCGCCTTGACCCGCTCCAGCTCCATGCAGACGCCCCTGACCAGCTCCGCCTTCTCGTCCTCCCGCCGGGCCATCACCTCGTAACACTCCCTGTTGCGCTTCTCAAGGGTGTAGATCTGCGCCTGCAACTCCTGGATCTTGCGCCCTAATATGCAGACCCGGTGGTCCTCCCTGAGCTTCACCACGCACCTGGCCAGCTCCTCCGCCGTCCGCCGCAAGTACCCGACTTCCGCCGAGAGCCCTTCGTTCTCCTCTTCCACCGCCGCCGCGCGCGTCCCCAACCTCGCGTTCTCCGTCAGTAGCACCATCCTCTCCGATTCCAGTACCTCCAGCAGGCTGCTCTGCAACTCGATCTTGCGGGTCGACTCGGACTGGTACTTGTCGAGCTGGGAAATCTCGTGCTGGAGGATCTCGTTCTCCACGGACCGCGCCACCAGCTCCGCCACCAGCTCGTCGACGCCGTAAGATGGGGGGAGCCGCTCCAAGGGAGGGGGAGGTGGGCATTGGAAGGAGAGGGAGCTCTCGGCGTCGGAGTCCAGTGGGTCGGGATCGGGCTCGGGGGAGTCGGCATCGTCGAGGTCGGAGTGAAGGGTGGAGGAGACCTGGGAGAGGGATCGGCGGTGGGATTGATGTGGCTTCAAGAACGTCTGCGTGTAGCGGTCTGCCAGAGAGATGTAGCGATGGTAAAGGTCGTGGAGGAGGGAGAGGAGCTGGGGGCGTTTCCGGTAGTAGTTCTCCGCACGTTCCGCGAAGGAGTCCGGTGCGTCCCCCGGCTGGATACCGACGGCGATGGACTGGTACTTCTCCTCGAGCTCTGCAACACAGCGTCAGCAAAAAAATCCCTAGTCTTAACCATGGCAGCAAAAACCAGTAGTTTTCCGAAAGACGCTGTAAATGTTCGAGAATAGTGTGTTCTGTCCTCTCTCTAGATCACGAGACACGCGTGGATCCAAGAAACTCAGAGCTTGGGAACGTATGATGGCCGGAACAATGGTGCCCCCAGGCATCTCCCGTGAAAAATAAATGTCACCAATTGCTCCGGAGCAGAAGGGCAGAAGAATAAATGGTAATAACGCGAGATTAATGACATCCGCTTAGCTACTGTGCTTCTTCGTATCCCACAAGCTGTCAACGCGAGGTTGCAGAGCTTTCCCCCTCCACACTCTCAGATGGTCTAGGCTGCTTTGAGTGATTTTCAATAAAAGCTGCCGCGGACCAGCCTACCGCAGGTCTCCTCGCCATTCAGCTAGGCCCTCCCGAGTTCTTCGACGGGGCTCCCAGTGGGGGAACTGGAACAGTGACCGTGGAAACGAGAGGACGAATCTACCCCGTGCCCTATTTTATTCGAAATTTCAAAATTTAAAACCCAAGAGGACGAATGATGAGTAAGAAAGGTTACAGAAGGTAGAAGAAGACAGAGTTGGGTATGGAAAGCTTTCCAAATGGTGTTCTGGCTAAAGATGCGGGCGGTCTGACGGAGCTAAAGGCGACCCGGAGGGGTAAAAAGGTATCACAGAGGGAGGCACCGACGCAGTATGGGTTCAAACGAAAAGGTTGACACGTCAAATCAGCCGTCCAATTGAGTTGGCGGATGTGGATTGACCTAGCTGGCGGTCGGAAGACCGTGTGATCCTGAGTCTATCAGGATTGGAAAGGAAGCACTGTAAAGGATTGGAGGAAGGAGAGTAAAGGAAACCAGGCCCATCTATCTAATCGAAATAACCCGTGAAGGAAGAGGTTTGCGTGAAGGGAGGGTGCCACACCTGCAAGTGCTGCCAGTAGCCAGGAGGGTTTTGGGTTGGCGGTGCTGCTGCTGCGACAGAGCGAGTGACAAGACGCAGCCGCTGTCGTTGTCTTTGTCATTGTCGCCGTCCCCATCCCCGTCCCCGCCGCCGTCGTCATGCTTCAGCGGGTCTGTTCGCCCTGCGATGCCGGCCGCGCAACTGTTACACGAAATGGTTAGGATTCCCTCCAGAGGCTCTGCCCCGCTGACAAACTCTGTCGACCGAAGCAGACATTAAATGAGACTAAAGAAAGCGCGAAGAATTTGACCACTGAAGAAGGAAGAAGAGGTAATAATTTTCAAATCCACGATAAATCTGTGAATATCTAACGGCAGTGCGGGAAACATTATCGCATTTAGTGTTCGCGCCGAGACAACAAGTTATCTCGAAGACATCTTGGCGCCGACGACAAAAAAGGGCGATTTATTTTCTGATTAGGAAGCACTGGAGTGTTTAAAAATAGATTTAACCACAAAAATATCGTCCGAGAACATCATCAGCAAGAAAAATGAAGATAGTCGGTAGGAATTTAATTCCACCTCCGCGTTCACAGATGCTCTACAGTAAGCGGAAAAATCAAAGAAAAAAAAGCTGGGAGGATAAACTATACGCGGAATCCTCGAGAAAGGTGTGAAAGGGAGGCCCTCCGCATCCAGCAGTTTGAATCCCAGCCAAAATCTCGGAGCTGTGCAATGAACTAGTGGTAAAGTTTTTAGAAATCAACGTGGCGAACGAAAGAAGTGTGAGTAATAAGCCGTCAGAGATTCAGCTCCTACGTAGAGTGATTCAGATTATGAACAATGGATCTGTCCTAAAATATTGAAATGAAAACGAGTTTGCAATGAAAACTGTGTCGGAGAGATCTATACACTTCCGTGTCATCGTCCCGAGAATTTCACTCCTGTGCACCGACAACAAATAACTGATTTGTTCTCTGCATTTCACAAAGGCAAGCCTACCACTGTCGTTTGCAGAAAAGTTGACGAGCTCTACTTCGTGAAATCGCGAAATCCGAACAACGTCATTCACTAAATAAAGGACTGCAAAATCCTGTAATTACTCCAACGCATCCCTCTAAAAGAATGGAACGGACAACTATCAAATGACGGTCTACAAACGAAAAATCCTAATCAGAAGAAGAAACAAAAAACCGTACACCAAAAATGATGGATACTCACAGGTAGCTGGAAGAACCCTTCGCTACAGAAGCGCCACCCCCTCAGTGGCAGTGGAACGAGCATGAAAATGATCCGCCAGGAAGAAGAGACTTCTGCCGTTCACGACAGGGACCAGCAACCCCGTGACGAAGACCGGTAGCGCCGGAGAAACCACCCACTGGAAGTGCGAGGAAGGGAAGTGGAGTATACAAAGATTGGGAGAGGGGGCTTGGAGATGCTAATTAGGTGCCACAGCGAGGCCGTCGTTTTCTTCGAGGTCGCGTTGCGACCTACCGCTGAATCCTCCCACCACTGCTGCCTTGTCTCTATATGCCTGTTGGTGCAGCTGAAAGCCCAGCATCCGGCTCTTATTTACGGGATCAACCAGGAAATCCCCGCGACCAAAAAAGATCGGGAACAAGTTATTAATTTATTCGGAAACTAATTGCAGATTCTTAGACGATCGACTTTTCTCGATCTTCGGGAAATGGGCCAAAATAGAAAAGCCCAATAAAATATATCGGCCCGTATTGGCTACCAGTAGTCTCTGCAAGTGCAGGCTCCCTCTGAGAAATGGTGGAAGCGATTGCCGTCCCGGAGGACGATCTCTCTTCCGGCGATCTTCGAGATGAGTTTCATGGAAGAGTGGCAGTCGAGACAAACTCGGAGGTTCTTCACGATCCTAATGGCGGCACCGTCGGGGGTGCTGATGAGCCCGAAGGCGAGGGCTATCTTCTCGCTGTGGACATACAGCGCCTGCTTCTTGTCTTCCTCCTCCACGTCACAGACGACAGAACCCACGTCGAGGGAATGACCGTGTTGCTCCAGCAGCCTGGCTAATTCGGCCAGCTTCGCGTAGATCTCGTCGCTACGAGGATGGGATTGGTCTCCGGCGAAGAACTGGTGAACGGTGCCGTTGATCTCTATCCAGCTTTTTCCCGCGATTTTCTTCGTCCGTGAGGTCCCCAGCCTTTGGGTGATCCTTCTCACACCGTTCCAGTCCCTGGTCCTGGCGCAGGCGCTGGAGAGAAAGACGAGGCTTCCCGAATGTTGAGGGTCCAGCTCTAGGATCCGGCTGGCGGCGTACTTTCCGAGCTCGAGCTCACCGTGTATCCTGCAGGCACCGAGTAGAGCTCCCCAGACGACAACATCGGGGTCGAGGGGCATCTCTTCGATGAATCGGAAGGCATCTTCGACGCGTCCTGCTCTGCCGAGCAGATCAATCATACAAGTGTAATGCTGGAGCCTGGGGACGACGGAGTATGCTCGCTGCATGGACTCGAAATGCCGGCGGCCCTCGTCCACCAATCCGCCATGGCAACAGGCGCAGAGAACTCCGACGAGGGTGATATCATTCGGCCGAATGCCGTCTTCCCTCATTTTATCGAAGATCCGCAGAGCCTCGGCGCATCTCCCATTCATCGCCAACCCCATGATCATTGAACTGAAAGCGACGACATTCTTCTTGGGCATCCTTCTGAATACCTCGGCGGCCTCGTTGACCACGCCGCACTTCGAGTACATGTCGATGAGGGCGGTCCCCGTGAACAAGTCCAGACCGGACCCACCGCGATCCAGGTGCTGGTGAATCTTCCGGCCGAGCCCCAGCGCCCCTAGATTGGCGCAAGCGGAGAGAATGCTCACGGCGGCCATGTCGTTCAGCTGGACTCCGGCAGAAGTCATGGCGCCGAACATCGCCAACGTCTCGTCGAAGTAGCCGTTCTGCGCGTACCCAGTGATCATGCACGTCCACGACGCGTCGTTCCTGTTGGGTATATCTTCGAACAGCTTTCTGGCCCCCGCGACGTCCCCGTTTTTGGCCGAGCCCGAGATCATTGAGTTCCAGGATACGACGTTCCGGACGGGCATTTGATCAAACAGCCGCCGGGCCATCTCGACGTCTCCGCACTTGGCATAGGAATCGAGCAGGGTGGTCCCTACATATACGTCGGCGTGGGCGCCGAACTTGGCGATGTGAGCGTGGACTTGCGGGACCAAGTCCGGCGAGCCCCCGCATGATCGGAGAAGCGGGGAGAAGGTGAAGCAGTCGGGCCGCCGAGTCGCGTCCCGGCAGGGGAAGTCTCTGAGTTGGGCGCGGTAGATGGCGACGGCGCGGAGCTTCAGGGCGCCCTCCGTGCCAGCGAGCGCTTCGAGCAAGGCGTTGAGGGGGTGCACGGTGGGGCGATGGGTCCGAGCGAAGGCGGAGAGAGCGTGGCCGACGTCGCTGAGGCGGCGGCAGAGAGAGATGAGTTGGGTGATGAGGAACTGGTCCTGGTGGAGGCCCTGCACGTAAAGCTGAGCATGGATCTGGCGGAGATGGCGCGCGACGGAGGAGAGCCGGAGGAGCCTGTAGGCAACAGCTTGTGGGAGACTCGGCGGTTCTCTTCGCAAGTTCATGTGGAGTGAGGCCGACCATCTGATGTCAACCACTCACTCTCACTTACAGATTCACGGAGCTAGAGAGAGAGAGAGAGAGAGAGAGAGAGAGAGACGACATATGTTTTTACATATAAAAATGTAGGAGCGGGCGGCTATCTGTGCCTCGCAATTCAGCCCGGAGCCCGCATCTGAACTCCGGAGGTTGTTCTCTCGCAGAAGGAATCAGATCCTGGGGTCCTCGCCGGAGGGGAAGAGGCCAGAGGGAGGAGAGAGGGAAGGAGGAGGGGGAGATGGATTCTGGCGCGTCCACCCCCCCTTTGGCTCCCCACGCCGTGGTATCCGAGGGGAAAAAGACGGCGTTGGGGTGGATAGAATGGGCTCGGGGATGGTGCAGCATATTCGGCGAGTTTCTCTTCCAACGGATCATGGCCAGCCACCTCGAGAACCCGCTGCCCCTTCCACCTCTGAACGGAATCACATGCATAGTCACCGGCTGCACCAGCGGAATCGGCCTCCAGATTGCCAGGTAATCCATCACGCGAATATCTCGATGTCTCCATCTCTGTCCGTCGCGGGCTTTCCAGGAGCTCTTGGGATGTTCCTTAGAGAAGCTCGTCCTTCCGGAGGACTTCGGTGCCCCTCGTGACCCCGATCGCACGCCCGCCTTCCCATCTAAGCTCGTCCTGATCTTCTCTTCACTGATTCACCGGTCGACTGTTTCAGCTGGTGTTCTTCTTTCAAGAAGAAGAAAGTCGTTCGGTTCATTACTTCGACTCTTGTCTTACTGAGTCTGTTAAACGTTCGATATCTACTGATCGTTCGAATAATTACTGCGACTGTAATAATTTTCAGTTGCAGTAATTTTAATGCTGACGAATTATTGAAACTATTGGACTGTATCTCAGTTAGATGTACATGTTTCTTCGCTGTCCTAGGGAAGTTTCTGTCGCAGTTTGTTTCTGCCAATTCACAGAACTGCAAGCACGACGTTCCGAATGAGCAAATCTATACACGCTTTTTGGTTCACCCACCAAAAATCGCTCGTGATTAGATGGCTAAATTATCTGCAGGATTGTTTAATCCGCGTGAATATCCTTCCACAAGAAATAATGAAATTTCCTTGTGAAAAACTCTTTTATTATCGGGAATGAAAGTGTTGACATTATCTTTATAAAGTTCATAGCATTTCTTAAAGAACCGAAACTGATCTCTATAGTATTTATTGATCGACCTACCGAACAGGCAACTGGCCAATTCAGGAGCACATGTCATCATGGCTGTAAGGAATACAACAGTGGCTAATCAATTGATCCAGCAGTGGCAAATTGAAGATTCTGAGAACGGGTTACCTCTTGATGTTGAGGTATGCTCTTCAAGCCTTATGCACAATATGCTGGTTGTTTTGATGCTTGGTTCTATAATGGCTACTTTGTAGACGACTTTGGGTTGCTCCTATTATTCTACACCGTACCTTTCTTCAATCAATCTCCTTCAGGAAAATATTTCCGCTGTATGATAACTACTCGAATTCTGACTATTTTCAAGGTGATGGAGATTGACCTTCTGTCTCTCAAGTCAGTCGTGAGGTTCACCAAAGCATGGAATGCTTGTCTTGGACCATTACATGTTTTAATCAACAATGCTGGAATTTTCTCAATGGGAGGTCAGCGTTACCATGACCCTCTTCTGTTCTCAAGTTGGTTTAGTTATAAATCAGATCTGGTAGACGGTCTTTCCTGTAGTGAGATATGTTGTTGCAAACTTTTGGTCAAACTGTTCTCCAGTGTTTGAGGCTTCCATATTTGGTATGCTGTGATGATAAAAGTATTTGGATATAAATAATGTTTTTTGCCTAAACCATGCACGATCATAAATGGTGGATATGGGTCCTACAATCTTCTGGTCTGATCATGAATAAAAATGCTGTTCAATTCATGCGAAAACACAAATCTAACCGATTTTTATCTCCAGAATTTTCATGTCACGGTAAATCTTATAACTTTTCAGATCGATAAATATTAAAACAGATATTGATCCATGGTTTCCATATTCCGTAGTCTTAATTTTGGTCGGTCAGTCGTGTTGAGATCGTTCATAGCCTCTACAAAACAGAGGTAGCGACAAGTATTTTGGATATAAATAATTTTATCGTCTAAACCATGCACGATCAGAATAGCCCTATATTTCGTCGATCCTGGTGGATATGGGTCCTCCAATCTTCCGGTATGATCATGCAGAAAAGAGCCGTTCAGTTCATGCGAAAACATAAATCCAACCGATTTTTATATCTCCGGAATTTTCATGGCATGGTAAATCTTATAAATTTTCAGATTGATAAATATTAAAACAGATATTGATCCATGGATTCGACTTTATCATAATTCTCTCTCTGTGGTCCGAGTCTGCTAAGATAGATAATACAAGTTACAAAACAATTGTGAAACTTGATTCCACTCAACCGAGTTTCTTGACGTTGCAGACTGTCACGCTTAGTTAAATCGTGAGTCAGGAACAATAGTGAATCTTGAACTAGGTTCCTGGACTAAAATGTAGTGTTGGGTGCCGTAACTGTCATCACTGGTCGAATGTGCTTTAATCTGATGAAAACTTCATCATGTCAGAGCCTCAGCGATTTTCTGAGGATGGATATGAAACGCACATGCAAGTGAATCACCTTGCTCCGGCATTGCTCTCCTTGTTACTCACTCCGTCCCTAGTCAGGGGTTCTCCAAGCAGAATCATTAACGTCAACTCTATTGTAAGCTCATTTGTTTCTCTTTTCCGAGGCATCTGTATTGAAAAAGACTCAGCTAGTTTAACTTCATATTTGCTTGATTTTCTCTTGACCACTAATCAGGCTTCGAATTTCCTGTCAGTTGCACTGTGTTGGTTTTGTTGAAACAGAAGATATGGATGTAGTTTCTGGCAAAAGGAAATACACCAGTTTGCGGGGATATTGCGACAGCAAACTCGCACAGGTGCACGATTTCTCGCACATGTTGATGCTTCATGGTGTTTTATTTTGTAATCTTTCCCTCCTGCCAATTTTTCTTTAATTTTCTGCTAAATTGTAATTACTGTTTGAAGAATCGTGCTCATATTGCAGATCAAATTTAGCAGTATCCTTCATAAGAGGTTACCTGCTGAAGCTGGCATCCACACAGTCTGTGTTTCTCCTGGGATCGTCGACACCAACGTTGTGAGTGTGCTGCTGGACGATATTTCTTCCCATTTATGCACGGATATGCTGCCATTTTCAAGAAGGGCTCACCCAGGGCTTTCCATTCGCAGGCCAGGGATCTCCCCAGAACCCTCCAAGCTGGTTATCATCTGATTCCCTATTTCATCTTCGATCCTAAGGAAGGCAAGTTTCCGATTCGTGATATGTTATTCAGAATCAGATCCGTCTCAACTGATGTGAAGCTTCTTTTTTTTTTTTCCTTCTGGGATCTTGATTGCAGGTTCTAGGAGCTCCCTGTTCGCCGCGACCGATCCTCAGATCCTGGAGTACTGCGAACTGTTGAAGGGGGAGGAATGGCCGGTGTGCGCGTACATCTCGCACGACTGCCGGCCGGCGAACGCCTCAGAGGAATCTCACAATATTGCGACGTCGCAGAAGGTCTGGGAGAAGACCCTGGAACTGATCGGGCTACCTTCAGACGCTCTGGAGAGGCTTGTTGCAGGAGAGGAAGTCCCCTGCCGATATGACTCCATCACGGAATAACAGGTGAGGTCCTTGGATCGAACAGCCGAATAACTAGCCTTCCCCGCCTACCTCGAAGATCGACAATGGAGAACAGTGGAAGCAGAAGATCCGGAAGACTTTTGGTCCAGAAGATCTACATTTCTGATGTGTTCACATTTCGGTGTCTAAGTTCGCGGAAGAGAGACCTTGCAGATGCTCTCTAGACGTCGTTTTTCTCGTAGTTTTGTGTACGACGCACGTGATTCAATTCATTCACTCCCACCCATTTCTCCCTCCATTAGGGAACTTATGTTTGATAAGATCTCCCCTGTCTGAGCGGTTGGTTCAGTGGCCGGATTCTTCCTTTTTCGAGGGGATTTCTCTTCGTTCTTGAAGACCATCCTTGACTATGGGCCCGGAATCGGCGGTGGGGATATCTATCGTCCATGCCGCCGAACCTGTGGCGGATAGCTCCCGAAACTGAGAGAAGAGAAGACGGGACAGAGGCTTCCGTACGACCATGGGGATTCTCTTCTTGCCGCGAGCTGTGTTCACGAGCCTCCCTTCTCCGATCCGAGGCGCCCGCGGCCGACGGGACGCATCTAAGAGGGGGAGGGCGCTGGCGCCGGCGAATGCCACCGCGCAGAGGGGGCCTCGACAGCGGCGCAGCCAGAACGTCGAGGGAGAGTTCTTCGTAGGTGAGGAGACGCGCATAGCAGGATCCTCTTTCTTCGCTCCCTCGATTCCCATCGTCTTCCTACCTTTCCGTGTGACTTGTAGATGAGAGATGCATCGACTGCGACGCGTGCCGCTGGATGGCGCCGGTGAGGCGACGAGCTCGCTCCCGTCCTCCCCTCCGTGCTGATCTCCGTCAATCTTGTCCCCTCTGATGACTTCTCCTCCTCTGGTTCGGCTCTCGTATGTGTGTGAAGGACACCTTCGCGCGGATCGGCGAGAAATCGGCGGTCTTCAACCAACCCGGCGATGAGGAAGAGAGGTTTCGAGCTCTCCAGGTTTCAGCTCACCCTCTCCATTGCCTTCCCCGGGCTCAGCCCTCCTTCCTCCTGCTGACGTGCCCTAGCTCTCGTGCAGGCACTGCTCTCCTGTCCGACGGGTTCCATCGGCACCGAGAAGTCCCCTGTGGAGATACGCCGAGTGCAGGAGACCTTCCCTCTTCCAATCGACGAGCAGAGCCTCCCGGTAACCCCGCCACTTTCTCTGCTTCCTTCCTCCTCTCCTCTCCATTGCAGAGACGACTGCGCTGTCTAAGTCATCTCCGGGCCTAGATCTTCAAGAAGACTCGGCATACCCGGTGACGATCCCAGCATTTTAGGCAGATTATGCTTCCTGTCATCAGAAATCAATATTGATCGGGTGCTCTGAGCTTTGACCCATTAGGAATGATTACACCTCGTGGCCCCTTACAGTACGGAATCGTGAGTTTCTTCCAGCATCTCTGATATTTTTTGCAGGATGTGCGCCACTGTGGTTATCATTCCAAAGACTCATTTGGAGCAACGAGCTATCTCATTGTCCACCCCAAAGGAAATATACTCGTCGACAGGTAAACGGCTAATTCCCCCATTCATCAGGCTCTCTCTCTCTCTCTCTCTTCTGGTGTGCACTGATAACTAAGGGTGAGATATTGTGAAGCCCAAGATACGCCAAAGTGCTTGCACGTCGGATTGAGATGCTCGGAGGGGCCCGTTTCATGTTTCTGACTCACAAGTAAGATTGCAGAACGCTGTTTTAAGCTATTGCCTCTTGCCTCCCTCCCTCTATTTATCTCATCTTTCCACATCGAACCTTTCTTTCTGGATCGAGGGATGACGTGGGAGACCATCATGCGTGGCACGAGAAGCTGGGGTGCGAGAGAATACTCCACTCAGCAGACGTAAGCCAGAATCTTACATGCGAGCTAAAATGATCAAAGTTGCCTTTTTATTTTTGATGATTACCCGGTTCCTCTGAAAGATGCCCATCTGGGTCTTACGAAGAGACTTCAATCTTATGTGGACTTTCCTTGCCTTGATTTTGCCTTCCATTCGGAGAAGGTGGAAGCTTCCACGGCTGATGTAGAGATGCAGCTATATGGTGATGGGCCATGGAGTCTTGGCGCCGACTTTGACCTTATTCATACCCCGGGCCACTCCAAGGCAAGTACGACATTTGTCGATAGCTCTTTGAGCCCCCACCCTTGAGCCGTTGACCATTAATTTTTCGACCTCTGTACTTGATTATATCTGGGATTTAGCAGTGATGCGGCCGTTCATCTGGGAATGAAAGTTTATTTAGATGCTAGTAGTGCCTGCGCGGCAGCAGAATCTCTTTCGGCATCTGAGCGCAGATCTCATCACTAACCATGGCGTTCATCTGATGTGTTCGTCAGGGATCAGTCTGCTTGTTCTACAAGCCCCGGAAAGCGCTCTTCACTGGAGACCATCTCGCCACATCAGAAGGGTCTGATTTGAACATGTTCGAGAAGTACAACGGTTTTTCAGGTTATTAGGGTGGACCCAACTAGCTTTATCTCATTCGTTCGTTTATAGAGCTGACTTCCCTGGCATGTGAATTTCAGTCAAGCTGCAGTTGTCGAATATCCGGAAGCTGCTGGACTTGGACTTCTTGTGGGTTCTTCCTGGTTAGTCTTCTGTTTCCTGCAAGCCAGCTTTCTTTACGGACCATGTGAAATATGGGTCGACGGCCAAACTTTGAAGTAGAAAAGGAAGGGCAGTCTTTGAGAATTCACACTGCGTAGCTCTCAAGAATGATTGGGGTCTTGCAGGGCATGGAAGGAGAGTGAGATTCAGAGACACGAAGGAGAGGAATTCTGCCTTGGAAGCCTTCCTGGCGGCAAAAGAGATCGAACATGATAACTCCGTCATTATATAACAGATATGTAATCGCTTCATATACTCATACTTAAGAGTGTTTATATAATTATCTGGTGTGAAGATGAATGCAAGCGATTAATCAATCGGTTTATTTACAAGCTCTCTCCAAGATTCGGCTATCTCTGCTCCTCCCTCCGCACTAGAAACCTTCAACTGCGTATCCATTATCTTCAACGTCGAGAGGATCTCGTCGTTTAGGTGATGAGCGCTGTCCCCTGCGACGAACTCGCAAGCCACACCATCCACCTCGATCATGCTGCATCCAGGGACCTTCCTCACCCGTTTAGACTCCATTCCCTTCCTCACCTCCGCCACATGCTGCCATCTGTTGGCAGACGCGTACATGTTGGACAGCAGAACGTAGACGCCGCCGTGGTCGAGGCCCAGCTCCTCCAGGCTCTCCACCGTCTCCTTGGCCAGCTCCACGTTGCCGTGGATTCTGCAAGAGTTGAGCAGGGCGCCTAGTACGTAGGCATCGGGCTCCATGGGCATCTCTCTCACCGTCGTCGCCGCCTCCGCCAGCAGACCTGACCGGCCCAGCAAATCAACTAAGCAGCCATAGTGCTCCACTCCCGGCTCGATCCCGTGCGCTGTGCTCATGCTGTCGAAGATGTTCTTCCCTTCGGCAACCAGGCCGACCCTGCTGCAGGAAGTGAGGACGCAGATGAAGGTGATCTCGTTGGGCTTGACGCTGTCATCTTCCATCTTCCTGAACAGTTCGATCGCCTTCTCGCTGTGCCCATGGTTGGACAAACCAGAGATTATGGAGGTATAGGCGAAGACATCTCTGTCGGGCATTCCCCCGAACACCTGCAAGGCGGTCTGTATGCACCCGCACTTGGCGTACATGTCTATGAGAGCCGTCCCCAGTATTCTGTCCAATTCCATCTTTTTCCTTTCAACGTAGGCGTGGATCCACCTGCCCTGGTCGAGGGCACCGAGGAAGGCGCACGCCGTGAGGGCGCCCACGACGCCGGCGTGGTTGGGTTGGGTTCCCGCGCGCTGCATCTCGGTGAAGAGAGCCAGCGCTTCCCGGAACATCTCGGCCTGGACGTAACCGGTCATCATAGCGCTCCAAGAGACCGCGTTCCTCTCCGGCATTTTGTCAAACAGCTCCCGCGCTTCTTCTATCCGCGCGGACACAGCGTACCCATGCACCATCGCCGTCCACGAGATCACATCCCTGTGCAGGCTCTGGTCGAACACCCTACGCGCCGAGTCGACGCAGCCGCAGGTTGCGTACATGTGGATCAGCTCGTTCTGGACGAAGTCGTAGGATTCCCACCCGAGCTTCGCGACCTGGGCATGCAGCTTCCGCCCGTCAGCGAGTGCCGAGAGGTGGAGGCAAGCCCGGAGGACGAACGAGAAGGTATAGTTGTTGGGGAGGTTTCCAGTAGCCAGCATCTGACAGTAGAGGTTGAGGGCGGGGATGGGCTCGTCCCTCTCGACGTGGGCACGCATCATAGTGTTCCAGAGGAACATGGAGGGGCGAGGGAGGCCGCGGAAGATGAGGTGGGCGTAGCGGAGGTCGCCGCGGCCGGAGATGGCACAGAAGGCGATCAGCTTCCCGGCGGCGTAGGGGTCGGCAATGGCGCCGGACACGACGAGGAGGGCGTGGATCGGCTTGACGCCCCTTATGGTCAGGCCGCATCGCCGGAGCAGGGAGAGAGTGCCCTTGTCCGATGCGAGGTACTTGGTGAGCAGACCCGGAGGCGGGGGGTGCATCAGCTGTTCCCCGTCTGAGGCGCCGGAAGGTGCTAAAAGAAGACTGCGGTCCTTTTTAAAAGAGCCCCCATGATACTGTTGACGAAAACCCTAATCTACCCTTCATCTCTCTCTCTCTCTCTCTCTCTCTCTCTCTGTATTTCGGATAGCCAGAAGAGGTTGGGGTCTCGATTCTCTCTGAATAGACTGCACCATCACCAAGCCTTAAGAGAGCTAAAGTTTTCCCCAATGTGTACACCTGAATAAAGAATTGTATACCAGTTCACATCGCCCGGTCGCGACAGCCACTTGGAGGCGTGGCCGCAGGGGTAGTGACCTCACACAGGCTTCCAAGCTCCTCTCTTCCCTGTGGGAGGTCTTCTCATGGCGGTCGATCAGCTGATCATCACACAAAGAGCCAACCCTGGGCCAGCAAAAACCGCGAACTCTTGCAAAAACAGGTGGAAAGTAGTTTGGACTTGAAGAACCCTACGAGAAGAAAATACAAAATATATTACGAGAAGATAGGGGACAAATTCAATACGAATGTACAATACCTCGATGACCTCTGCTTATAATCTAATGAGCAAATGATGGTTATCTTCACCTCTAATCCGGGAGAGGACATAGCCTCTGATTTGAGAAAAAGAATTGATAGTTTGCACTTCTGTTATACCAATTATCATTTCAACGATCAAATTCTCCCATAATAATATCTATACTAACTAGTATCATCATGATATCAGCCAATTTCATTCTTTTAACTAGCTGAGGTAAAATTTGCAAATTGATAAAACCCGGTTTATAATCACAAAAGAGAAAAAAAGGGTTCTGGGGAAGACACCCGATATGAACATTTACTGCGTGAGTTTAAACTACAACTAGGATGCGTATTGTGTGAAGTTTCCAAGGGAATAAAAAACCTGATTTGACGACCAAAAACCCGATATCGGTGACTACATCCCATTGACCTGATCTCACGAGTTTCAGAATCGTCTGACTTTGGCTAGACTTTTTATGCCGACGTTTCATGGCAAAAGTTTCCAAAAGGGGATATCTTTTGGGTGCTTGTGGTAATATATCAAGAAAAATAAAGAGAACTAAAAGAAGACCCATCGATGAGCCCAATGGAAACAGCCAAGTGTATGAAACATAATGCCAATCAGTATTCAACACGGCAAGAGTTTCTCGGTGGGGAATGGACGGCCAGATGATAAAAGAACTGTAGCGGATATAAATGATGTGTGACAAGCATGACATGTAATGCGACCACAAATTGGGACAATAATTAGAAGAAAATAAAATCGCTGGAAGCGGATGGCACCATAAACTAACAGAAAAGTTAAGTATTCTTGAACAAATGAAGAACTAGAACTAGGAGAAAAAATAAAGAAGAAAGAGCCGTCATTTTTAACAGCACCACGTTATCGTGGAGCCCAACTGGTTGGTTTCCCCGAAAAGTTTCAAATATTCTAGTCAAAAGGGTAAGAGAATAGGAAAGCAAAATCTGCACTTGAGATGATCCCCATTAACCGTATATGAAGAGACAAGATTATATCACAAGCCAATGCTAAGACCTGATAAGCCCAAACACAGGTAGGACAAAAGAGTACCTTTCGGATAAACACAGAAGATATTTTGGACACTAAAGATGTAAATATAAGGGAGATTCAAAGAGGCTTCAATGAAACTCTCACAATGAAAAAAAATCAGAACTTACCAGATATGAATCAATGAAACAATGATGCGTCACCCGCCTTATTCAGAATCAGCTAGCAGTATAAATAGTTCCTCATCAGTTATCGGTCCAAACTCCATCGCTCTTTCCAAAGCATTTTGTCCCCCTCCGTCCCTAACTGATGGCCTAGCACCTCTGAGTAGAGAATATTGTAAGCAATAAATACTAGCAGTCGTTTGAAATCAAGGTCCTAGATTTGCTTTTGCAAGTCAAAATTTTACCCGCACGAAAATGTATACATTATCTACCGTTGTAAATCAATATCAGCACCCATATCAGCTAGAGAGCCGTAAGAGAAAAATATCTCTCGAAATGATGATTGAGGTGTACAATTAGAAAAGATTCTTTAGAATTGGGCATCAGGTCTCATCTTAACCCATTCACAAAAAAGAGGAAATTTTTCCCTGCTGTTTTTTTTCCCCGGAGAAGAGTAGGTCAACGATGCACCACGCCTATATTGGCAACTCCCACTACATTCCAATATAATACGAAATACAGACAATAAGAGAATCCTAACATTTTCTGAGTGGTGATTCAAAAACTAAATGTTTTCTCTTGAAAAAACATGAAAGAATCTTCAAGTCATCACGTTGAAAAGAAAAAAAAAACATCTTCAATTCAGAAATATGATGTACATTTAACTGGAGTTCCTTTTCTTAATTAAATAGTAAAAATATCACTCAGGGGACATCTGATGTGGTGAGTCACAGAGTGAACCATAACTACACTAAGTCTCTAATAAGTTCAAAAATTTTCAAGAATCTGAAAAAAAAAGAAAAACCTTGTCCTGCATTCCTATCAGGACAGATCTTGGGGAAGATATATCGCTTGGAGGTTTGTACTAAACAATTTTTCATGCGCTTTATACTCAAAAGTAAAATACTTTTTCAGCATTTGGTTGCTTACCTTTTAATTAGATACTTCGCAGACGTGTCATTCCTCTTGGAGATGCAATGATGGAGAGGTGTTCTTCCATGGTAGTCTTGAAGATTCACATCGGCACCAAATTGTAACAGCAGCTCCAGCATCACAAGATCATTGACATGGCAGGCTAAATGCAGGAGAGAACAGCCTTGCATACAGCCTTCTGGAACACCAGAATCCTTAATTTTTTCGCATGTAAAAGGATCATGCTGTTTCTTCTCGAAGTAACCATTATCGTTCAACTTTGGACCATCAACACGATGAAAGTGATCATGACCCATGAATTCTTCATATCGCGTATTCGCATTTCCACTCGATGCTACCAGAAAGCAATATACTGCTCGTATATCACGCTTTTCAACAGCTTCCCAAATATGAGCAGGATAAGGAGGAGAAATGAATTCACCGAGTTCTTCCGCAAGTAAAATTTTTCCCATGTACTGCAAAGTAAAAGCAAATAAAAACCTTATAAGATTTAAGTATTCCTTATCACTAGGAGATATAATAAGCAGATGTATTCCGTCTGTACTAAACTATATCAAACTATATCAGAGTTCATCCATGGACACAAGAAAAAACAAAGCACAGGATGTCTTGGCTTCAGATCTCAACTTTCTCTCCCTACGTTCTAAACGAGGACACTGAAAAGAAAGACTCTCTGTGGTTTTTAAAATTGGTCTAACTTTTGTGGAAGTAGATACTTTCACATATTCATCAACTATTCAAGGAAAAATACGATATAAATCTGTATGCCCAGTGTGTTCCTAAAGACCCCTCAATAAAATTGCTGTCGTCTCCAAAAGATGAAATAGCGCTAAGACCAACAACTCTCTAAAAAATGACCATTGATGCTCTTCTCATTACAGAAGCTCGTAGCCTACTCTCTCAAAATCAACGTCCGCCCTCAACCAAACATCTCCATTGCCAACAAACCTACTGTTTCTTAGCTCAAGAAGACTGCCTTCGAAATACAAATAAATCTTGCATTGAAGTCACACTGGAGGAACAGAGACGGGGATGGAACTCCTTCCCAGTTTTATGTTTCATTCTATTTCTACTAAATTGTTAAGTATACTAATAAAGTGGAATAGCTTGTAAAAGTTTCTGTGATAATCGCAAATGTCTCGTGATATACAGTGGGCCGCCTTTCTTAAGCCCTTGTTGGTCTAAGCACCATCGTTTTCTGAAACAAACATGCTAGTTAGCTCTCATAAAAAGGCCTACACTTTTTTCAATAATGAAATCTGCGTGTAGAAGCATTGAAACCTACACATCCTATTACACTACTTAACGCCAGGTAGATTGAATGCAAGTTTCCTAACAATGACGGACATTTTTTTACACAAAATGTTGAAATCAGACCAGCATGCTTATCTATATCGTGCATTAGCCAAACTGTTTATGGATCGGACTGTGTCCTAGTTCATTATACTTGAAGAATTATATCAGGAGAGCTTTCCAATGGTATACACCACATATTAGAGGGGAAAAAATAAGAAAAGGAATGATACTCCGATGAAAAAATAAATTAGCATAACAATGTGAAGAAGCATCGATCTTATTAAATCATGACAACGGAAAAAATTGAAAATACATGGCGTCAAATCTAAGAGAAGACAATAAACACGGGAATATCCTACCTTTAATTGAATGAAAATCTCCTTCTTTGAAATAGGGTCTCGAGGTTCAGGCTTTGTGATTGATGTAGAAGCAATAACCCTTCCATCTTCTCTGCACGTGTTTGGTTAAATAAGCATCGGTCATAACTTACACGCGTAATGTTTTAAACATTTGAAAGTTTAGTAGAAAATTAAGATCCTACGAGGAAACATTGATTACCAAAAACGAAACACTCTAAATACGAAGTAATTACGATACGTAAAGTATAAAACCTATAAAGACGACTGAAGCCTGAATATGGTTGTTATGCCATGTTACAGTTGCCACCTAAACGCAGCATTCTACCGGGACTGAAAGCATCGATTAGTTGGAAATATTTTGAACGAATTATAATCAAATAAGTTTTAGTTTGTTGGATCGAGAATGGGTGGCTAAGTGTTGATTACTCAGAGTCTTTTACATTGATTCCTTGGTTCTCGGTAGTGACTATACATACTTTTAACTCGACTCGCACAGATCAATACAGCAACACCTACAAAGTAACAGAAGCAGCTAAAAAAGGCTAATTTGGAAAAGCAAGGTGAAAGTTAAATATATAAATGTATTTGGTTATTTTTCATCAGCCTTTAGGTATTAAAGATCCCTCTATTAACTGAACAACTAATCAAGTGACGACCTTCATATTCATTATCTATGCTGCATGAATAATACAAGTAATCTGGATCAGTAGCTTGCGGGTAGTCCCCTGTATTAATTTCATAAAGATATCAATGAAAATTAATTGGTGAATCGCATATAATAGATAAGTTATTGTCAAAAAAAGGAAATGAATTACAGTTCTTCTGCATATCGTTTCCACAATTCTTCTACTTTCTTCTTCATTATGTTCATAACCAAGCAGGGCTTTGACATTTAGAATCTTGCATTGACATGGCCAGACTATATAGTGATTAAAAGAGAAATTTCTATTGCAATAATACACATTACTCCTTGACTTTCAATCTAGCTGCGTCTACAAAGCTACAGGCGCACTGACATTAAAAGGGACAAATAATCTGTCAACCTCTTTAAGATGTCGCATATATCCATGAAATGATTCAGGAACTTAAAAAATCAGATGTCGATGTGTTCACGTCTAACATGTCAAATGTGTCATTGCTTCTTTTTACAATTATTGAATAAACATAACTGGCGACGAGGGCCATCTAGAGACGAGAAATTTCTTCTAGAAAAGCACCAGACTCAAGGATATCATAGGTCCTGTGTCTACGGTCAAAATGCATGTGCATTGACCACGTCTGCGATATCATAGGTCATGCATTGTCTTTTATCAGGCAGACACCCTCAACCCTTCACTAAACCTAGACACCATACTGAAATTGGAACATTTACAGAAAATCTTCCAGTAAATGTAATAATTAATAGCATACCCTTATTCATTAGTTGTCTCCTCTACATCCAAAATTCAATCTTTTGAAAGCTTTGGCTTTATTGTGTTAACATGGTGCTATTGATGTTCAGTATGTACACTAGAAAATGGTATCCAACATGAACTTTTCAATCTAAAAAAGAAACATTAGTGTCCAGGAAGAAACTGATGCTATGGTAACATAACCATATCTAATCAACCTCACTAACCCCAACAGTTCCCTCAAGTGGCAAGTAAATATAAGCAAAAAAAAAAAAAAACCAAGATGCCCACATAGAACAAGAAAGATATAAATCAATGCAGATTAAAATAACTGAAACACCGAATAGCTTCATTTCTTAAAAACCGCAGCAAACCATCAGAGATGCTACGAACTAGGAGGCATTTAAACTTTAAAACGTTAGAGTTAAAACGTTAGAGTGGAAAAAAAAACAAATCAACAGTTTCATATTTTATTGGTCATGAAAACCTACCCCAGGGGTTGAGGCTGAAGAAGTCCTTCCCACACGGAATTACAAAAAGCATTTCCCAAAGTACTAAATAAATCCAAGATTGTAGATTCCCAAACTTTCACATCCAAAGTTAGCGACCTAACCTGAATTGAGATAGCAATAATAAAACCATTAACAAACAATACAAAACAATCAAAGGAAGTTAATATTAGATATATGCATGAAAATAAAAAAAGACCAATTTGTTCGATCAATGTAGAAGTGTATTCCTCTCTCTAATGTGAATATTTATCATATCATGGAAACATAGAAATAACAACCATGTTACGCAAACCAATTACCTGATAACAGTTCCACGAATGAACCAAGAAGGATTGGCAAAATGAACCATGAAGTTACTTCACATTGAAACTAAACGGGAAAATCCAAGGATGTCTGCACAGCATCTTTTTTACGCACTCTTTTTATAGAGGTTCCAGGTTGTATGAACAGAAGAGCATCATATCCTTGGATATAAAACATCCAAGTCATTGCCTAATTCGATGGATGGCCTAGGTGAATTTCTCCCCTTCCGGTTCATCCAAAAAGAAAAAAGTGACTTTTCGAAAGGAACAGCTTTAGCTATATTTTCTCCAGGTCGGAGGATTAACCAAATCACTGTTTCTATAGCTACAAAGCCCAGTTGCGAAATGGTTAAATAGTTTCAGTGCGATGAAAGGACTTTTTGCGTGGAGGCTAATAGTAATCATCATAGTGAGACTTATCTAGTCAGTCTTGGGTCAACTAGAAACATTGAAGGATTCAAAATTTTTCCAAACATTTATGATCATCCGTCTGCCTAAATCAAAGCAAAGCATCCTTGGTGTCAAGTCTGGCAAACAGTCCCACGAAACCATGGACTTTGGAAAGAGCCTATATGTAGAGAGAGAGAGAGAGAGAGAGAGAGAGAGAGAGATGGTAGAAAAAAATGCAATCTTTTCAGGTTAAAAAGTGTCAGAAGTTTTGATCAGCAAATTGCGGATATGATGTTTTTTAGACGACACTATTGATATTTACTTACCTAAATATTTGACTAAGGCTTAGACCTTGTACATAAAATGCAGCTATAGTGTCGTTCTGTAACTGTCGTATTCATTTCCACAATAATTTCTGGCTCCATTGACAAGGCAGATCATGGATGTAATATTTACAGTGGATCCAGATATATAAGCGTTATTGAAATAATCTAAAGATAGCTATTATCTCTTGCAGAACAATCCGGAACAAACATATACAAGACAGACTAGGTCAAACAGACAGATGTTCAACCGCTCAGTAAACAATGAAATTTCTTTATATTATAAACCAAAAATCAGTGACATGAAATAGCAACGGACAAAAAGTAAAAGAATGAACGTATAGAAACTCGGAATACGAACTCAATGGCATACCTTTGAAATGTGAACACCAAGATTTCGATGAACCCCAGAGCATTCAATGCACAATAAAACTCCTAGATTTAGAGATGCCCAATCAGGTTCGGGCGTACTACATTCTGCACAGACATCATTTCCGGGAATTCTTCTAAGAATGTCAGGAACAGAATCCTGACCACCATGTATATGGCTCTCGGAAATTATATCTTGGGTATTGACACCTGATAATTGATTGGAACCATGAACGGGACTGGCATTTACTGAATCCATCAGTCTGAGAGATGCCTGCTAGTTATCCATGTAAAGGTCATTTAGTAAGAAGACTGTACATCCCTATAATATTTCCAATAATACAAAACCAGGAACCATAAAACAAACAAGAAGCATAGATGACAACCTGATTTGGAAATGAAGAATGAAGAAGAGATACAATCACTGCTGTGATTTTCTCAACCCACTCAATCCTATCTGCATCATTCTCTGCCTGTAAAGATTGTACAGCACAAAAATATTCCCCAGAGTTTGTAAGGAGACAGATACTTTTCAGACTAAAAAGGATAATGGAAAAACAACATAACAAGTACTTAATCAAAAAAGAAAGAATAAACAACATGCCGAGGAAAAAGGACTTGAAGTGCTTTGTGTCAAGAGTTACCTGCAATGTGTACGTCTTCACTGGGGTTATAATTCTGAAACAGAACCTCAAGTCTGTCTGTTCAGCATTGATTTTTATAGCTGAGGTGCGGAGATCAACAGTGCGACAACAAAGGGTGTCTTCACCCGGAGATGTTCTGTGGTTTGAGAATCTAAATCGACTGAAGACACTGCCACTGCTTTCAAGTGCACCCGTTGGTTGCTGAGACTAGAAACGAGGGAAGGGGAAGATAAGATGCATAAATATACATATACATACATATATACATTATATATATACATATATATATATACATCTAAAATGCGTCCAAATTGATTCATAAATACAGGAAAGCAAAGAAAACATTATGGTATGTCCTTCAAATGGTTTCAACCATATGAGACAGCCTCTTAGAAAGTTACTGTCATTTTGACATATGCGTTTTGATGAGCTTTCTTTGAATTCAATAAAAAATGTTATATCAATGAGGCTACATAATCTTCAATAGCACATAACAGTAGTAAAAGTAGCAAATTCATTGATTTTTCTTTCCGCTCATTCCCTTTAGGAGGTCAAGAAAAGGACGAGAGAGTCATAATTAAATGACTCAAATATCATACTACATAGTCAAGTGTGTTTAACCGGAATTGTAGGAATAAAGTTTCAACATAACTATTATCATTACAACCTAAAAAAAATGCAAGGTTATGATATTGACAGCGAGTAAAAACGAATTGATTGCACTAAATCAGAAGCAATCAATTATACAACAGAGTATTTCTTATTAAGCTGTAATTTTTTTATAAAAAATCTGACATTGAAAATTTGCAAGCAACAAGGAAGAAAAACTTTGTGGGATAGAATAAAATACGCACCAGGTGCTTACTACTTTTATTTCTGTAATAGTACAAGGTCCCATTCGTGTCAAGCACAAAGAATCGCCTTTTCCAGTCTCCCCTCAGATTTGATGAACGTTTAAAGAGATAACCCTGCTTTATTGTTTGAACCTGGACCAAAATGAGCAAATTTCCCATATAACGAAAGACTAACATCAAGGGAGGGGAAAGTAAGCGAAAGTTAGGCTCACTTGATCTTTTAATACACAGATGAACAAAACGACGAAGGAGACAATTGATTAGTCGGCCATGATACATCTCCGTGAAGAAATCATAAAGCCACGTGGAGCATTTCATTCTTATTTGAGGTTTCAAGCTATACCAATAAATAAATGAATTTGTATGAATGTTACCTCTCCTTTTGCAGCGGATTGCATCAATGCTTCTACATCTTTATAAGAACTAGAACCCATAACATGGACACCATCACCACTTGCTGAGACCTGTGCATCAGCAGAGGATTTTAAACTGTCCAGCTCTGCCTGTGTTCTAAACTCCTGAATCCTCTTTGCAAGTTTATCTTGTTCGATACTTGTCATTTCCTTTGACTGTTGTGTGTATGTCAGAACCTATTCCAAGAATAAGAGCTTATTCACCAATAATCTCTATTCGTTGACTTTTCAATTTTTTTACGTTTTCTCAACAAATTGTATACCTGGTGAATAAATGGTTCTATCTGGCTCAGCAACTCATATCCCTGGATCTCAAGAGAGATAATTTTAGACTGCAACAAAAGATTATTTGGAAAGAATAGATGGAAAGATAATTTTTCATTCTTTACCTGCTTATAGTATCTCATATGGGCATCCATGACAGCACTAATGGATTCCAGGAACTCATACTTCTTCTTTGCTTCAATGTTTGCAAGAGCATTCACCTGCATTCCTTAATACCCAAGAGGTGGTCGAAGAAATTAAAATAAGATATTCAGTTAAACTGAAAATGTACGGGCAACATTTCAAACATACAAAATTGAATCGGCATCTTTCAAATGCTGACTTTGAATTGTGCAGATCCTGCATAAACAGAAACAAAATTTCAAGAGCGAACTCTGGAAAACAATCACTAACTCAGATGTAACATAAGGAAAATAGGTCACCTCCTCCAGCTCGGAAACAACATCAACTCGTGTTCCATTTTTCAGCGACATGAACCTTTCTCTTGCCTAAGTACAGATGTCAATACATAATCCTAAGTAATGTTTACAGAAAAAATGACAAGGATTACAGCACAAAAGAATTCCCACGAAAACACATATTACAGATGGTTCAGTATAAAAACACAGTGAAGGGGATGTGCCACTACAAGAAACTATCTGAATGTCAGCATGGATCAACGAAGAAGTATGCAAAGAAAAATAAGGTCGATGATAAAACTTTATCGTTTTTAACTTTGAATAATCATTGGTGTTTCTCACATGACAAGGTAATATTTTCTAACAAAATATGAATTATTTTCTATTTTTCCAAGATATATGACAAGGAAATATTCACCAAACACCCTAAAACTCTCAAGAGTTTTATGATTAAATGACCGGCCAGACTGTCACTTCAAGTCAGAAGCGAATTGATTTGAGGTAAGCTCTCTCTAAAGATATGACTAGCATAAACAATCGGACAATCGCGGCCATGTTTTTTATGCATAGTTGCAGCCACTGAGGACACCATAATTGTAAATCATAAAATTTATATTGATAGCTGATTTCTCCCAAAGTCAGGAACCCAAGACAGTAGTTGAATGCAGCCAATCATCTTCTTATATATTATTTGAATACAGCTAATATCCTCTCTAAAATATTCCCATTTAGGTAGTCCTCGCAGGAGATTGTCATTCCTCAAGAGTGATAGCAGAGTAACAGCAGAATATAAAGTGAAGAACTCTATAATTAAACAGAACATAATATTATGACGATACTCCGTTATTTTCCAACTTTTTTTTGGGGCAGCAATACTATAAAACAGCAGGCAAAAGCTACATGGAAAGGGAAGAGAAAAGAAAAAACCATAACATATTTTCTGCTCATTTTAAAGATAGTAGACACGTAAGGGGGCCTATGTTGTTACGCTTTGTTGAGCTCTCCACGAAATTTTTACCTTTCGACTAACAAAACAATCCACCTGCCACTTGTCATCTATACTATTCAGCAAGAACCTTCCAAAACAAACAATTAAAAAGATGATTTTTTCTCCAATTGAAGATATTTTAGACAGTTAAAAAGACCTTAAAAATCCACCTGATTGGTCCATAAATGATAGGCCCGAATCAACGTCTATTGTCGGTCTTGCTCACCACCTACCTAACCCATGTATGCCAAAAAAGATCAGGTCAACTACGTCTGATTTGGGTAGACGTTTATCCATCCGAAAATAGAAGCCGCCTTCGTTCAAGGAAATAAACAGGGCCTGGACTTGGGATAACTGAACTCATTAGCAATTTGAGATGTCTTTCAGAGTGAGGCTGTCATCACAAACGATTTTTCGAGCGGGTAACCTCATTTTTCCTCCAATGTCATAAAATCTTTCCGAACCCAGTAACATTGTTTCGCATGTAGTGTAACATTTTCACATTGCAGGAGAAAAATGGTTCATTTACACGTTTTTTCACCAAACAGAACAAGCAGTTTGTTAAGAAAATTTTAAATAATGGGTTCTTCATCCTCATGTTCAGCTACAGTGAAACCAAAAAAGTTCCAACTCCGACCATTATGATTTGTTTTGACAATTTAATCCATACTGCAGTGAGTTCCCATTTACAATCAATCCACCCATCATGACTTAGTCTTCCTAAAGATAGACATGAAGAGCACAAACACCAATGACAGAGGTTACAAGATCGCATAAATCTACAGGTTTTGAAGCAAATTGTCTCTAGGCATATCAAACCATCACATTATAAGAAAATATGTATCCAGTAGAGCTCTGCAGCATATAATGAGACTGCATAAAGTAATATAGCCAAGACCATAAATGTAACATTTCTTCCGCACAATCCATACATGATATTACTTAAGCCCTATGAAGACATCAAAACGAGGACAGAAGGTAAACTGTAGGCAAACAGGATCGAGACATACCTGCTCATAAACATGCTGAGCTTTGTCAAAACGACGGCGAGATTCCTATGAATACAAGGACAGAAGGTACCTCAAAAGAGTTGCCGTGTTATTCCAATTATGTCTAACGTTCCTAATATGATAGATATAAGAGATCTATGATGAAATAGAGAAGGATGACTTCATTTCTGATGATTATTTACCCCTCAGAGTGTCATGTTTTATATTCTTACTTTTTCAGTATTACAACTATATATATATCTTTCAAAAACATGAATGACTCAAATATTTAAACGCACTTGCGCGAGAATTGAACCCAAATCTCACGAAATGGATGAAACATAAGTCCGCTAAGTTTCTGTGTTTTGACGTGACCAAATCCCAGATGCAGTTATATAACAGAGCAGTCTTTGTCTACTCTAACTTGTGCCGGATCTAATATCGCTTCAGACATGATGACCTGAACCAGCAGCAGTTTAGCAACTATAGCTACCACTTTGAGCAGGATGAGAGTAAATTTTGCTAGTCAACACACAGAAACCAACTCAAATGATTAACTTTCCAAAAATTATTATTTCTCTCTCCATGAAACTTTCCATTCAGCCATCATCATATCCTTCATATAACAGCAAACTACACTCTATGATGGGAATCGTGATCCTGTGGGCACACCACTGACCAGAAACTAATGTACACCTCTCTCTTCAAGTCCAAGTCACGTACAATATGTTGAATATGTCCAAGTACCGTACAAAAACAGGTTATTGGGATAACAGAATAGTACAATTACAATTAAAATCAGCCAACTATTGGATTCTAATTAAAACCATTCAAACACCATGTAGCCCACAAACCAGGACTAGTTTCGATGACATAGAAATCCTTTGCCTATTCTACCCAATTCCTCTTCTCTTCCTTCCTCTCCTCTCCTCTCATTCCCATTCTTAATCTTTCGTTTATTCACCTCCTATCTGTCCCCAATTCCCTTCCATTTCTTTGGCTGCCGCGTCATTAATGTATAAGGTTTACATTCAGCATGGATCATGACTGAGAGCAAATTAATCTGGCAACTGCGTTTATGAAATCTTATTGGCATATAATAATAAATCTTTCCATAAGCTGCTGCATGTAGGATAAGGAAAAGACTCAATCAGTTCACACCTGACGATCACTGATATTTATGTATGCCTCACTGCAATTGCATTTAATCATAACATATACATCAATTGTATACCGACTCCACAAATTTATAAGACTTTACTACAGAAAATGTTTTTCATCTCCCAGCAAGAGTTTATTATCAATTAATCTTTGGGTAATATGGAATCGGACATCGGATGGAAATTACTACGTTCAAAAACAGGACACGAGAAGACGTTTTTGCCTGTTTCAGTCCCATTACCATAAGAGATCCTTCAGAGTAAGGAACTACATTTAGAAAAAAATTAGAAAACTTTTCTCCTTACATAGTTCCGTATTTATTATGGTTTAACTCATTTTACAAACTTTAGAATTCATTGATCATGAATCTTCTCATAAACGCCCATCTTTTAATCCAAATCCTAGGCCACAACTACAGATCCCCATAACTACTGTAGGTTTCCAGATTCTTCCTCAAATCTTAAAAATATTTATTTAAAAACCTTTTTCTAAGTTCACACAGATAAACAGTCCGTAGAAAGGGTGAGTTAGTATCATATGTCATTAGAATATATTTCTGATATCAATCAGAAGGATATCATCAATAGTTTCCTTTTATCTCTTCCCCACTTCCATTGACTGAAAAGTTGGTGAATTAAAAGCCCCTAAGTTAGAGCTAAGTTAATAAGTTATTCCTTGTATTGAACTCAAAGAATATTGCTACTAATTGAAGAAGAGTTATTGGTATCTAAAGAAAAAACGATACAGAAACCTTCACATCTTGTAGGTCAACACTTATGAACTGCATCAAACGGTCACTCAGCATATGCTCCACCTGTAAAATGCCATCTAAAAAGAATGAGAAGCACATCATCTCATGAAACAAAGTATCAAAAGCCGATTTCTAACTCCTTCTGTTTGAAAATAAAGCCGATTTATTCCATTCCTAAAAAAACTGACTTGAAAGCCGATGACTCTTTTCGGCAAGAACACAGTTGAATCAAAATGAGTAGGAAGCACTCAGTTGGAGTATGGTGCCCAAGTCGGTTCTTAAGATTGCGTTGGAATCCTTCAACTTTGAATCAACCATAGGAATATTCATGATCCAAAAAAAAGATGATCTTCAGTTTATAGATAGGATCAATGACCACAGAAGGTGACTCTACGTATAAATTTTCAGTGATACAGTATTATTCAATGTTTTTTAGAAGATCAGATGTGGCAAAGTTCAGACTCAGGCTGATAGTTTATGGATATGAATGTTTTTTCTCTAGCTTGGGTTGTCACTGTGCTCTTCTCATTAAGTTAGACCGGTGGAAGGCGTTTCTTCTAGCTGTGTCGCAGGCAATGGAGTAAGGGAATAACATAAGATTTCAGGAAATTTTCAGATATTTACGAAACATCATAAAAGTGGCATTTAGATTTAATGGTGCGGGGTAAATAAGCTTAGTTTGGAAAGGCATTGGGTAAAGGAGTTCAGACCTAGAGGAACTTAAATTCACGGCAGTACATGATTTTACCATTAAAGTGGTAGAGGCTTTTCTTCGTGGTTATTGGGAGCAAGCTGTTGTCCAAACTTTAAAATGAACCTTTGAGGAAATGATTGGGCAGTTTAGAGGACAACTTTTCATATCCCCAGAACAATCATAATCTGCAACAAAAGCATTAAGAGCAGTAGTTGGAACCATGTGACACATCCGATCTACAGATCCTCAACTTATTAATAGGGAAATATTGATGACTTGCGATTTGTCATCAACAAGCTCTTTACATAACTAGCAACAACACCATGTATCTACTGAGAGAGGAGTAGGACATGGATTACTGATTCTATGGTACATGGTCTTTTTCATGGGAGATGTGACAGAAGCTTCTAGAGCTGGAGAGAAATTCAAGTGTGTGATGATGTCATTCTGTGTAGCCTGGGTTTTAGCCCACCACATCCTCGTGTATTCAATTACTCTTGTGTAGGGAGGGCTTCTTTTGCAGGGGATTGAAAGCGTACCCAAATACTCATTTATTTTCGATATCAATGAATACAAGGTACTATCCACGTTCAAAGGCCAGAACAGAGATCAAGATGACCTCGATTCTATTGTGTTAAGTAGAGAAGTGGAAAAAACATTTCTTGTGGTAATATGTATCTCACTTATTTACCACCTTGTTAGATATGAAATAAAGTTAACATTGAGACGTGCTGTTTTTATTTCTACTTTTCTTTCCCGTTTAGTAGACCATTGGGAATCTCATATTATGCTGCCCTGTTTTTTAATTTCTGCTTAATAGGGGTGGAACTCTTTCCGCAATGAAAAAATAGTTCTGGTTTTATCCATATGGTCACACATGCCAGATGGAATATGTACTACATGTATTCTATCTTGGTATGGTTCGATAACATGACACAATGGCAATTTATGGTGAAAATAATAAGAGATAAAATACCTCTCTAAGTGCCTGGTCTTGAGGTGTCTTGCAAAACAAATTATAATTTATGAATGCTCTGTAATTTATAAAATTACAATTTACCATGGCAAGTAAAAACATGGTTGACCCTGGGTAGCCAGGGAATCAGTAATCGTCACAGAAAGCAATGCAACAAAAAGTTTTCTTAACTTACTTGGGAGCGAAGAAGTTCCTTGTATGAACTAAGTTCCCGGAATGCAGTTGTAAATTTGGACATGACAGGGCCTAAACTTGAACAAAAACAAAGAAAAGGCCATAAGACGGGGTCATCTAATGGCGGATATCTGATATCACTGAAATGAAATTGAAACGAAAATCCTCTCAAAACTGGCATACATGAAAGTGTTTTAAAAAATATAGCATTAACTAAAATTAATCTCATTTCCTCAATTAAATCAGCTAAAAGCAAAAAAATACAGTACATACGTGAAGACTGAATATCAAGTTAAAGACGAATCCATGATTTTGAAAAAGTCAAAGTCGTGTATATGTAAAAATTGCAACTCGACATAGACAACATATTAAAATAGGAAAAGTGAAATCTGAAAGTTTTGATCAACCTCCAATAGCCACACTCATGGGATCGTCATGCCCAGCGCCAAAAGCTTCTAAGGAATCAGCAAAGGCAATATCCCCATCATATGCTCCAGCAAGAGATATCCTGCAATGAGTGAACGATGCTATCAAGCTGGGGGCATATTTAGTTCCAAACAGGCGCCCAACTATCCTATTGACAACCTTGATACTTCACCATGATCAGAGAGAGATGATATTGACCAGATGACACCAATGAATTCATTGACTTCTATACAAGATAAGTAAATGACTCAAAAAATGTCGGGCAGAAGCACATGTGAGGTGTACATTAGGTGTAGATTTGGAACAAGAAAAAATTTTCCTCACATCTTCTATGAAGGAATTAGATAATTTAAATTACATCATGAATTCTCTTATAAAGTCAATGACGTGCCTCTTCTATTGAAAAATATGAGAATATATAAGATCTCCTTTCCAAAATCTCAGACTGACATGCATCTCAATTGAAAGTAGCTGCTACGACACGATCATATAGTCTGTACACCCGAACAACAAATAATCAGAACTCTTTCTCACACCCAACCTCCCTATACGCCTACTAGAGAAGTAACCTGGATTTTGAGTGTTTAGAGAGTTTTAGATTCACCAGATCTTCCTAGCCCAGATCCTCAGATCCTCCTAAGCCGGAAATAATATGACGAAGGAAAACAAGTTCCAGGATAGTGAAATCAAGACTTTCTTCATCCAACATTTAGAGTATCAGTCGAGTCCTAGATGCCCAGGCCCACTAGTCCAGAGTAGCTGGTTTATCATATGGAAAACTAACATAGCATTTATTGCAGCTTTAGCCCAATACATTACTGTCTATACAAATGGACGAAGTAACAAGAACAACAGATCACAAGGGGTGAAAGACGGATTAGCTATTTTAACTAAACATAAAGCATTGGCAAATGAACTGATTCTCTAAAATGCAGAAAGTTATAAAAAGAATACAACAGAAGATGGAGCCCAAAGGAGGTTACAGAAGAGTATCATACTCACACAAATTTCTTACATCCTTTATGAAGTCTTTGGCAACGTTCTCTTAACTCATCTGTTCCCTGTTCCAAGGAAAAGAGCTGCAAAAGAAAGACGAGAGAATGATACCAGTTTACTTCTATAAAGCACCAGAAAGCAGAAGAAAGTTTAGTGGCAGATACCAATAAAGTGCCCACTTGGCTAACCAGAACTCGATATTTTCTGCTCGTAGGGTGTCTTATCCTCAGAGAATTAGTTCATGAGGAATACATTTTCTGTCTTTAAAATTAACTGTTATAGTTAGTCATTCTGTATTCTTTTGTTCGTCAAAGTGAACTAGCTGGATCTTCTTTGCAATCATTTTCTTTTTATTTTCTTCTCTTCCAGAAAAACATGTGGGTTCAACCCCAAAATAGATTTTCGCAATTTTAACTTTCTACTATTTTTAACCAATACTGGGAGAAGGGGAATGAGTCCTCTTTGTCCCCGTTCTAAACGAGCCTAACATGGGGCAAATTATTCAGGTTTTCTTTGTTTCTTCTCTATTCTTATTCTTTTTCTCTCTAAATAAATGAGAGACATTTGAGACATTTGGGACATTTGCTCGAACGCAATTAAATCATGAATTGACCGATCACATTAACTCAGATTTTTATGTGAAAATTGAGGCAAACATACTCTTAGCTCTCAGTAAATTCGACACCGGAATTCCATTGGACATGTATTCAGCACTGCCCAAAAACTCACCTGGTTGCATAAGATTCTTTTCAGGCGTGGGATATTGTTCACAAGTGAATGGAGCAATCTCCATGACGGAATCGGTGATAGATAGGAATGGCCGGTGTTAGAAATACAGCCCGGGCCAAAACGCACGATGGCCTTAACGATACCAGATTCAAAAGTCAGCCACGAAGTGGGTCGCACATGGAAACGGAGAGAACTAAACAACATCGAAACGAAGGTAAAAGGATTGAAAAATCTTTGCCACGGACGACGAAGGCAATAATATCCTGGTAGAAGGAAACACTTCCGGCCGTTAACAGAATTAACTCCGGTAGTATATCGAGTTAGCTCACTTCTTGATTCATCAACTACACTAACCAGCCGCGAATGATTGAGACCAAATTCGGGCAAATGACAACCCAAAAGATGCATTACAAGAAAGAAAGCATCGCACTGTCACATTTTTTCAGCTCATTGAAGATGGCACTGGCAAAAGCCATCGCCGTCTAAGAAAAAAGGTGGATTAGTTATATTCTAGTGTCGAATGTTCGTCGAACATCAAAAAATCGTTGAACCAACGCAGAGGTCCAATAGTTAGATTACCAAATACCGTTCGGACTGCTCCAAAATAATGGCTCCTCTGAAGATGTAAATGGCCTGGTTCTTTCTGTACAACACCAGGCTTCTTCCAAACAAACAAAAAACGTGAACGAGTGGTCGGCGGCGAAGATACCGACCACAGAGCAGTACGCACCTGATTCCGGAACATTGGGGAATCATCCAGCTTCGTGAAGGCCGCCATTTTCCTCCCTCAAACAAAGGCGAATCACGAGTCTACCGTTTCTCTTCGCGTCGTCTCCGCCCTCCCCCGCGGGACCAGGGCCTCCGACTTTCCCCTACCTGAGACGAAACGCGACAAGGGAAGAATCCGTCGGCAATCACCCTCCCCGTATGGGGTTTCGTCCTCGCCGACCCGAAGCGCGCACGACCGACACGGTCAGAGCAGCGCCAGATGATCAACAATAGGACGATGATTTCCTCCGGAGAAGCCTGGATAGAGACGTCTGCTTGAGATCAGATGGCCTCAGATTCGTCGCTGCGAATTCCCGTCGTCGACTCTGTTGGGAAGATCCTTCGCAAGCTATAATGTGTCTAACAGGCAAATTTATCTTCCACGACGGATGACGAAGACGTTGCAGTAAAGACAGGATTTTCCAAAAGTAAATTAGCGTTCCACGTGTCTTATTTATATTGGCTATAAATATACAAGGCATGCCTGGAAAGCGGCGGGCACCGACAGCTCAGTCCAGCGCTCCATGGCTCCGGAATCGGGCGCATTCAGATCGGACTCGGACTCCGTCAACCAACCCCGTGGAAGAAATGCTCATATCGGTAATAAAATAGAGCAAGAAAATAATTCCTTATGCCAATATTATAATTAGCTGGCGCGAACTAGTGATAGGGGATATATTAATTATTTTTATTGCAATTAAATGTCCCGCATATTTTTAATCGTTTTAGAACAAAATATCAATTTATTATAGTATTTGAATCTGATAAATTTATTCTGTATTTATCACGACTTCAAGAATCGTGAAAAAACTGGCCCGTTTTGCATTATTGGGCCGATAGTAGAACTGGACCCAATAATGAAGACCAGACCAGTTGGCTGGTTATTGTTTATATGTGAAAAAGGAATTAAATATTAAATACGAGTGTGGAATTAAAATGTATTGTCGGATTATTTGCGTCGGAAATTTCGAGTATTTACCCAAGGGGAAGCGGGCGTGCAGATGAGGAAACTCTGGTGGGTACGTAAAAAACCTGTGATTTGTGCTCGTTCTTCGCGAAAATTACTGCGAGCTCAGAATCACCTGCAGGGGGGTTGGAATTCGGAAGGAGAGAACGAACGAGCGTCTCGTGGGAACGATGTTCTCATAACCGGAGAAGCCGTGTAAGCCTCTGGCACTGGCGGTGCAGAGTTCAACGATCGGCGAAAACTTGTGTTGCGCTTCCCGACCACTAGAACTTGCGGGCGGGCATCGCTCAGGTCCCACTCCCCGGCCGGACACTTCATTTTCCTCTTCCCTTGCGTTTTATCCGGTCAGATCCCCCGTGGGTTCTCCGTCTTCTCACGAATAATCGCCTCCGAAGCCTCTCGCTGTCAATTATCTCCCGAGGACTTGCGGGAGCGAGCGGGAGAAGTTGGGCACGGCTCCGTCGGTTCTCCCCTGTTTTCGTTGGTCGGAGCCTCGGGGACCTTTTATGCTCCCGGGAAGGTGATCCTCCTCCTCCTCCTCCTCGGCCTCCTCTGTGCAATTGCATGCGTCCTTCCCCGCTTCCGGAGTTCGACAAAAGAACGAACCATATCCGCCGTGTTCATCCGACAGAAACGGGAAAGTTCAGGTCGCCGTCGCGCGTCGTCGAGTAGCTGAGCGGTGAGATTCCATGTCGCCGTAACTTCGTTTTCTTGATCGGCGAGACGACGTAGTCAAAGTTCGTCCGAACACTCGGCAGGGCTGGCGGGCTCACAAACCTCTCTGTTCACTGAGAAGTGGAGGAGTGTAGGGGGAGGATTTGGTCGTCCTTAGTTAGCTTTGACAGAGGGTGTGGCTTTCATAGATCCTCTGACACACGCAGCTTCTCCGGCGGTCGGCTGCACTTGTTGCCTTCGGATTTGAGCTCCCGAACCTCATTGTCCCTCCATTCAATCTTCTCTGTTCTCCGGCTAGGGTGAGAGTGGGCATTGTATAGAAATAACTCAAACTGATCACGCCTTTTAATACATGAATCGCCTCATCTTCTTCAATGCTACATGAACATCATTCCTTTCGAGTGATGAATAGGACTCTGTTTCCAGGAAATGGTGAGTGCAGTATCGAGCCATCACCGTACCTTCTTGCCGCACGCTTTATGTGAGAACAATCTGAAGGGCCCATCGAAGAAAGCCTTGTGCTTGGGGTACCCTCAAGGCCAATTTCTCCTCGGCTGCCCTGGAAAAATTGCACGCTCTGGGGCGGTCATCGCGAGAGCCATCAGTGGCAATTCAGAGCCTGGCGACTCAGAGAATGGAGATAAGGAAACCCCCGAGAAGAAATCCGAAGAGGTAACGATCAAGTAGTTCTTCTCGCTATCATCACCCAGTCGATGATCTTTCTGATAAGCCATCTGATTTCTGCAGGTGAATAATAGTTTATCTCGGGATGCATTGGAGAGGCTCATCGGGGAAGATGATTCGAGCTTCAGTGGCTTTGACCTCGCCACGCTCATCAGAAAGAAGTACGGTCGGTCGTACGATGTCCAGCTTATTAAGAAGGTGAGCCCGCCATTGGCCGAAGCTCATTTACCAAGTTCCTCCTTGATCGACAAAAACCTGAAATATGGTGTTTAAAAAATAAAATTCACATGGGTATTTATATCCCATTATGATGGCACCCATAAGATTAGGATTGGTCGTGTGTCTAGATGCTATCTAATTCTTTTCCAGTGAATTAATCTTGTAAGCTGCCCTCATTTTAGGTTTCTTCTTGCAGGAGTTTATGGGAAGAAATCTATTGGCAATGAACGTGATGTGGAAGTATGTGGAACAGGTATGTCTACTATTAACTTTCAAATGATGGCAATACATATATTGTCACAGTTTCAGAGGTCTTGTGTCAAGAAGCAGATAGCTCTTATTTTAGTGTAGTATATATTTTTTTCTTCTGAAAAAAATTACGGGTTATTAAGGGTTGATAAGTTTATTTTCATTTTTTTCGGAAAAAAAAAATTTATTTTATTCTGTCTGATGGTGTCAGAGATCCTTTCCTTTGACGGAAGAGGAGTACCTGCTGAGGCTCGACGACGTCGCAAACACATTGAAGTGTTGGGGTGCTGTCTCGCATATTCGGAACAGCCTTGAAAGACTGAAGGAACGTCCTCGGATAGGGAAGGTACAGATAAGATATGAAAAGAAGATAAATTTATTCGTAGATGGAATCAAATAAACTTAATCTTCGGCAACCCAATCAAGATGCTCTCAAGGGGCCTTCGCCCCCGCTATTTGCTGGGGTGTTCATCCATTCTATCGTTGCCTTGTTCGCGTTCATATTATGCATGGTTATTGGGTGATATGCTGCTTGCTTTGCGCCATTTAATAAAGGGACAGGAAGGCATATTTATTCATTCGGAAGAATTTCTCTACGTCTACTTGTGCAGGCTGTGAGCATCTTCATTGACATGGATGAGTCCGGGGGACGTTCAAATGAATGGATATACAAATGAATGGATCACAGGAGTTAAGAGTGCCAACAGCCATTCCCAGCGAAAGAATAATTCCTTCCAAAGCAAAATCAGATCGCAGGGGGAAGGGATATTCTCTTGCCGAGCGACAAGCTCTACTGCCGTCAAGGAGAGCCATGCCCATACTGTAACTTCAAAATGTTTCAAGATTCAGCACTTTTCTGTACGTGTAATTTATGGCGAATTATTGATTTTTTGGACGAGATTATGACCTAATAATTATTATGTACCGTGAAATAGTAGGAAAAAATGGAAGAACAAATTTTGCGCCCAGTTGATATCGGTCTGCTTAAGATCAAGTTTGAAAGAACACTAGGCTTCCGATCGTCAATCGTGGTGCCTGTTTTCTTGTTCATCGCGCCGCTGGAGGCACTTTGGATTGTGTGATTAAACTGATCCACACGAGGGGGCATGGAATGATTAAGATTGCCAAAAAAATGATTCGACGATCTCTTCGAATAAACAATTTCCTCTTGTTTCTACCGTAAGAGACTGGGTTAGGGTTTATGAGGCGAGACCATTACAGGCCTTCTTTAGCGCTGTCATTCAAATCCGCAGTAGCAGGATTCGTCTCCACATCGGATTCCCTCTCGACATCGATCTCAGCCTCAGGTTCAGCTTCATACTGCATGGCATCCTGGCCCGTATTTGACTCTGGGCTTTGTTTCTGAACTTCAGGAGTCAACTCCCCAATGTGGGTAGCACCAGCGACCGCAGTATCTGCATCCACGGCAGCTGGTGCGTCTTCTAGCTCAGCGCCACTCGCGCCACCATCCATCTCGGCTGCTGTAGTTGTAACCTTGGATATACAAGTCAATGCACCAGTTTCGTTCTTAATACACTGGAATGTGTTTTCAAATAAGTATTCATCATACCCATAAGAATAATTTCCTGCAGGTTTTTTTGGGATTAAGCATTCAATGCTTAATTCCTTGGGAAAATAATTCAACAAATGTCAACGGATGATACCAACGAAAAATTCACGAGTATGAGCTTGTTTTCCAGGCCGCAAAGGCCTTTGAAGGCCCGCAGTGCCTTAGATGGTGTTAAGCCACATTATCTTTGATAGGGTATCAGGCTAAAAAGTGTCTCAGTCCATAAAATGATTGATCTGACTCGATTTTAGGTGTGCCTAATTAATAAGGAGAGGATGCAGGATGCTGATTTTGTGTACCATCGGCCTTCCTAACTAGCCCGGCCGATTGGCACCAATTGCAAGAAAAACTCGTTTTGTGACCTAGCACAGGGCAATAACCTCAAGAATGAGCGAAGGGATCTACATACTGGCTTGCGCACGTTACAAACTGTACGACTTGGCATGGCAATCGCAAGCATGTTAGAGAATCTTAAGCTATGCAGTGAGCATAAAAAGTCAACAAGAATTGAGTTTTCCGTTTAGCTACCTGGCCTTCTTCCAGTCGCGCTGCAGTAGAAGATTTCGTTTCATCATCCTTCTTAGCTCGTTTGGACCTTTCATTGGTTTTTACATGGAACTTGGAACGAACTTCAGGGGGTAAAAGTTCTGGGGGAACGACTCCCTCAACGCCAGAATCAGTATACTGCGAAATAGCAAAGAAGAACATTTGCTTCAGAATGGGTAGAAATAAAAGGCACCCCTTTGTAGGATCTAGAAAGTAGGATGAGGATTATATACCCGAGAAAATCCTTCCAAGTCTTGCCGTGCAGAAAGTCGAAGACCTTTCCAGCAATAGACCTGAAACTCAGACACAGGTCAGTGATAGTAAGAGAATGGAGAAACTCAGCGAAAAGAATCATCAAATGAACCAACAGTAATATCATTGGAATTATTACATGGGGACAAAGAACTGAAAAGAACATAGGACATGGAGCACATCTGTGCACACCACTTCGTTTATGGCACTTAGTGAATGAGAAATGCTACACTTTAAATCTAATAGCCTAAATATTTGATCTGGTCTTTTTGAAATCAGCAGGTTTGGAGGAAATAAATAAAAACAATGTAACTTCATCTCTAAGAAGGAAAACTGTTTGAAGAGACATCTATGGCAACTGTAATCCATATTAATTAACAAATCGTCAAAAATAAATAAATCTATTTTATATATATCCTTTTAACCTTCCCTTAGCTGTAAATCTAAAACGAGTTTATATTTATCATGTATTAAATAGTGTTATAGGTCATACATGAAACAAGCATCCATAAGACAAACTAAATATGGGTATTCAACGAGCGGTTGTCTGGCATACACGCGGATCATTTACCAACTATTAAACACAAAACATACTCTATTGTTTTTGTGGTGATATTCGGCTTCTATTCCGGCAGAGGGATCCATCTGAAATTTTCATGTCAACAATTGAGAATGTCAGCAAACTCTTACTGGAGGGAAAGGAAAATGTTACAAAACTATACGCATCACACACTATTGGTTGCAGAGGTTTCTAGAAGAATATTCATCACAAGCAAAAACTAAAGGGCTACAGAAGCAGATAAGAGAAAAAAATACGCAATCCTCGGGATAATAAAAAATAGAGAGTTGTTGAAAAGCTCACATCTTCTGCGAGGGGTTTCCAATATTCCATAACTGATGGTGTGCGCACACGATGGGGATCAGTTAGAGCATTCTGGAGTTTCAACAATAGTTAAAAAACAAAAAAAATACAGAGACTCAAAGAAACTACATATATGCTAGTATAGATTGAAAAAGCAGAGATTGACGTTCAAAAAAGAGAAAGGATTGCGTAAATAAATGAGAAGGCTCCAATTTAGAACATATCCCATCTATCGAGGCATCATATTATCTCTCAGTTTAATGTTACATAGGGTCTTGGGATAAGGGGCTGATGACAGAAACGACTGTTCAGGTATTAGAATAGGAAAAGGTGATTAAAACCGAGCACCAAAAATTTCAATAGCAAAACTCAAATTACACTTTCTGTAGCATTGCAGTAGATAACACTGAAGAAATACTATAAAGATAACGTACTGGATTCTGATCTGCCCACTTCCACAACTGTGATAGCTCTTTATTTCCCAAGCGATACCTAGGCCTCCTGTGCAACAAAAAAATCAACATCAACTACAGCAGAGGAAGCCTGCATGTGTGCATGTGCCTGTGATGCCGTCAACAAATTGAATTAGAAAACGAAACATCTATGCACTATTAGAATGCTACTGCAAAATACATCAAATAGGCAATAAAATTAGGATTGCTCCATCCAGTGTACCTAATAGACACTTCCCATGAACATATTTGAACACAAAAAACAGTGGCAAAATACTAATTTCGTTAACTAACAAAGAGAGTTGCTACATCCAAAAACTGTAGTTTTTAATGGTAGTAATTACGATCTTCAGGACAGCCAATAATATTCTGAGAGTGAGTTGTGGTCTCACGCCTCACAAACGGTGTACACAACAAATATTCGATCAGGCGAAATTTTTTAACCAAAATGATATCAGACGACAAAAGGCCAATAAGACAGTCCAGGGGCCTAGAATTTGAGCTTCAAGGAAACAGAGAGAGTTAAAATTTGGAAGAAGAAACATGGGTTAAATGATTGAACGTCTAGAAATCTAAGGATTAAGGTTCGTAAGCTGGAGAGATTACCAGAATTTTAGACCTGAATTCGGCAATAATTCACACCACACACAAACCCAAGAACACTATAAAGGAGAATGGAATCAACAACCATCAAGAGACGAGCAGATCAAGTAAGCAGTGCAGAATAAAGTACTTCCCATTTTGGAGTTCCCAATCCACCAGGACCAACATATCTTTGAGGCACTTCAAGCCAGTGATAATGTCATCCTCAAGAAGACTTTAGATTTTCGAACGTAGCATCATTAATATCTGTGTAGTATGTGCAGCACAACTAGGATTATCTGAAGTAGACTATATGAAGGAGTGTTTAGCATAGTAAATTATCACTAAAAATCACAAATATTGACTCAGATTCTAATATCATTCGAGTAGTGTGTTAAAGATCATACATTTTCATTCATTAATGTTATTTCAATTTCTACTTTTTATGGGTTTTACATAATGGACAAACTTTCCCATATCTTCTGAGATACTACCATAATCTATCTGTAAATTATTGATAAAATTCACAGATTTCAATGCATTATATCTGCTTCATTCCTTGGGTTAGAAAACACGCACTAAACTTTTAGAATGCCAAGGTGTATATCAATCTTAGTATCGCTTCCAATATGCTAAATTTTTAAGTCTCCACGGTGACTTCTAGTATTTGTCGCTTTAAAACTGCATTTAGAATATTCTCTTAAAATCTACAGACCTATCTATACAGAATTATTTCTGTTGTAGTTAGATCCGCCGATTTTCTTCCCTATTCAGCTTAATCAATCTGAACATGATTGAGGCTGGGTCTAGTCTATCCTGATGGCTGCTCCAATCCTGTAATTCTTGAAGTATTCCATTATAAAAAGTGAATGGACATAAACAAGACTATTCAGTGCAAAAGTAACGGTGTGAAAAAAAGAAGAATACAAGCTGATAATAGCCATACCGTTTTCTAACTCCATCTTGACCAGTTTTTCTTTCAATTGCAGGTTTTTCAAATGCTGGGCAACCATCTCGTTTCCACCAAACCTAAGAAGTTCGACGAGGTTGAGAAGCATATAATACCCCATGCTCACAAGTAGTAAATAGTATCGAAGGTTTGCTTGATTAGACATGGATATTATGTACCAAAATAACTTAAAGACTTACCCAATTTTTTTCTCGTTCCAGTATATGTTCAATGCTCTGAAGAAACTCCTTTCCATCGGGGGGAGTCACTTCGAGAAGCTTCTTTACACGTTCTTCACATGTTGTAATTTCTTCCTTCTGACGAGCAAAAGAAAACGATAATTTATTTGATGACAGGTGAATTGTTTTAAAATAATGATGGAACTTGTTTGAGAATCTCTTTATTTACGGCCATTTAAACAGTGAGATGCACTCAATTTTACTGGGATGAAAAATTCGGATGGATAAGTTTATACAAGACGACTGGATTTCTAGTAGCCAAAAAACATCTTTCTATTGCAAAATGCAGAGCTTTCTATGATAATGACATACAGTATAATATTAAGGCACAGATCTAGAACATGCGCTTTCACCGTAGATATCTGAGGCCAGGTAAAGAATCGAAAGGACCATTTATTAAACTCCACTTTTAATAAAAAATTCAGCCAATGATGCATACAACAAGAGAAGAACAAACTAAACTGACACTTACAGATAATGTCGGATATGAATCAATAATATCATCTTAAGTACCAAAAGACAAGGTTTAAAGTAACAAGAGCAAAAGTTTCATGAAATATTGAGGTTCAGTAATGATTTCTACAGTTAGACTAGTCAATCAATCAATCATTATAAATAAATGAGCTGATAAAAAACTGTTACAAAGGCAACAACAGGAAAATTGATGACAAGACAGAATAAAATAAACTGGAGCAAATTAGATTATCAAAATCCTAAAATGGTGTTACTTCTTACCATGCTTTCAGAAGGTCCATCCTTGTCATTTTTACCTGGCGTCTGCTTGGCATACAGAGGAAAGAGAACGTTAATCATACAGTAGATGAGATATGACTTTGAAAGGAAACATAGGGCTCATGATTTATTTACATTTTTTCAGGACAGGAATAGGGTCAAAAGAACCACCACTCTACCCACAAAAGAAAGTCACGCTGTTGCTTTCCAATTCATCCTTGCATTGCCTAATATTCAAATCCTACCAATATCTGCATTAATAAACCTAAACATTTGCATGATCTTCATGAGTTACCTAAATTTGATATTTTTATCATCCATCTTTGTCTCTAAGGCCATACGCAGACTGGCGGTCTTGAAACTCATCAGGATCTTCTAATTACAGATGCATCAATCAATTGACAACAAACAACCATCAAGGATTTGTCGGTTTATCATAAATTACAAATAGCTATTGGATGAAATACAAATTCGCGTGTAGTCTTTGTTGTACTACGCTGTACTACCTTGAGATAGTCAAACAGTATGAGGCACTGCAAAAGGATATGGCGACGAAAACTTGGGTCTTTCAACTGCAACCACGAAATAAAAACACTAAGAATGAAGGGCGCTATCCCAAGTGAAAGAAGAAATGATATATCAGAAGATTCACACAACATCAGTAAGGCCGGTCACTTTCCTATTACATACCTCTAAACCCATCAATTTACTACTTGTCAAGTACTTAATGCTGAAAGCTGTCTCTTCTTCTTCGAGGATATTCGAATTTCCATCATCTTCACTTAATGGTTGAGCTTCAAAAGTATCCAGTACAACCTAAAATTTAATCATTACAAACGGATAACGAAGACAGGGGAAAATATTAACAGAAAGAAAACTTTTCTAAAAAGGAGAAATGATGAAGAAACACAATATGAATACCATTAGCCTGGATGAAAATTTCTGCCAATTGGTGGGTGCAAGAGTTGTAGAAGCTGGACTTCGGAAATGTTCCTGGTCACACAAAACAGGGAATTACACTATCAGTTATCACAACAAGTAACAGTAATAATGAATAAAAGATTGTGTCATATACAAGTTTAAAAAATCCTCCTCTAAGCCGTGGAAAGGTGAGTCGATCCATTATTAAAAATAAATGAGTTTATTAACCCGTTATTCTTGAAATTAAAACATACCCAAAGTTGCACATATTGTTCTAAAGCAGAAAAAAACCTCTCAGCAACACCCAAGTTACCTGTTCAAGTACTATTAAAAATTGCAAAAGCAGATTCCAATTAAACGAAACCCTATTTGGTAGGAGCTAAAACAAGAATTAAGCTGAGACATAATCGCCTTTTTTTTTGTATTTTTTTCTTTTCCTACCAAACAGTGCCCCAAACATCAAAAATATGAGCAGTCAGTTCATTTCTTTCATAATAGAGAGCATGCATAGTGGAAAAGAAACAGATCTACGAAGGTAGCAATGCACAAAATCAATGTTAGGTTTTATTTCATGTCATGGAATGTCATCACAAGTGCTCACGTGATTAATCTAATTTATTTTAAGTTTAGATTAGTCATTTAACTCACTATTGCTTCTTTTTTGTAATTTTTATAGAAGGAAGAGAACTGATAATGAAAACCTGCAAACTCCAAAAGGTCTTGTAAAAGTTGAAATCCATGGAAATTCCTGAATGGCCAAAGAGGAAAAAAAATTAGACATCTCGGGTAAAGGAAGAAATACATTACATACAATGAGATCAGAGATAGATTTAAGGAAAGCAAACGATTTAAGTTTTGACTCTATTCTAAAGTCTACCATACCATCAGGTGCATCTTTCTCGTATTTTGTTTCATTTGATGTGTTGAAAACACCCTTTATATTCACAGCTGTAAAAAATAGGGAAAATAGTAAGCCCTTGCAAAATAAAGGCCTAAATGGGAAATGAATAAGCATCCAATTTCCAAACAAAGGGGAAAAAAACCTTACCCGAGCGCTCAGATAGCGGGAAAAAGTGAGCGAGAAACATAAGGATTCTTCCACAAAATACCACGTCATTTGCCTGAAAAGTTTAATTTATTTCGTCATCTAGACACAATGATAACGTAAAACATAATAATGTACCAGCTTGGGACAGTCTGGAAGGAAAGAACACACTTTTGAAGGAAAGAACTCTCCAATTTGACAATATCGAAAGTTTCAGCAGAAAAGGATTTAGAAGCCAGAATGGCCGTTAGCTTTGGTTTTGGGTGTTTGAGAGCAAATGAGGCATCAAATCTATAATACACTAAACCGGTAGCTGTTTCAATATATAAAACCTTACCTTTGAAAGCCGACGAAGGAGTTGATTACATGTCCGCAGCATCACAAGTTTCCCTCGGCCAAATAGCTCTTGCTGAAGGTGATACAACCTGATATTAAATAATAATCGTGGACCACAGATGCTTGAAACTAGAAGCTGAAAATACAATATGTTTAGAATTGCAGAGAAGGATGGATAGCATACTTTTCCTAGGACATCCTGTTTGCTTTCAATGTAGCCAAAAACTTCCTTGCAGTCTTGCATGGTCGACATTTCTGTTAAATCTTCTAGAAGCTGAAATATCATACCACCTTCAACATGGCCGTTTTCACAAAGGTACAAGACAACATCTGAGGAACAAAAAAATATAAATCATAACATTATTTTTTTACTGAGAAAACCGAAAGCCATTTCAAGAATACAGGATTCCTAAATAAAGAGATAAAAAAATAATAAGGTGAGCCCCCGCAAATGGACCAGCTCAAAAAGTGCGATAAGGCCAGAGGTACAAACCAAGGAGGCGTGGTATTTGACCGCATGCACTCTCTGCATCATCAATTGATTGTCCAAATTGCATGATCCATTCATCTGACTGGACAGCAGATGACTGGAAAGGAAATATGAGCAGCACTTAGCATAGAAAGAAGATGATAGAAGTTTTATTGAAACTCATGCATAATCAAGTCAATAAGAGCGCCCAGAAAATTAAATAAAAGTCTCGAGCAACCGATATGGGGTGCATTTACGCATATGTACCTGGCAGGATCAACATTTATAAGTGTGTGAATCTATGTGACCTGAACGAGGTTAGTTCCAAAATGCCAGGAGAAATATAAGGTAAGGTATTGAGAGGGGTTAAAGCAGAGACACCAGTGTTGTCACATTCTAATATTGTTCTTTCCCGGGAATATGAACCTGAGAGTGTAGTTCCTTCCTCCCACCGCAAAAAAAAAAAAAGGTGCTGCACACTACAACCACGCCACGTGCACATTAAAACCATTTCAAGCCTTCAGATTAGATTACTAAGCCATGCTAATATTATCCAAAAAGGGCATGTTCTCTCAAGTTTGTATGGTTCTTCAAAAGTCGGTATCCCTCTTCAAAGGTCTGGGGCCCCTTTTTAAAAGTCAGTCTTCCCTTAGTTTGTTATAATTGGGGCCCCTTCTCTCCCTCTCGCCTCTGGCGTCAAATCCTTAGTTTGTTATAAGTGGGGCCTGAATGGCAAGTGGCCACTTGTGGAAATTTTTTGGGAAAGCCAATCCTCTTATTCCTAGACGAAGCTTAATTGAAGGAGATAAAGAAACCAAAGACGACAATAAAAAAATATTTTCCTAGGGAGCTGCGGTACAATTTCCTTATTTTGGTGTTTCATATTTTCTAATTACTGAAAAATAGGAGAATGAATGACTCTAGTACATAGTCATCATTTAGAAACAATCCAAAACGACACCATGTAACATCAACATTTTATAAAAATGACAACATATTTTATAATTTCATCTATTCTGCTGCAGTCAAAATTTTGCATTTTCTAAGTTATTGATATATGTGCTGCGCACACCCAGTGTCATGCATAAAAAACGTAGGACGAAGGTTCCTTTTGCCATTTATCATCAAGGGAGACGGATGAACCCCTTTCAAGCAAATTGAACTCGTCCAAGAAGCAGTAACAAAGTTATTCATGATGCAATTTGCCATTTTCAAGGGAATTCTCCGTGCAATTCACCTGAACGGGAAAAGGGAGTAAACTTGAAAAAAGCATTGCCAAGATTAGGAACTTACGACCAGTTCCTGAAGTAATGCACGAAGTGAATTTTCCAGTAACTGATTCTCATCTTGAACCAATACTGTTTGTCTCTGACAACAAAACGCAAAAAGGCAGATCAGATAGATTTAGAACCAGCTGAGCCCGTCATGGGTTTTAAAAAAAATGAAATAATGCCACTAAATTTATCAGCAACGTCATTTAGCATGATGGCGCGGAGATATGCTGTGAAATAGTAAGGGCGGTTTAAAAAAAATAGCTTCTTGCACCTGAGGTCTAATAGCTTCTTGCACAGCCTGAAGAGCAAACTTTTCAGGTGGCGCAGGATTCAATATGGCATTCTTAAAGACTTCCTGCCAGGAGAAATGAAAGAATGAATTATAGAGGTACAGTGAAGAAATGCAAGACAAATATCGGTCTATATATGTGGTACGTTCTGACTTCTGAAAAACCAGTTAGGGAGATATTTGAAAGAAGCTAGAAGCAGCACCCCACTTTTCCCTTTTTAAATGCTGAAAGCTTCAAAACATTTGAAAATGGAGATCTCTAATGAAAAGGGTTCTATCAGAGAACAATTAGCTAATTTAGATTTTAGAACTATTACACATAATTCATTGATGGAATGGAAGAAATTTGGAGATGAAGGCTCCATCACGAATGAATGGGAAGATGGAACTATTCAAAGGACTAGATACTATGATATAGAACAGCGACAAACATGAAGATTTACTTTTCTGCAGAAACCATTCTAGAAGAGGGCCGTAGTTTGTAAAGATGAAGATGGTCTTTAAACGCAATATTTCTCCAGTCCAAGATATCCTAAATGCTTTCTGCACATGTTGCTGAATTTTTGAACTTCGTAAGTTGCAATCTATGTCGAGCAGATAAGATAGGCCCATTTCAAGATTATATATTTTGATCCAAACTTTACAAAGGCTATAAAATCCTTGAGACCTGGTCCCTAGCCAGATGAGATCAAATTCACAGAAGCAGTATAGGAGTTTTCACAACAGCAGGAAAGAAGCAAGGATACAGAACTAAAATCCACGGATGTGTTCGTTAAGCCAACTAGGTTTACCAATTAACAAGTTGAGGGAAAAAAATGATGGCTGCAATTACGTCAAACTCAAAAATCCCTCATTACAGGGAATATGTGAGAATTTTGGACCAAAATATAAGTAATCAACAAATGCATTTTTCCCAGATCAATACATTATTCGACTTTGAGATAGCGCACACCCAGACTAATGACTTCATAAAAAAGCAGTTTGGCAGTCTAGCCATTTGATTGAAGAAAGCATCTCGGGCCTTTTATCTAACGCTATGCTAGTTAGGCAACCTTAGCTTCCATCAGCGCCACTGATTTTTCTATTTAACCAGAACCTAAATGGTACTCCTCCACAAGTTCCTCCCAGTAGAGAAACATTACGATTAAAGTCTCTTTACAGACAACCTTCTCCACATTTTTTCGCTGATGATATTGGTATGCGACTCATACAAGCCAGATCACTTCATCAGTTCTCTCGTTCCAGCTTCAATAAGACTTTCTAATATCTAGATTTTCTACTATTTTCTTACTTGGGTTTTTCATAGTTGACTAACACAGTCTTATCAAGAATCGCCGGTCCTACAGCCATCTTCAGCATTTTCTTCTTTGGACAAAGTCATCAAATCATTGTATATGCTATCGTTCCCCTGAGAAATAACGGATTTCCCTTCTCAGCACCACTTTTATAGTTGTGAAGAAGCAAAGGAACAAACATATAATTACACAAAAATCTGCTAACAGCCTTTAGTTCATGAGTCAAAGCAGAAATACCATCCAGTCACCAGTTCGACTACTCCTATGCGATTCATCGGTGCATTCAGATGGTGTTAGAAAGGGTCGTTAGACCACGGACCTCGCCGAAAAACAAGATACACAACGTAGAAGGAAAATTTCAGCTCCCTGCACCTGAATTTCTCTTTGTGGGATGTCACCGCAAGAACCGCACAAAACTGAATTAGCGCAGTGCTCAACTCTCCGATGAAGACATACTCCTAGGGTTTGACGAAGGCACAAATGGGCTACCAAGTTTAAAAACCAGGAGCCGACCAGGGAAGAACCAATGGAAAGAGTTCATCAGCAGGATCCAGAAGACAATACAAAAGAACGACGGCTCTTACAATAATCCTATCCCGATCGCCATGGCTCGAGACAGGAACCGGCCCTCGTTCTTTCACGTGCTTGTGGAGAAGAATCTTGAGGCCCGAGGACGTTTCCGCCATTGGAGAGGAAGAGGCGCCTGAACGTTGCTCCCGACTCCGTCGCTTCCGTCTTTCCCTCCCCTCTTCAATGTACTAGGGTGAACTGGGAGGTTGGGCCCAGATATATTTACACAACCGGGCCCAATAGCATACGGCCCAACCCAGATAGGCCCGTCACCGCTGGTAAGCCTCTTAACGGACCGATATGTTTAAAATAAAAAAGGCCTCGTCAGGTCACTAAATAAGCCGGCCCATTATTGGCCCATTCATTGACCATGAAGCTAACATAACAGCTGAAAGTGCCATCCTCATCCCAACTAAGGGCTCTCTCTCTCTCTCTAGCCGAGGAAGGCGTTGTTATATAAAATGAAGAAATAATCCCCACCGGAGACCGGCGAGATTCGTCGGAATCTGGCCCGCCGGATGCGCTGTCCGCTCGAACCACGGCAAGGGCATCCTACCCTCATCATGAACCCCGCCGTCAGGGCATAACCTTGCCAGGCGCAGAGGCGCACAGCTGGCCGGAAGATGCCAAATCAGACGGCCAGAAGATCTTGTCCGTATCTTCTGCGTCAGCGTACGGACGGCGCGGAGTCTTCGTGGATAATGGCGGTGGGAATACGACGCGGCGGCGCGACCCAACGCTGAAGATGGGCCCAGCGGCCCGCCATATTCTCTGGTTTTTCTTTTTCCCCTGCTTTTAAGGAGCCCATTTGTACGTGGCAGGCATCGGACAGCCGCCGCCGCCGTAGGAGCAGAGCGGAGATCGCACCAGAGATGAGAGGATATAGCGCAGCTGACACGATGCAGAGTACGCTTGTAGTTGTTGGTGTTGGCTTGTGGAAAAGATAAAGGAGAGAGAATTATGCCCCCCTCCATATCTAATTATGACTAAAAAGCCACAGTTTCCAAGACGTTGACATTAAGAGAGATCTCCCTCGGCAGTTGGCCCCGCCGCCAGAAGATCCTCCCATCCTCCTCACACCGATCTTGTTGGTGGTAGGTCAATGACTGATGAAAAGGTTGACCTCAGAGCAGGCGCCGGCTAGTGATTTATATCCCGGTGCTCGCACGTGCATGGAACGAAGGGAGGGGTGTCGACACCGCGAGCCTCTGGCCAGCTCCGAATCCAAGGAGGAGGATCTCATAGATATTATGGGCCGTAACAGGGAAGAGCCTCCCTGCGACAACTCTCAGAGCGGGGAAACTAACGGGGATCCCCATCAGAGCAAGTAATATCTGTGGAGAATCGAGATCATTGCAGATTTCTTCTCCTCTCTCTCTATTCCTCCTCCCTATATCTCTCTATATCCTCTCTAGCTCTCTGCTTGTCGGTTCGCGGGAACAGATTTCTCCTGGTTGGACTCCACATCGTGATCTCGTCCTTTTCCTCGGGATATTCTATGACAGATGCGTCAATATATGGGGGCCTCGACTCACAGCGCTGCCTCGATATATATAGGAAGGCGCTGGGTTGGGTATGCCGCTGTGAACCCATCTGTCGAGCTCATCACCGCTGCTTTTTGTGCCGGGCAGAGAGAAGGAGCTGATGTCGACGTCGAGCGGGGGAGCGTCGGCGAACGGCGGCGGAGGAGGAGTGGGTGAGCTGCATGTCCTCGCCGTGGATGACAGCTCCGTCGGCCGGAAGCTGATCGAGAAGCTGCTCACAGGGTTTCCTTACAGAGGTATGCGGCCTCCTGCTCCTCCCTCTCTCCCTTGCCATGATTTCTCGCTGCCGATTTGACGGAAGCGCTTCTGTGAGTAGTCACGACGGTTGACAGCGGAAAGCGGGCGCTGGAACTTCTGGGGATCGGGAAGGAGAACGGCGGCTCCTCCAAGGTCGACCCTCTTCTATCCCGATCGATTCATCCCGTCCGATAATCTGCAGCATCTCCAATTGTCCTCGAAGATCCTAATGGTGACCATAATTCTTCTTCAAATCAGGCTGCCGAGGTGAATCTGATACTGACGGACTACTGCATGCCGGAGATGACCGGCTACGATCTCCTCAAGCGGGTCAAGGTACCCCTCCAAGATCCCGCATCCTCTCATCTGGCTCCTCTCTGACTGTAACACTCTCCGATTTGAAGGGATCGTCTGCGCTGAGGGACATACCCGTCGTCATCATGTCCTCCGAGAACGTCCCCAACAGAATCAGCAGGTGAGCTCTTGACCAAGTCTTCTTCGTCCTCTCCGAGAGCGTTGGTCTTTTCCAGTAGTAGGCATGGTCCTGCCTTCTGCAGCAATGAACGGGAGGAGAAAGCCCTGCAGGTGCATGGAGGAAGGTGCAGTGGATTTCCTCCTGAAGCCCCTCCGCCCGGCGGACGTCTCGCGGATCATGAACATCATGACGGGCTCCAAGTAGCCCCCGGAGCGAGAGAGAAACCAAGGCGGCGCGCCACCGCCTCCGATTTTGGCCGCCATGGGCATCCTCGAGTTTGGCGGCGGTTTTTAAGGAACAGGAAGCGATGGCGGGGTGGGTGGCGGGGAGATGTGAACAGGGTTCGTCTTTTGGGGAGCAAAACGCACAAGCAAACGATGTCCTGACGTTTTATTCCGCGTAGATCGTTCCTCTCGGACCGTAAAAACTCTTCCTTTTTTTCTTCCCGTGTAGAAGAACATCGTGAACAGGTGATAGCAATCAATGGAGGCCTTCGCCATGCGATGAAATTGGGCACACATTTTCGAAATTCCTATACGTACTAGGGAAAAAACTAGTAAAATTAAATTTATTTCGTTCCTCAAGCCTCCAGTTACGAGAATTTTGGTTCAATTTCTTCACGGAGAACATTGATCAGAATTACAGGTCAAGCGTCCAGATGTCAACGGGTCCTGTATCTCCTTAATAGCTGCGGGGGCCATTGAATCCGGAGAAGATTCGGTTTCACATCATACATGTACCGCTGTCGATTTTAATCTTCGATCGATCCTATCCTGGGTACTAAAAGCGGCGTGACCCGTCCTCTCTACTGTTGACGAGGAGCAACAATAAATTACCCGTTCGAGGAATTAATGGGTCAAACTAACTCTCTTCAGTGCGTCCATTGATGGGGATCTCGATCTAGAAACTAGCAATTCAGCGCACTTAATGGCCGTGTCTAGACGTCCACGTTCTTCATTGGTTCGCTTTGTGATTAATTCGGGACATTAAGGACGAGTTCCGAAGTGCGTCGTAGAAAACTAAAACAAAGTGTGTAAAGGACCGGAGTTAGCCTATGGTCTTAATCGACCTCTTAAATTTCTGAATTTGGCCCTCAAAATCATCCCCACGAAAAATAAAATCACGTTGGCGGTATTTTCTCTCCATGTATTCATCTCAAAGTCATGCATGTGGAAGGACATCTCTCTCTCTCTCTCTCCCTCCAAGCAAGTAGTATTGGTAGATAGCCGCTGGGGAAGTTTTGTTCTCGAACGATCTCGACAGAAGCTGAAGGACCCACTCTTTTTTTGATCCATCAGACGAGGAAAAACGGCTACTATGTACCCTAAATTTGGCCTAACACGGATGGTAGAAAATCCCAGTCGGAACCATAATCTGACCAAATCCTCGCACGGAAACATTCACGCGTGAACAAAGAGTATCGGAAGTCAACTGATATACGATTTGTTTCCGTACTCTGATCAATATTCGTATGCTTCTATCAATCATAGTTCTCGATTTAATTATTTTATAATCAACATCGCGAGTCTATCAGCTCCAATTCACATTTTATGAGTTGTTGTAATCGCGAATTCCACGCGTATTTATATAAAGTTCTTGTACACATTTTTCCTAGTTCACATTCCACGCTATCGGTTTGTCCGTTTCTTACACTCGCGCTTCTCAGACTAATTATCTCAGTCGGACACGAATTTCCCAGGCAACAAGATCTCGAGCGAAGACGAAATGAGGGAGATTTTTTACCAGATCACTGTGTTATATTTTACTTATTACGGTCAATGTGAGCATCGCCTGGATCATTAGTATTAGTGCTTAAATATTAAAATAGTAACTAAATTCAAGATAAATCGGTGGCTGGTGAAGTGGCCCACATGATCAGAAGAGTTTTATGCGGCATTCTAAATATGGTGATGTTGTAGCTCATTAACGGAAGAGATGAATGCGAGTGGATAGGGTCAACAAGAATCTACGGGATGGTGCCCACAAGGATTTGAACAGGGACACGTGAAGTCGCGAAGGGGCGGGGGGAATGCGACTGAGGGCAATCGATACTGTTCATTGGTGTATTCTTTGGAGAGGACTTTCCGGAGGATTAGATTCGATAAGCTCCCTTTGTCCTTTCATGGATAGTTGATCGACCTCCGAGCTCTCAACAGACCCACCATTTCATCTAGACGCAAATGTCGTGAAATCGAAGGGAGGGCCCGAAGGAGGGCGCCCCGGATGAATTTGGCGGCCGCTGGGTGTCCCCTCCGGCGGGGGCCAGCGGAGTGAGTGACGGAGGAAGAAGAAGACAAGAAGAAGAAGAAGAGGAAGACCAAGAAGAGAAAGTCCATTGATCGTGGTCACAAAATCCTGATATCTCCGGTGGAATTCACAGGGAGAAGAAGATGCACCGTTTGCTAAGGAAAAGTGTCCTGGTTTCCTTTCTCTCCGCTTGCGGAAAGCCGTGCTCAGCCCGGAGATGGGGTCTCTCTCTTCGGTCCCTTGCTCTGTGCAAAATCTTCTGGCTCTGCCTCATCTGCCTCAAATCCGTCTCACGCAGGAAGTAAATGAAATGTGGGCCAACGCGTCTGCAAGTTCATTCGGAGAGGAAGGAGACAGCACGCTGGGAGGAGAGCTTCCGGGGGAAGATGCCAAGGCCCGGGGCGAGAATGCTGAAGGGGTCAAACTGCGACTTCCTCGCAGAGAACCGCTGCCACTTCCTCCCGAAGTGCTCCTGCCACTGGCCCTGCGCCGAGTAGAAGGGCAGGTACTGCTTCGCCCCGATCGGCGGCGAGCCGCCGCCGGCCACGGCGGTGGCGGTGCGCACGATGTGCCGGTTCTGGCGGAGTATCTCGCGGAGGCACTCCGCCGGGCAGGTGGCGGGATTGGCCGAGCGGAGGACCCCGACGGTGTACAGCACGTTGTCCGTCGCCGGTGAGGCGTCGGCGTCCGGCAGCACCGCCGATGTGTTGGAATCCCACCTGTGGTGGCGAGAGAAGACGGGGGAGGGGTTAAAATCAGCATCGCGATGCTAACCGACGTGCCCTGGTTTTCAATTTTCTCACGAACTCGCGATGTCCGTAGGTGGTGTAGCTCTGCAGCAAAAAGCTACAGCCCGCGACTTTGTAAACCGGAAAGAAAAGAATACAGGAAAGGAAGAGAATGAGATCAGAGTAAATACTGACTGAATCCACAGGCAATAAGACAGGGAGGGGTAGAGAGAGAAAGCCTTTCCAGTAAAGGCGTTGGATGCTACTGCAGACCAGACATATCTCCTCGCGGCAGCAGCGCACACTACTGCAGACAGATTTAGAGAGAGAAACAGGAGGGAGCCCGACGGAGGGGAAGAAGAAAGCAGCCTCGTTAACGGAAGCCAAATAGGAAAGCTCTATTCGCAGATGCGAATATTGCCCACGCTTCCTCCTCTGTTGGATACCCTGTCCGCTTTCTCGAAGAAACAGTGTAGCCCTGTTTCCAGTGCCAGCCTGATGTGCCGGGTCATCGTCTATCGATGACGACAGAAAGACAGATCGAGAGAGAGAGAGAGAGAGAGAGAGCGAGAGAGAGAGAGGAGGAGGGAGGAGGGGGTGACTGTGAGGCAGGATGGGAAGATACGAACAACTAATGGTGTCAACGTTTGTTTGGGTGGTCCAGATTGAAGGATTTGCCTGGCGAGCGGTTTCCTGCACAGAGGACTTGACACCACGAGCCCAGCTGCAAGCAGCAAGCTAGGGGGACCCCGGGGTCCCACGAAAGGTCGGCGATGGCCTCGGGTTTCTTCATCAGGGGAGAAAAGACGAGAGTTTGATGCAGAATAAAATCACCATTAATGGGGTTAGATCTAGAGGGGAAGGGAGGAAGGGGTTTTCGAGTTTCTTACTTGTCCCTTAGTATGGGGTACATGAGGAGGGGGCCTTCGAAGTCCTCGGAAGAGATGGTCTCCATGAGCATGTCCAGGAACCTTGCGATCCCTCGCTTGGGAACGAACATGTTGAGCCAAGGGTGGGGGACGTCCCACAGACCCCTCCCCCTGAGGTTGGTCTCCTCCATCCTCACCCTGTTGAGGAAATCGAAATAGGAAACCTCCACGCTGTGGATGAGCGCCGGCATGTGCCTCAGCCGCTTCGTGACCTCCGCCACCTTCAGAAAAAAATGGAAGAACACCACGACCTCAGTTCAGTCTCAGCTCCCCTAATTTCGAGCAACTGGATAATTAAGCTGGGATTTAGAGCTTACTTGATCCGCTGCGGACTCGGTTTGCTCATAGTCGTGGATGGCGAACTCCAGGCAGTAGTAGACCTGGCGGCGCCGCCCTTGGAACTGGAGGGTGAAATCCAGATTAGCAGGGAAGGCGACGTAGGAGCTCAGGAGGGATCCCTCGTTCGGCACCACGAATCCCTCCACATAGTCCACTATCTCCGGCCTAGAAACCAGCAACTCCTGGTCTTCGATGAAGATCTCAAAGTCGTCGTAGAAGGCTCTGACCCATTTCACCTGAGAAACATCGACCCACTTAGTTCTTCAACATCCCAAAAGACCGCAAGACTCGGAGAGTATTAAGAGAGGAAGGAAGAACTCGAGGAAGTTCTTTCCTCTGATTAGAAAATTCTGGGGGTTCACCTTCTGGGGAGCATCCTGCAGCAGGATCCTAGCCCTGGTAATGATGCCGAATTGGCCGAGCCCGCCCAAAACAGAGTAGAAGAGCTCCGAGTTTGCGCTGGGCGAGCAGGTCACGCGGACTCCCGTACCTATGGAGGATCAGATCGGATCGGACACTGTGATGGAGAGGACGAAAGCGAAGATGAAGACGAAACGTGGGTCTTCTCTTACCGGTCACCACTTCCAGTTGAAGAACATTACTGATCTGTGGGCCGTACTTGAAGGTCTGGCCACTGATTCCGGCATTAGAGAGAGTCCCACCGACGCTAAGATAGAGATAGTCCGTCCAGGACCTCGGTGCTAGTCCCTCCTTCAGGCTCTCTTTCAGTAGCTCAATCCAGAGAGTCCCGCCGCTGACGTCTGCGTAAGAGAGGCCTCCCTCCTCGTCCCCCTTCCGGTAGATTTCAATATTGGCCGGGAGGGAGTCCATCTCCACGACAATGCCGTCGTGCGCCTGGGCCTGTCCATGGATGGAGTGACCTGCTCCTCTGGCCGCCACAGTGGCCTTGCTGTAGGATGAGGTTGCGGAGAGGGAGCTGAGAAGGAGGGAGATGTCCTTTGGGGACTGCGGCCTGAGGATGGCGGAAGGGGAGTTGAAGAGGATCCGCCCGAAGTCGACGGAGGCTGTGTTGACGTTCTGGAGGAAGTTCAACGGTCCAAAGTCCACGGGGCTCTGGATGAACTTGCAGGGCGAGTGAAGGGCTAGGAGGAGGAGGATAACGACGACTCTGGTGCTGAACAGAGCAAGCTCCATGGCTGCAGAGAAATAAACCTAGGAAGACCGAGGGTCCTTGGTGGCTTTGATGAAGCGAACGGGGAATCTAAGGAGAAGGGGAAGACCCGGCGGAGGATGGATCAAACGCCATGAATTTGCAGATGATTTCCAATGAAACCTTAGCGATGCCTCCCAACGAAGAACATCTCGTGAGGAAAAGGATTGGGATTGGAGCGTGTCGAACCTGACAAAGGCAAAGATTGAACGCAGAAGAACCTCGTCGAGTCTGTCCTCCCCTCCGACCTTCCCTTCGATGCCAGCCGCCAAACAGACGAGTAGGGAATGAACACCAGATGTAAACCGGAAAACCAGGGCACCGAAATCTTCCCTGAGGGAGGAGGCAAAAGAGGAAAAGAAAACAGAAGAAGCCCAGCACGGAGAGCGCAGGAGGAACAACCAAGATACCCTGGGATTTACATCAATTTATTGGCTGAGAAGAGAGAAATTCGAGCACCAGCAGCCCAGGATAGAGAAGCCGTCACTCAAAAGCAAGCGACCCCCCGGCGAAAAGGAGAGAGGAGCCGAGAACAGAAGAGCTCCTGTCGAAAAAGGACGGAGGATGGTGGTGACGGGTCAAGTGGCCAAGCTTACTGCACCCTTCATCGCCACGGGGGCTGTCTTTTTGTGTTTATAAGGAGGGAGAAGGGAGGAGAGGGGAGGTGTAATGGGGAGAGAGAATCACACCGTCCGGCTTCAAATCTCATGGGTCCCCAAATCCACATATATAGTGATATATAGGAATCAGCCAATCATCGTCGCGAGCAGAGCGGCAATCGTCGTAGTCGTCTGCATCATCTCCCTCCGCCACGGCGGAGCCACCCTCCTCTTTCCTCTACGCTGGGATCTCCCCCGCCGTCTCACACCTAAAAGGACGGCGACAGGACAGGCTGCCATTTACAGGAAAAGATCTTTTCACTTCGAACTGCTGAGATACTCTTACCCTCGTGTGTCTCGCGGCCTTCCCCTGTCATGTGTCACCAGCCAGGTCTCTTCACCATTCCATGTGGGGGAAGCTTTCATCTCCGGGACGACGACCTCCCCAGTAGACCTTGAGAGTCACCAGTCGGGTGGCGGTGATCCTCTCCCTCCAAGCTTCTTTCCACTGTGTCTCGGGGATTTTCCTCCATGAGGTACACTGCCATTTTCATTACTGTGCGAGCACCGCCGGTGACGACGATGGGCTACCAGCCGACCGAGAGGCCGGGGGAGTGGTAGAGTGGATTGTGTGGCTGAAATCTGAAAGCCCGCGCCTAAGTGGCCCAGCCCGTCGAAGAAAGGGAGTGGACTACCCCGTTGCACCCCCCCAATTATTACCTCCTTGATCATCATCTATCTCAATTTTTGCGATTTTTGCTAACCCTTGAAAAAAATAGATCACTGCTAGAGAGAGAGAGAGAGAGAGAGAGAGAGAGGGACCTTGGTGAGGGAGCAACTTCTTTTAATACGCCAAGAGGCACTGCTAAAGAGTTTTGGAGGATGAAGCCCACAGATGGCTCTTCGTCTTGGACCGAATCCGGGCGATCAACCGTAGCCGGAGCTGAGCATACTTGGATGAAACGTAACTGGAGGACAGCGATAGAGCTGTGTATTCTGGGCAGCTCGTCACGAAACAGGTGAGTCGTCATCCTATTGGCGGAGCAAGTAGTCACTGTTAACAGCGACGGGCATTCCCCAGATAGGGTTTAGCCCAATAACTGTCACAAAGCTCGGTTGGAGGAGGCACGCCCTAGCACGTAAGCCCCCACCGCTACCGGCTTAATGGTTTTGTCCAGTCTCCAAAGGACAAAGCCCGAGGCATTCGCCCATATGAAATTAGATTTCCAATCTTAGAGATGCGGTTCTAGATAAGCTTGTGTAGCCGAAAATTTCAGACCCGCCTGCTGTCTTCTTAGCTTAGACATCTTAACCATTGAAGGCTCCAGCTGGTGTCCGTCTCGGTTCTCTTGCTAGCGACAGGAGTTTCAGAGCTGAAGAAGATGCCGTGAAGAGGAAACTCGCAGAACCTCTTAAGCTCAAGAGGAATCTCTCTCTCTCTCTCTCTCTCTCTCTCTCTCTCTCTCTCTCTCTCTCTCTCTATCTATCTATCTATCTATCTATCTATCTATCTGTCTAACTCGCTTGCTGTCTTGCCGTGCTTGAACACTAGGGCACACAGACGGGGATGTAGAGAGTTCCACTCCGTTAATTGAAATATTCCATTCACGTGCCGGCTTTGGAGCTCCACTCGCTCACATGCCTTCGTTTTCATCTGCTTTTTCTGATGTGATGGATTCTGGATATGAGATAGCTTCCGCTAAACGAGAAACCATCGCAGTTTGTAGAAAGAACAATGAGAGAGAGAGAGGTTCTCCGGATTCTGAGATAGATAGTTTCCGCCATCACCAAAGAGAAGTTCGGTGTGTGGGAGATGCTCCCCGCTCTCAGACGGGAATTCCTCTGCTGAAGAACCTACAGCCTAGGCAACCGTCTCCTGGGCAGCCGAAAAACATGACCTACCGACTCGCCAGCAGATTCCATGATCTTATCGAGCCACCTCCCGAGTTCAACCCTGATATGGTCATGAACGGAGCCCCCGACTCCCAGTCTGTCATGGCCCTCGAATCCAGATCACGAAGGATTTTCTGCGAGCTTACTTCCAAACAGGTCTCCGTGGACGATAGTAGATTCCTAGGTCCTGGGACGGTTGCGTCCATTCTGAGGGTTCTCTGAAAGATTCATCTCGACCACCAACTCCTTCGAAACAAATTAAACGGTCGAAATCAGTATGTGGTAGACTAATTCAAATCTCATTTAATGCTTCCATATTCTTTAATATAAATATATACAATCACGACCCGTCAAGTTAATTTTTATTTATTTATTAATTAACGTATGATGGGGAATAAGATCCGAGGGATCCTCCCCGCACTTTCAAAGATTTGGCATCTGTCGTTCGCATGTGGTGTAAAATTTCTGCAAATGGAAGCTTCAAGTGGGCTACTTCTATTCTTCTTTGCGTCATGTAGGCTCGCATCGAGCCTGGAAAACAACTTCAATGTCTATTTTTTTAATAAGAAATCAGAGCCGAGACCTGTTTCCATGGAATCATATCTCGTTGGTACGATCTTCCAGCTCGTGTCCCGTACGATTACGTTATCACGAGCTCTCGAATGGGAGCGACGAGCTCAGACGGGCCCCATCGCTTACAATACATCACGAGGGAGCGATTCGAAGAGGGCGGGACGACAGGCTCCGGTCCCTAGTTGAGAGGAACTTGAGAAACATTAGAAAATTTAAACTCCCTGTAAATTTTTGCTTGGATCTCCCTGTAAATTGGTCGTGCGCCTCTCGAGGACGGCGTCGCCGAGAGTATCATCGCCATCATTTACAATGGTATCGTCGGGCAGCGATCCAGCCGTGTGCCCCAGGAAATCGTCGTCAATGGCAGGAAATTATCCTTGCTCTCCAGACCACCCATCGACCCGACCTCATCACTATCTGTGATCTTGATCGCCGTCCTCGTCAATTCATCGATTTATCAAGCCGTTTGTCCGAGAATTCATGACCCGCATTGAGCTCACTCCCATCTAACGAAGAGCGGATGCCCACAGGCTTCTTCGAGGTGGCATCGGTGGTGTGGGTGGCTCCTCCGTCTCTCTTTCCTGCTTATGGTGGTGCCGGCGCCGGCGGGGTCAGTGGCCGGTGCGGATCGGATACGAGAGGGACCCCCGAGGGGCCCCGCTCCGCCCTAAAAAGGACCGAGAGGACGCGCTGGGTCCCGTCAAACGAAATCCCCGTCCAAGTCGAGGGCGACAGGCCCCTTTCCGCGCAGGTCTTTCGTTCTCTCTCGGGGAAGTGGAAAGCGGGCGGACCGACATCCTTTCCACCGGGCCAGCGAAGATTCGGGGCTTCAATGGCCAACACCTGCGGGCCCGGCTGCTGTACCCCGCTGCTATACCAGGGACTGTGATCGTTGAAAGCCCGATGACCACAGATATCATCACCTCCTGCATGAAGAAACGGAGCCCGTCCACCTGGATGTTTCAATGCAGAACCTCGTCATGGCCGCTGATCGCGTGACGTTCATTGCGTCTCGTAAGACTGTTCGCTCCTCCCATCGGGAGAGAGGAAGAGAGCAAGAGAGAGGGAGAGGTTTCGGTGTGCCTTCTCGTCGAGGGCGCATTAAATGGCGACGTTTTGAGAGGCTCTGCGAGGGACGAAGCCCTTGCCGACCAACCCGTGTAGCATAGGTGCCCCACAGGGTATTCCCTCCCGGGGCAATAGACGTGGGGCTCTCGGCACCGGTTTGCCCCGAAGAGGACGCGGCGTGGGCGCGGCGGCAAAACAACAATCCCAGCGCCCACGCTCTCGCGCCGCCTCCGGGGGTCTCCCTGGCTACGCGTACGCCGCGCTGTCGTTCGGTTCCCCCACCCAGAAAGCTCCGTCGCCCAGATCACCTCAATCTTCTCCCATCATATTCCCTCTGGACTCTTCCCAGCCACCCTCCCAGTTTGACCCTCTCTTTCTCCCACCACCTCTTCAAATCTATCACTGGTGTTTACACGACGCTCCGGACGATTGATCGGAAACCCTATCTGATGAAAGCTTATGGGCTCCGTCCGCGGCGGGCCCGAGGGCCCCTCGCCCGCCGGCTTCTGACGTGCGCGCCAAACCATCCCTACCCTCCCCCCCCGGCGCAGTCGCGAGCGGACGCGTGTATCTTCACATGCCCAGCGGGGTCGTCTTCCTCGATCGCGCTGTGGACCGTCCTAAGATCGCCGTGGGGCCGGTCAAGATTTCATCAGCCCGATTCCGTCGACCGGACCCATTATTTGTGCTGCCCGAATGTGTCAGCCCGTCTGGTTCTGCCTTCTCTCTCCCTCTTTCTTCTCTCCTGTTTCAGCATGTGGTTTGGCGGCCGAACGATAATTACTATTAATCATTTGAGTGATGATTAGCGTCTCCATCGGTCAGCGTCACGTCAGGTGGCTACAAAGTAAAATCTTTCTCTAGATTTATTTCGCTAGACAAACTGAGAGCCGCAGCTTTAGAGCCGCTACTACCTCACCGAGTGAGTCATCCTGTTTGCGTGGACCGCCTGCCGTCGCTAGCACGCCGGCTAAAGTTGCCCGTGTGCCGGCACGGCTTCGCTCGATTGCAGCTGATGTGATCGGCCCGCCGCGACGTCGCCTCCCATGTTTCACACGGTGCACCCTCCCTCGTCTACCATCGCACAATCTCGGAGGCGAGTTGGCCGCTCTACTGGTTTTACGAAGCCTACAGTTAACTGTGCACGCCAAATCCATGATGAGGATCACTGGGAGCAATAATAGCGGACTGACTAATTTAAGATCATGGGGTGAGCTGGTGGTATCCGCATGATTCAACAGCCCGGATTTTATAAGAGGAAACCAGTCAAAATTTACCGACTAATCCAGGGACACGCCGATTCACTTAATGGGCACTAGAGTTTTTTAGTGCTGTGCTTGGACCGACGCAGCGTCAGGTTGTGTTTTTTTTCTCGCTCTGCGTGTGCAATATTCGGAGCTGTCGTTCGTCTCGGCCAGAAATCGGTTTCGTTGCGAGCTTCGGTGTGTAAGCGGACATCTCGAAGCCTTCACCTGCACAAAAACAATGGAGATTTGGGATCGGATTTGGTGTTTCGTCCTCATCGGTTTTCTAGCTATTCGCCCATGGTTCAGGTGATCCTTAGTTGACTGACATCACTGTTAAACATGGACGATGCCATCAAGTTATTAGAGAGTGAGAGAGAGGGATGGGCGATGTCACGTGGGTGATCATGAACAATTGCTTCATGAGATAAAACAGGTTCTCGAAGACCACGTCTCATAGCCAATTGGGCTCATTTCTTTCCTCTCGATTGATGCAAGCCAGAAGGGTCAACTACTCTTTTCTTCGGATGATCCGATCCGATCCGATCCGATGTAGTCCACGATACCATGTAAATTAGTTTATTGTATCTGATACGAGTTATATCTAGCTAATATGCTTCGAGATTTATCTGTCTTGATAGAGGTCTGTCACTGACTAGCGTAAGAGGTGCGGCAAGGAAAGCCAGACAACAACGGAGGTTTCAGCAGATGTTCTGTTCTGGGGAACGCCCATCAGAGCAGTTCCTACCATCTGGATTTTCTGGGCTGACGATCAGGAAACAAAGGGAAGCAGTGAAAAATTAAGCGACCCGACATGACTAAATTGGATGCCTCGATGTCTAAACTAGATTAAGACATGTGAGCACACTCCGCTTATTTTCCAATTAATAAATAGTCACATCTGACACAATATAAGAATAGTATACCTTATACTTTAGGTTTATTAGTTTGGATGTAAAAATATCATTTAGTACGAGTCTGTTGAACCACAAGGTTTGATGTTCTTTTTCAGTTTGGTGTGCTTTATCATCAAGCTAACGTCAATGCGGTGTGTGTGGCATACCCACTTGCATTATTGCCCTCTTTGATGGCAAGACTCCTCTTCAATCCTTAGTTCAAGGGTTTGGCTAGAGTCCTGGGTGAGTACGATTGATTACAGAAGATGCTCAAGGACCAATACAAGGGGTTTGACAACAGAAAAATAGTCAGCAGAAATTAGTGCATTTAATGTTACCAAGAACCAATGTCTATTTAAGATCAACGACAAAGGTAAAATATTGAGAAATGACTCAATAGTTGGCTAAGCTAAAAGGTGAACCAATTTTATTCTCAGTTGGTTGTACAGTGGCAGCTTACGCAAGGTTATAGAAGATGAAATCTAGGCATGACCTGCAAAGTTCGTTGCACCCATTGTACAAGACAATGGGTGCAACAAGACATTAGACTAAATGAATTGATTGCACAAGACATAATCCTTGTTAAGGCAAGACCTACGCAGCCCTCTTCAAATCAGATGGGCCAGACCTGATAGGGAACAAGTGACATGAAGTTTAATTGTTTTCAAAATTATTTCTACGATTTTACATGGAGTAAATGCATATCTCCAGAGGATACAAATGGATAAAATTGTCACTAGATCTATAACTTACGAAATTTCTTTTAAGTTCTAGAAAATGGAGAAAACGTTGTACATATGTAAACCTTGTACTTAGTCTTTATTAACTTCATTAGAAAGTTGATTTTGATTATTAATGGAGTTGGCATAATGACATTATATCTATTAAATGGAGAACTGTATGTCTAATTTTTATACATTCTATGGTATTTTGATATTTAAAATCATCAAGATGCTACTAGAAATAATATCACATAAAGTATCAAGTATATTCATAAAATGTTGCCTTTAGGAGCCTAAGTTATTTTAATGATAAGAAGTATACATAAGGGTAGTTTGGTAAATAAAAAAAATAGACTTACATGATAAGATTATCTAGACTATGCTTATTGAGAAAAGTCTCAAAGCTAAGTGAAATAATCAATATTTATGCTTAAAAAGGAATAAAATGATTTTGGATGGAAGTTGGTATCACATTCATAATCATGTGTGAGACCAACAAATAGTGGAGCAACAATTAACGAATCAAAGTTCAATTATTTAGGTTTACTATGTTTTTTACAAGATTACAAAATATTTACCAAGTTTAAATTTCAAGCAAAAATATGACTCAATAATAGACCACTATACTTTTTTTACATGATCATTGAATGGCCCAATAAACTTCATATAATGTGGGAGTTTCCTCACATCATGGAAGAGAGAAATCAATGGATATAGTTTCCACAGTACCATCTTCCTCTAACTAGTCAAATCAAGAATTTTGCATCATTGAGCACCAAAAGAAAAGAAGATCATGCTTAAGCTTCTTTATGTAGACATTACATTTGTATGATAATCATATAGAAATGACACAATGTATATTATAATTGGTACATCATATGTAGGTTTAATAAAAGATCTTCAAGTTTATATTGACTTTTATCCTCACTTGCTAAAAGGGTAATTTCATTCTAAAACATGGAATAAAGTAATTTTCCTACATGCATCATGAAAGTTGCTTTTATCACCAATCACAAGGAAAATAGTTATCGCATTCATATTTTTATTTTGAACTTCAAATTTAATATTTGTGAATTAATTTTATTTTTAAAGAGTAAGAACTCCACTTGCACTGGCATGAATAAAACTTATCTTACAGAAAAACATAGTTTCTCATAATCATTTAATCTCAAATAATTGCATATATAGTATGCACACACTTTCATTTGTGTATCACCTACCATGTATTAGATCAATGCTTACCTTTCATGATTATCATTTACACGTGTCATTTAATCCTATATTTCATTAAATTTTAATTTTCTATATTCAACCATTCAACTAAGTAAACATTTATCTTACTTCTCAATATATGATCATGTGATGTGAAAAGTGAAAAGTCATTAAATTTGTCAACAATGGTTGTAATTTAGTGAGAAGATGAGATATAGTTAAGGAACATTAATTAGAGAAAAGTGTTGAGGCCTATAGGTTGACCATGTAAAAGGGTGATTGTGGAAGTCAGTCCTAGTCACTTATAATAGTCTTGAGGAGTCTCAAGTCTTGATAGGATTGAATTATTCATATGAGAGTATGACGATAAAACACATGACTAAGTGGGCTATGAGTTAAAACATAATAGTTGGCTCAACAACAACCAAGGAACAAAAAATATGAGAGGATTAAATTTAACTATAAAAATTAATTAGAAGATATGAGATGTAATTAAATTAACATTAATTAGATGAGAGTGTTGAGGCTTTAAATCTCATTACTCCATCCATTTAGACAATAGTCTCTCTAGATATAGGCCGACCATGTAAAAAGACAATTGTAGAAGTAGGGCCTCATCATTTATAGTAGTCTTGAGGAGGCCCAAGACCTAATAAGATTAAATCAGCCATATAAGAGTAGGGTGACAAAGAATAAGACAAAGTGAGCTATTGAGTTCAAACATAACAACTAACTTAGCAACAATCAAGAATAAAAGAACATGAGATGATGAAATTTAACTGTAATCATTATACACCTATTAGGGTTGAGAGAAGTAACAAATCATTGAATATAGCACCTTCAACCACCACCAACCTATGGGTCCAATTAAATTAAAGTCGCATCAACTTCCCTTATAACTAGAGCCATGAAAAAGGTTAGAGCTGCCTCTATTCACAAGCATCAACCTAAATGAATTGATCTTTAAAGTGAAGTTCTACTTCACAAACTATCAGCTATCTTTTCTAGAAAATTTGTCAAAAGTCAACCTCCATTTACAAGGAAGGCTTTGTACTAATTTCAATTGATTGAGGATAAGTAATCAGTTTAGAGTTGAAAAAAATTAAAATATCAAATTTTAGAATGTTATGGGCCCAAGCATTTCAATTTCTTCTGTCAATAATTTCTTAAGCTTACCTAAATTGGGATGATGGAATAATACAAAGAAGATTTTAAGTTACTATTGAAAGTAATCCATAATGTTCTAAAAGAAATACTCGATTGAACATTTTTAAAGTGCCTCTTCAAAGACATCCCAAGCAATTTTATATCTTAAATTTCAATAGTATTGAGTCAATTATGAAGGTTGTCCAGTGGGTCAAAATCAAACTCCTCACCCTTACAAAGTTGAGATAAGTAGTCGACCATGACTCACATAAATGACAAAACTAAATGTTCTAATATATAATTCAATAAGACCTATAACTCTATCACCCATAGTTTCTAGAAAACAAGAGGAGGGGAGATTTCAAGTAGGCCACATCACATTCACTTAACCAAATGTCCAACAAATAGTAGAAGTTACATCTCACAATAATAGAGATTTAGGCAAGATGGTCCAAAAAATTATGTTTATACTGCGATAATAAATTTTTATGTGAACAGAGGAAAAAAAAGAATTGAACACATAAACACAAAAAGGAA